TGGACAGCAGGCCATCTTCACGGACCCAATGTCACGGCACGGTTTTCCTCAACTGGTCCCTGCGTAGGTGGAAACGACCCCAAGGCTCGACTCCAGAGATCTCCGCCAGAAAAGGGCTGAGGCTGCCGCCCAACGCCTGGCTGGGCTGGGCTGCTTCCACGGTATGGGGAAAGGGGAGATTCACAGATGACAGGCGGGAATATGGCACGGGTTGATCGCGCCTCCACTCCTGACGACGCTCGCATTCGTCACCAAAGGTGATCAAACAGGCTGTGAAATTTAACCGAGGAAAACTTTTCTCGACCACGGCTTGTCCCTTGCTGGAAATTCTTACAAAAGACAATCTATCTCCGGCGGTCGGCAATCTGCGAGGCAGTGGGACCGGCCTGCCCAGAAGAGAGCCCATCACGGAGCCGGCTGAGGCACGGCGCCGAACTGCCCTTTGGCGGGCCCCGCCAGCCACCAAGCGGTGAGCTCGTACCGAAGGCAACCCTTTGGGGCTTTGAATAATGATTACAGGCAGGAGGCTGGATAGCAAGTTGACCATCTGGGCGGTCAGAACACCATGTGGCCCGGTCTGGACCAATACACACCAGCCTCTGGTCTGCTGAAGACTGGGATAGTTGGGATCGCGGCTGCTGATTTGTCTTCGGTGATACCGTTGGTCCCAAAAGCTCTTCCCACATCCTGACCGCCTGGAAGTGCTGGTGTGTCGCCAAGGCCGTCAGGAATAAACTTCGGACCCTCCGGCGACCTCGTGCCTCCAAAAGGCATGCTGTCCGCCGAGCCGCCGAGCCTCAACGTCGCCTATGCGGCTTCAGTCTTGAGCGACCGACTGCCGGAGGACGGACGCTTCTGGATGCGAGGTGACGCCACTCGACGCAAAGATTCATGTAAGCCATGGCATGTACACAGCCAGCGCGAACCGTGGGCGGCGGAATCCAGTGTGAAACTGCTGAGAAATCAAAGTCCCGAATGCCGCGACCCCGCCGCCCGGCCCTCCTGTGGTCTACATATAGCTCGTGGATGTGGGGAGTTTTGCCTCAGTTACCTGCCCGTCCCAGTCCTGAGCGAAACAGGCAGGCCAGACTTCGTCGGCCTGGATCGCTACCGCAGGTCACATGTCCGTGGAGAGGGCCAACCAGGGGAGGACCTCGGGAATGGTCACCAGACCAAGAACGATCGAGATAGCAACACGTGTAAAGGTGGTCGGAGACCGTTGCCGAATTCGAACGAACCGTAGAATTAGGCATGCTGGCATGATGCAAACCAAACATTCCTGCCCGGACACGACCTGCCCTCCCCTTTGCGTCAGGTCCAGCAACCTGCCAAAGGGCGGGCCGAGCACGACGCGAGCATGAATCTCCCCAGCGGTCATTTTGCCTGAGCAGGATTTGGAAGACCATCCCCTTCCGGAACGCCGAGCCCCCACCCTCTGCGGCTCGCCAGGCATGTGCATCGGTGTCTTGCAGGTGTCATGATTCACTTGTGTGGATCTAGATCCACAGGATGTACCCATCGCATCCTCCCATTTCATCCTGACAGGGGTTGGACTTCTGCGCCATGGTGGGGAAAGGGGGGGGCGGACCGCAGTCGGCCTCTTCGACTCTCAGACACAGTACAATTTGACCTCGTCTGGGAAATAGTCTGTCCTGACAGGTCCCGATGGGGGAACAGGGCTCATATCGAGTGCTGCTTTGGGCAAGTTTCACGTCGTTTGGAGGGTCTTCTGTTGCCACAGCTCGGACGAATCTGTGCAGATGTGGCACTTCTGTCACCTCGTATTAATGAACATTGCCGTTCTGCCGGAGCACCTCAGACATGACATCGTGGGATCAACATTCCCTCCGACTCCAGACTGCCGTGGGCAATTTGCCGTCGCAGTGGCTGGGCCTGGGCTGGGCTTGGACACCCACAGTGTGGTGGTCGTGAGGCTCGTGCTGAGACGACAGATCACTTCAGGCTCAGCCCTACGAGTCGAAGCACTCAATATGAGGTGGATCTCCCGGGCCAACCTGCGCTGGCTGGATCTTGGAGGCCCCGGGTGAGTACTCCTGCAGAACGGTAGCTGCAACTCCATTGCAGCGTCGAGCGCAGGTGCAAGCAAGGTTGAGGGAGGGAGGGGTGGCTAGCAGAATTTGTCCATGACTTCGTGATACTTGCGGCCAAACGTTGTGTGGTAACAAGTACAGCTGGTGCAACTACATGCTTCTTTGCATTGTCTCGAGACCCTGGTTCTTCGCATGACAGCAACATTTGAACCTGACATAGACATTAAATCTTGTCTGCCGCGAAGTCATCAATTGAAGCTCCGGGTGGCTCGAACCTTCGGCTACCAGACCTATCGCCGTTGGAGACGTCAGGATACAGTTGCCCGAGCGGCAGGCCTCACCCAACGGTGCTTGTTGATCGGCCAACGCATATGCTTGGGCATTTGGTCCGCTCGGGCCAGGACCGGAAAGACGTTTTATTTTGGCGCTTTGATGATTGCAGAAACAGTCAGATCAGTCTGGTTAGATGGAAGACATTCATGACTTGAAAGTCATCTGGAACACAACTGCCGAGGACGACACCAGTTCATGTACTAGAAGGTGGGTACCTAGGTAGGCTCTGCAGATTCTCACGATGTCATCTTGCACAAAAGCTTAAAGATGAGCCCAGGGGTTCGCAGCACCGACGGGACAGGCCTGCCTGATTCGCACACTTCAGCGGGCGGCGTCAATGCCGGGTGCAACCTCCACCGAGCCCGGCGGCGCGACGCGACCTTCCCCGGGGCTGATGGTGGCATGCCGGCAATTTGATCCGCAGATCTGGACCTGTGTCATCTGATTCTTCGGCTCCGGGCGGTTCCCTGAGCCTGCAGTAGCGAGCGGGCAGTCGAGTCGCCGGTACGGAAGCGAGTGTCTAGCGCGTGGGGGGTTGGCAGGCTGGCACCGTTGGCTAGAAGAGGGCAGGGCGTGCGCACGATAGCCTCATGCGCAAGTGGTGTGTTTTCCTCGTGGTGATCATGGGCCCCCGTCTGGGTTCTTCGCGAACCAGGTTAGGTTCGCAGTAGCAGGGCGAACGGTTTATCACGGTTGTGTGGTTCTCTGCTTCCGCCAACCACCCACTCGCTGCAGGTGATTCAGTTTCATCCCAGGCACCACGTGTGGGCTAATGCAAGCCAGGCCTACGCCTGCCGCATTCGGTGTGCCTTGCCTCTGCCGTTACATCGCCGAGGTTGAGGTTGGGGGCTTGGCAGCATCCGGGAGGCTCTTCCGGTGATGACGTCTGCCACACAGTACGACCTCGTCAGTGCGATCTTCCGATGTACGGATGGGGCGGCAGATGGATGGAGTACAAGCCCCCCTTCCCCGACATTTGCACCGCAAAGCACCACCCCGACACGGCGCACATGAATAAGGCTGCTGCTGCGAATATCCTTGCAGCTCTCGAACCTATTCGCGCCCGGCGAGCACCAGAGGGGGGTTTAACAGCCTTGGATACGAGTCAATGGGAAAGAGATTATGAGTCTCAAGATGATTGCCGGATACATCCAGCTCCTGTTGGAGTTCAATGGCAAGAGAAGTAAAATATGTGGTCCTGGAGCTCATTGCAAATGTTGCAAGAAAGCAACGCGTCATTCAGGGTGCATTGCTTCAATCCCCTGCTAGGGTGGCATTGTTCGTGATGTGGTTGGGCAATTGACTCTGGCCACATTTAGTGTTGAAACGGTAATCTTGAACAAGCACGACGGCTGGACGACTGACGCACATGCAAACGTGGTTGAAATGTACCTTACCCATGTGGGCGTGTACTGTAATTACGGTACGGTACACGTGTGGATTCACCCATCCCAAGGTCGATTTGCCACGTTACTCTGGACTGGCACTGCAATGCTCAACGTGCCACTGCCTGATCCGACGCTCAAGCGCACAGCTTCCAAGTCAATTCCACCGTTGACCTCAAGTGATTGGGTATCAGTCCATGTCCCAACAATAGTTTCAGCTTCAGTTAAGATTAGACCTGACCAAGTCCATACTGTTATCAAATAGAATTGAAACTTTTCCACCACCTTCCCATCGCATCGTGTGTCCAATCCTGTTCTCGGTATACAGAGCTAAATCACTGTGCTGTGTTACACATTGCCACTGCGCCAACGCCTGCCTTGGTAAAGCTATCCTGAATGCGGTGTCAAACCGCCTGCGGTGCCGACCCTGCTGCAACGCTGGCGCCCCTATGACAGACGCGAAACGGCTCACTAGGTAGTTAGGCACTCTCAGCACCAATTCCGAGGTCCGCCTAAGTCACTTGGGGCATACAGACTGCTATAATAGTGAAACGTTGAAAACGCCATTCCGGCCCCGAGTAAAGGCCACGTGGTACTTACTTATCGACCACTCCGCGGTTTCCGGGTGAAGTCTGGTACGTTGCAACTCTATGAGATCAGCGTGACATCGTGATGCGAGTCCCTAGAAATGACTTGGTCCCCAGAGAAATCGCAAACTATAACCCCACCTCGTCCTGGCTCTCCAAGTCGTGGGGAGCAGGAATGCCCCGAGTAGAGCCAAACTTCCAAACAGTCATTTACAACTTCGTGTATTAATAACAAATACGAATACGTATCTGGGCATGGAGCGCTGATTCGCGGCGTAATACGGAAGGGCTGACGATCGACGGCCCGAGGCATATCTTGGGCAGTCGGAAATACTTGCATCAATATATCTCCGATCTCATCCGGAGTTCCGGTCATGAGGGATGGGGCATGCCAGAAGACAAAACAAGACCTGCAAAGCTGTATCCTCAAATAAGACCTTTTAAATTTGGAGCTGTAAGGATTTGAATTGGGAATGATGAATTGATCTCACCCGTGATGCGCCTGAAGATGCTCCTAAGTACCAGTTGACCAGTGTCTGGAGAAGGTGCACCAGCACCATTTGACTCGACAGTAAACCAGGTGTTTTCGTCCGCAGGCTTTATGGGGAAGGTCAGACGGACTACGCAGTCAGATTGACATTTAATGATCGCAACTCTCGATTCCATCCCTACATGACGAATCTCGTTCTCGTCATGGAGTTGGCTATTCATCAATGGTTTCTGTTCCGCCGTGTTACACAACGTCGATCGTGTGAAAATCTATGCCCCCAATCTTTGTGCCTTCCCCAAACATGAATCCATGGCAATATGCCTCACCCACCAACTCCCACCCCCCTTTTATCCTCTCTGACGGTCTAAACACATAGGGCACACTCGCCCCTGCTACAAGCATGACAACGTCCCCCTCCAACACTGTCCATGGAGCTGTTCCTAAGTAACCACTCTCGGTACAAAACATTCTCCGGTCAGCGTAGAATTTCTCAAACACATCTTCGAACAGCGGATCTTTGGCAGTCCACATTTTCTGTTCGATCTCGAGATCTACCCTGCTCATCCCCTTGAATCGCTCATGCCTCAACCTGATGAGCTCCCGAAGCCTGTAGGCGGGTGTGTCGAATGAAGCCAGGAACTGCCGGACCGTATGAATCTTGTAGCTGTCCAGCTTCTTCATCTTGCTATCATGCATGAACTCCCGAACACCGATGCGGTGTCTGTCGTCAGGCTCAGCAGCCAGATCTAGGTCGTCCTCGTCCTGCTCCTTCAAGATGCCCTCGCGCATTTTCCTTTCGGAGAGCGTATACGATTCTTCGGCGAAAATGACAAACCATTCCGCGAAATGACTGTCGGTGAGCTCGACTTCCACCATCTTGTCATCGCCTTCCTCAGCGTCGTCTGGCTTGTCGGTAGTATGCGTGGCCCCGGCGGCGAGAGTTCTCCAGAGCGCCGTCACTATAGGCTCACCGGTAGGTACGTATATCCCTTCAGATTGGCGTGGCAAGTTAGATAAGAGTCGAAGCAGTCTCCAAATAGGTCTGATGAATCGACCCGAGCGGCTGTCGCCTGTAGCTGTAACGGTATCCAGTAGTGCAGCTTTGAGTTTCAGTACTCTCCCTTTGTTGCCAGTGACAGAGAAGCTGGGCTCAACTGACCCAGCAGCGGAGAATGTGAGTGCTGTCAGCTTCATTAGGGGCGTCGGTCTCGCCGGGGCGCTGAGATCAGGAACCCACGAGGGCAAGTCCTCCACGAAGCCCGCCTCCGGCCTGAACTGGTCGATGTAGCTCGCGGAGAAGGCATAGGCGAGGTCACAGCCCCGGCGGATCTGACCCACCAGCGAGAGCAGCAAGAGCCCAGTGTTCTTGCTCCGCAGCAACGCCGCGGCGCACTCGCAAAAGACCTCCTGGACAGACTTCTTGTAGTCGGCAGCCAGGCCCGCCGCATCTTCCGGGTCACACAACGAAAGCACGCCGTACAGGTTGTCCTGCCCTTTCACCGCGCGCCGGGCCCTTGCTTCTGTCACGGCCGCCTCGAGCGTGCAGCCGCGCCCACTATCGAGCAGTTCGTGCGCGGCGCGTGCGAAGTTGAGGCCTACGATGCGTGTGCGCAGCCTTCCCAGGAGACTCTCCACGTGGCCCAGGGATACGGCCCCGTCCGCTGCGAACGTGCAGCTAAGCAGCTCCTGGAACGGCACCGACCGCGGGCCCAGCAGGTACACCGTCTCGCGGGCCAGGGCTGCCTCCTGCAGCGTCCAGACGCGCCCGAACCAGCCCCGGGAGAGCACCCAGTTCAGCGCCTCGAACGCGACAAAGGCGGCGCCCCGGCTTTTCACGGCTGCCCAAGGGGTCGATAGGTCTTGAGCGATGGTTCCATCAGTGAAGAGGGGGCCGACCTTTTCAAGTGCGAGCTCGGTGGCATACGAGGATTTGCCTAACCAGACGACCACACGTGAGGCGGCGCGGAAAATATCGCCCATCATGTTGACCTGCGCACTTTTCTCCATGTCATCACCCTGATTGATGCATATGGCATCAATCCAGAAGGGCGTCGACGTCCAGCCGAGCTCCTGCAGTTGTAAGAGCGCATTGTACAGGTTCTTGAATACGTCAAGAGTCGCACCATTGCATATTATTGTCCTGTCAGGGGCGCCAGTGTGAGGGCCAGAGATATCGCTATCGATGGCCCACGTGTACGAGAGAGCTTCGTAGTTTGGCTTGGTGTTGAGGTCAACCTCGATTAATGTGCACCGAATGAGATAATCGTCGGTTTTCGGTGAGAGTTTCACCAACCGTATCGACGTGGGCTTCTCAAGGGCCGAATATTTGAAGCCTGGTGTCCGCCGCTTCTAACTTGGTCGTTAGCGGTCGCACGCTGCTGTCAATAAATTGTTGCCCCAGGGACGTACAGCCAAGGCGCCGGCCACATGTCTTGCCAGTGACATTTGCTCTTACCCTGCCTGAAATGATCATGAAATCCAAATATGGACTGTGGTGGCAACTGCTCTGTAGCATACCTAGGTATGCAGATACAACATTGGTCGCTACCCCACATGGTCGATCATTATTCACGGCGGGCCTATCGTACATATAGGCGGAAAGGCCACCTGGGCACCCTAGGTACCTTAAGAAAGCGGATGCTATTAGCTGGACTGAATATCAGGATGTGCACGCTAGCCCATCAGAGCATCCACTATCGACCTCGGGAATTGCAGCCTGCAGTAGCGCTCCCAAAAACAGAGCCCGTTTATTGATGATTCCTCAGCTGACAACTGCATGCCTGTTCAATGGGCTGACACTCTGCAACTCCAAGCTGACATGCATTATTTCTAAATGCAGTGCAAGAGGTCCGCCCCACAATATTGACTATGAGAAAGTACTTCGAATAATCCGAGAAGAATTCGTAGGTAACATCACGTTCATGATCATCCGGATGCTATTGGACGATCATATTGCACCTTGGAACCCCATTGATGTCGTTACCTTCCTTGGTCCTAGGCTCCCGGTAAACGCGATTTATGAGAGCTTCGTTTTCCGTGTACAACAAGGCCCACTGAGTACCTGTTCAAAATCACTCTCATCTTTTTCCAGCTCTCTTCCAGCCTCTGCTACCTGTGTCTGTTTTATTGTGTCTTTGCTGTCGGCATACAAATTGAGATCGCCGTGGCGCGGCACTGGTCATTGCTACCACAACATCCCAGCAGCGACATCCAAATCCTTCATTAGCGGCTTCAGACATTGCAGAATGATTTTGCGATGATAAAAGTTGAAACGACTGTTCATTTGGTTTTACAATAACACTTCTTCCATGCCGCCCAGGTCTCTATCCCAGCTGCGGAGTGTTCTTGGGGTCAACGAGTTCCAATATTCCACAATGTAGAAGCCGTCCCCAAGCATGGGGCGTATGAACCTTCGTACAAACTGCGCAAACGTCTGGAGCTCTAGTACTAGCTTCACAAGTTTTCTTACTTTATGGTTCTTTGACGAAAATGGGTCAGCTTTCGGGTTGACTCGAATTTTCGCTGTTGGATAATCGGCAACCTCCCATACTGTGAGTCGCTTCCCAGAATTGGCCCTGAAATACTCTGTCCACTCTTGTTTGCTTCCCTCTGGTAGGAACGATTTTCATTAAAAATGGAAAAAACCCACCTAACTCTAAGGAACTCTATCTATCAATGTGGCTGGATATCTGCGAAACCCTCGTCTACTGGGGTTGACCATTCTAGACGTTCCGCCAAAACAGCATGATTGCGATCACACTGTGGCTGAATGACCCTCGCTTTCCACATGACCCTCCTTCAAAATCCTCGGGAGCAACGCCTTCCGACTTAGTATAGAATGCAGATGCTCGGCTAGCAACGCATTCATCCCAGCTTGCGTTGCAAGGTCTACCCATTCTCGCACAGAAACCACACTGAATGCTTCTCCCGCCTCATTCTCCAAACCTGACCGAAAATCCTGTAAATTGATCACCAAGTCGCCAGCCTCGTAGACAAACTTGGCACCTGCGGCAGCACGGTCTTGCGAAGACTTGACATGACCAATGATCCGGCCAGCAGCAGCTTGCACGGACACGAAGTCCAAGTAACCGCTCCAAGTCTTGTTGACATCTGGCACCGCTTTGAGTCTGCGCACATATCGCATCAAACTGCTCATGAGATCCGATTCTGGCGCCGCTTCACCCGTGATGCTGGTCGGCCGGTGTATAGTCACAGGCAAGCCCAACTGCCGACTGATGCGCTCGAGGTAAACTTCGGAGACCCATTTCGCTGCTGTGTATCCATCGGTAAGACCATCCAAGGGTTCGAAGTCTGCCACGGATTCCGGCCCGAAAGCTTCTCGCCCGGAAAGCTGAGCGATGGTGGCTGAGGAGATGAAGTGCAAGGGAATGCGGCGTGGTAGGCACAGCCGTACTAGCTCCTTGGTCGACGCAACGTTTGTCAGCCTCAAGCTCTCGTAAGTCTTCATGAATGATACGTCGGCTGCTGCATGGATTACTGTGTCGACGTCGTTGAAGATTTGTCTGCTATCATGGTCAGATAGTCCTAGTTGCCGCGCGCCGAGGTTGCCATGCCGAATGTCGACCTTGCCATCGCGGAAGATGCCCCCCAGTTCCCGCTGGGGTGTCCGTACAGCAATGCAAATTACTCTCGTGACTCTTTCATCATCGATGAGCTGCTGCAGTATTTCTTGGCCGAGGAAGCCAGTGGCCCCGGTGAGGACGACTGTTTGAGGGATAGCTTTTGGTGGTAAGTTGCTACTAGTAGTAGTTACCGCTAGCTCTGTCAGCGCGGCTGATATCCTAGTCTCGTTCTTCCAGTCATTGGGTGAAGATCGATCTCGTAGATGCTGTTTCTGGTGTATCAGGCGCGACATCTTCTCGAGTGTGATTGACTGAAATAGATGATGTATTGAAACCTCCACCATCAAATGGTCTTTGATCAGTCGTTGAAGATTTATGAGGGCGAGAGAGTTGCCTCCTGCGTGAAAGAAGTCGGTATCTCTGTTAACGGTGTGTCCAGCGGCGTTGCCAGGTAATGCCTCTTCCCAAAGCCCTCGTAAGGTCTCTTCGAAATCGGACAGGTCGGCAGCAACATTTTTCTCTCCAGGAAACGTGTCCCAGTCTATCGGGATAGCCTCCACCGCGGTTCGGTCCAATTTTCCTGAAGCTGTCCTCGGAATATCTTGTAGAAACTTAACGACGGATGGCCGCATGTATCGTGGTAATGGCAGATTGCGCTGAAGGTCCGCACTAAATGCCGCCTCGTCTTCTTGCGACACGTCAATGGATGACACGATGAAGGCGACAAGAAAATCCGGCTCCGACAGCTCCTTGCCACTTCTGCATGACACCACAACGTGACGTAACTTCGGCAACATTGTCTTCATAATGTTGCTCTCGATGTCTTCGACTTCTATCCGAACTCCCCCGATCTTGACTTGCGTACTGCCTGCTGTTCTCCCTTCCAATACCAGGTGCCCTACCTCATCCAGTCGCCCGCGATCATCGGATAGGTACAGGTGAGTCCATCCCTGGTCATGGAATGATCGACTAGCATAACGATTAGGGAGGAAGGTCATGTTCGTCAGTGATTCATCTGTAAGATATCCCGCCGCAGTCCCTGCACCTCCAATAGCGACTCGACCCGAAACGCCTGCGGGCACAGGTTTCATGTCCGAATCCAAGATTTGGATAGAATAGTTGGGAAGAGGGGTCAGGGCTGGTATGGTATATGAATCATCAGCATACGAGATCATAGAGTCGGCACACCCAAAGGTAGTCTCGGCAGGGCCATAACAGTTAACAAGACGCAGCGCAGCACAACTGAGCGACCGGAAACTCTGAACAAGTGCTTCAGAGACACCTTCCCCACCGCTCATTGCAACTCGCCAGCTCGACTTGGCCAAAGACTCGCGATTATCCTCCCTGAGCCACGAGATATATTCCGTCGGTGTCGCAAGTGTAACACTGATTTCTTTCTCGGCCACAAGTGCTGATATGGCCATTGGATCTCCTCTCAACGTGCTATCGGGTATGATGAGTGTGTTACCATGCCCGAGGCCCACGAAAATCTGGCAGAGGGACATGTCAAAGGCATACGAGGAATGTTGTAGGACGACTTCGCCTCCCTCGACAAGTCCCCATCTCGAAAGTCCGAATTCCACCCAATTGCAGATCGAAGAATGCTTAATGGCTATGCCTTTTGGCTTGCCCGTCGATCCGCTAGTGTATATAACCACTGCCGTATCATTGGATTTCGCCAGGCTTCTGACGGGGCAAGAGTGGCCGACTGATTTTGTCCTGGAAACAGCTATTGATTCTGTCTCGGCACCGCAGATGGTCTGAGCTTGTTCGTTGGTTGACTCATCTGTGAGGATCACACAAGGCTGGCAGTCATGGACCATAGTTCGCAGTCTCTCGACACCTAGCTGAGCATCGAGCGACACGGCGACGCCGCCAAGTCGCAAAATGGCTAGAAGTGAGCAGACCCAATCAAGCCCTGGTTTTTGGAAAATACCGGCGTGGAAACCGTGACTCAAATCGCGGTTCCATAGCTCTAATGACAATTGGTGAACACGCCGTTCCATTTCCTGGTAAGTGAGGTAATTCCCTTGGGTATCTTTGAGCGCACAGTTCATCCCGTATTGCTCAGTCATTTGGTCAACACGATCGATGATAGTGCCACGCCACCTCGACGGAAGTTGCAGACCTGACACTGTGTCAGCAGCAATATTAATATACCTCAGCTTCCTGAGACGCACCTCTTCCAAGATCGATGACCTTCTTGATCTCCTCTTCGGGATGCAGGGATGGCCAAGCGATTTTGGCAGCGGGGTTCTCTGCAAAATGATCAAGGAGCCCAAGATAGCTGTTTTTGAACACCTCTGCATCCTGTATACTGTACAAATCTTTGCTGACCGAAAGTGTGACTAGATCTTCTCTCCCGTTGCTGTCGAGAATGTCGAGGCTCAGGTCATATGCGTTTTGACCGACAGTGACCGACTCGCCTTCGGCCTCAGATCCGAGAAACGTCCGGGCTTCCTTGATGTTCGAGCGGTAGTTGAAGAATGTTTGGAACAAGGGGCTGTGGGAAGTAGAGCGCTCCACCGACAAGTGATCTAGTAGAAGATCAAAGGGGATCTGCGAGTTTTCGAAAGATTCCATGGTGGTCTCTCGCACGTCCTTGAGTAGTTTCGCGAATGGCTGGTCCCGATTCGTCAGTACCCGGACTGGTAACAAATTCAAGAACAGACCAAGACTTGACAAAACATCCTTCTCTTTTCGATTGCCATCAGCCACTCCAATGCACATATCTTTGACTGTATGGTCCGAATAGCGGAAAATCATTATGGAGAAGACGGTCAGATAGAAGTAGAAGGGTTTGGCCTCCAAGCGACTGCACCGTGCGTCGATTCGATCTTTCAAAGTTCGATCGACGCGGAATTTCACTCCATGAGAGTTGAACGTTGATTTCTCTGGTCGGAAAGACTTCCGCGACAGTGACAGGATTGGGAGTGGCGGGGGTAGTGTCCGAAACTTGATACACCAGTAGTCGAACTGTCTGGTCCAGTCCCCTCGTTCGTACCTTTGTATCTCTCGAAGTGTGAAGTCAGGATACTGGCATACGTTGAGACTCAGAGGACCGCTATAAGCTTTCTCAAGATCGTCACAGAAGATCTGAAACCCGATGCCATCCATCACAATGTGGTGGTATGCGATGACCATGGAACAGGTTCCATTAGGCAAGGATAGAAGCTTCATACGGAGCAGTGGTCCTCTTTCGAGGTCGAATTGATGGTCCGCCATTTCCGACAGTACTTTATTGATGCAGGTTTCGTCTTCAACATCAGAGTGCTCGAGTTCCATGATTGAATGGGGCAAGACACCCTGCATTTGCCTCTTGCTGGCCGCATCGGTGTAGAAGACAGTACGCAACGCTTCGTGCTGCTGCCCTACCGCAAAGAATGCGTCTCTGAGCTGCAAAACGTCGAGCTGACCTTGGAATGCGACCTTGACAACGATGTTGAAGGCGGACTTGTTGTCCACGAAGAATCCAAGAAACCAGAAGCGTGACTGGGCAAAGGACATTGGCACATTTCGCTCGAAAACGACCGCCGGAGGTAAAAGCCTTTTGTCTTCTGGATCCGATATTATTGTGGCTGGCTCTGACGGCATGGATTGCAAGTCACGTTCCACAATTTCTGAACCATTTCCGTCGGAAACCGTTGTCTGATCCGATTCGGACTGCTGATGAACCACGCTGGGCTCTGCGGGTGTGTCAGAATGTGTTTCGTCGGCTAGCAATTCTCTAGGCTGCGGCGTGAACTCGTCCAGCACCAGTTGCTTCTGCACAGAAGAAAGAAGAGCTTTGATTGGGTGAGGGTTGAATATGTCGAGAACTGATAGTTGCACACCGAGCTCTGTCTGGAACCAAGACTGAATGTCCACAGCCACCAGCGAGTCGACTCCGAGTGCATTGAGGCTTAACGAGGCGGTCAGATTGCCAGAATCAATCTGTAACCTATATTGCAATTTTTCCATGAAAGCATCTATAAAAGTCGTTAGTATGGTTCTACTCAAGTGCAAATGCCAACATACCTTCCAATAGTTGGTATGCTTGGTCGTGGTCTTTCGCCTGCTGTAGTGATGATTTCAAAGAACCCCTAGATTCTCGCTGCTTGGCCCTGTCCGCTCTGTCTCGTAACTTCGGCACCAAATGCGAAAAGATAGGATTCGAGGCCCAAGTCTGCTTGTAATTGTCAGTCCCGTCGAGTCGAATTCCAGTTGTGATCTCAAAGTTCCCCTCGAAATCAGACCGGCTGGCTAGAACGCCCTCTGCAAAGATCTCATGAAAAGCTCTTTCAGATAAAAACATGAAGCCGGCTCTCTCCAATGCCAGCTGCTTCTCGCGCGACATCTCACGAGATACGTAGCCGTTGCCCAGAATTGCTCCGACGTTGACCACGGAGGCCGAGAGACCGCGGGCGCGTCGATTGGCGGCGAGACCTGCCATGAACGCATTAGCCATGGCATACGCACTTTGTCCGGCGTTGCCAGCCACGTAGGCCACGGAGGACAGGAAGATCATAAAATCCAAAGTGTCCTCTGGGAAAAGCTCGTCCACGTAAGTGCTACCCTCGACCTTGGGCCTTGTCACTTTGTGCAGTCTCTCTATATCAAGCTCAGGAAACGCAGTGTCATGGAAGACGGCTGCTCCTTGAACTACTCCAGCAATGGGAGGCATGGTCTCGGTAATTACAGAGTGGGCTTTTCGTAGAGAGAGTCGATCTGTGATGTCTCTGAACCACCAGCCAAATGTTAGCGCTTCTTGCAATGAACACAATCGAAACAAAGGTCTTCTTACGCTGCGAAAGTGCGCACATGGCATACTGAATTCAATGGATATTGATACCAGGCCTCGTCAAGTTTAGGGTTCCTGCTTGTCAGTGCGATGCTTGTAGCTCCTCGATCTGCCATCCATCGGCATAGAGATTGGCCCAAGCCGCCAGTCAAGCCAAGCAGCCAGTATGTTTTGTCGCTGGCAAAGCGAACCAGCTGACTGGCGGGCTGAACCGGTATCTCCACAGTCTCCGGGGTTTCCCAAGAAAGAATAGCCTGCGTCTGAATGACTTCGTGGGCTAGATCGTCCAAACGCAATATACTAGTTGGGGTTTCAATTGCAAGACCCGATGGCTTCTTGACTTTCACAGACCCTGCTTTTACAGCACATATCCAGGCGGCTTCAAGGTGATCGCCTACTTCGCGTACGCACTGAGGATCGCCGTCATGATGTGAAAAGTCACTCAGGAAGTCTGAGGACGAGAACTTTTGGCAATGGCGCGGCAAGATATCCTCGACCACAGAAGAAAGCTCGGATGGTACGCCCAGGTCGACGAACGTAGCTATGTCGGCCGGCAACAGTTGCGAGACTGCTCGTTTCGATGCTCGGGGGTGTAGATATGCTCGAGGTCGTGCGTTGCTCTTGTACTGCGTGCTCAGAAGTACTAGCCGTATGCCCTTCTCAGCTGCGACGTCGGCTATAGCATCTTCTAATGGTTTGTTGGCATCCAGGACCACGATTGGCCTACCAGCCTGGGCTTTGGATAGAACGCTTTGAGCCAGAAGCTGACTAGACAGCGAGAGCAGAAATCGCATGCCTTGTTGCGATCGGGGTGCAGGTATAGTCCAACTTGGAGGAATCTGCACCCGCGATTCAAGGGAGCTCGTAAGAACGACGAAGTATTCTCCACTCTCTTCCTTTTCACCCAGGGATAGAAACAGCCTGGTTCGGCTGGAAATCGGAACGGTTTTGAGCAGTGAGTACCTCAAGCGGTGTACACCATTACCGTGCATGAGTGACATAGACTTCGTCGACATTTTCATTCTGCCATTCATGCTTACAACAGCGAGGACAGTTTCCTTCGAGGCCACCGGTCGTGTCACCGGCCTAAAGGTTGAAGCAAGCCGCTGGTTCTGAGCTTCTTGGATTTGAAGCCTCGGGATCTTAATCCGCCCATCTTCGACCCGTATTTCCGGCTCGGCGTGCCACAAAATATCTTCGTCGGGCCGTTGCTCTCTCAGATGCGCCCCTACCTCTAGTTCCAGGAGCCTCCTGGCTACCAGGTTGACATCAACTTGTTCTGGAGTGGTGAATGTGATGATCTGAGTCCGAAGATACGTCATCTCGAGCACTGCAGTCCTCAGTAGCCCAGCAAGCATGTTTTTGTGTGGGTTGGAAGCACCAGTATCAGACGATGCCCATAGCAATGTCTTACTATGTTTGAGCATATTTTGCAGTGCCAACAGCCTTGTAGCTGTCATGCCCTGGAAAATTGAATCGTTGCCGCAATCCGCAAAACTGATGAAGGTCCCAAATGAAAGGCCTGACGATGCAAGGTCATCGAAGCGATCAAAGTGGACTACCTGGTCGTAATAGGAGCCGATGGAATTGACAAGCGACGTTGTCAATGATTTATCCCCCACTACCGACAGAGGACCCAATGATGGCAGCACTGATTGAGATCCTGTCAGCGGTTCGAAGAGGGGGCGTACTTGCTCATCTGTGGCTTGGCTCAGGAGTAAAGAAAAGGGAGTTGAGCTACTGCGTTCCTGATTCTTGGTAGCGATAACTGTGAAGCCGGCTTTGCAAAGTAGGGAATTCCAATCTTCCTTGCTTGCAAATTGGAGTATGCCAGTGATGTTTGTTAAGCCAGAGTGGTAATCGGTGCGCTCGAGCACAATGAGATACCCTCCAGGTCTCAATAGCTTCCTCATCTGCGACAAAGTTTGCCCTAGGTTGTCTATCTCGTGTAACACTAGACAGGCGATCATCAGATCGTACGAAGCCGGTTTGAAATCCTGGTCGTTCACCGGCTCTTTGAGGTCGAGGTGCTTGAATACCACTTGGGAGCCAGTCCTGACTTCATGAAGATCGACTTCAGAAATTCCCGTGAACTTGGATATTGGCTCTGTAGCAGTATACGTCGAAAAGGTGCCACGAGCGCTCCCTCCAAGCATGGTTGTTAGGTATCCCCCACTAACGTCAAGAATATCCATACGGGGAAAGCGATGGCTGAGCTGGTTGACGACATGTGCTACCTGCTCCAGGTGTTGGCCGATCTGCTGCTTAATGCCACCGTTCCCCTCAGGTATCTGATCTGGTAATGGTGTTTCGTATCCCCAAGTCTTCTCAAAGAAGAGTTTCGCATCATTTTGGAGTGAGTATGGACTCAAAGGTTTCACGTGCAGACCTTGGAGTTGAATGAAGGTGCGGCCACCATCGTGTGAATGAACCTCCACATCGCCAATAAGCTCAGTGAGTGCTGGGATTGCATATGCTTGGAAACGCAGCTGTGACTGACGATCGAGATCAACACGACGGGCTCCAATGTCAACGCAGAGACGCTCAATTTTTACCGGCAGATGAAGTTGGCGGAGATCGTTGTCTCCGGGGTAGGAATAAGCAAGAAGGATAGCTTGGATGGCAGAATCTAGTATCCCTGGATGAACCTGCAGGGGATTTTCGTTTTCAGTAGTGTCATCTGGCACGTCGATGAACCCAATGGCCTCATTTAGTCTTCTTTGCGTTCTTGTCAGACCACGAAAAGGCCCAGTATAGCCATAGCCAAGCTCGTGAGCTGATTCGTAGAATAGTTCAGGCTGTACTTCGACATACCGACCCTCTGGCATCGATGGAGCTGGTAGCAATTCGCTTGATACTGGGCCCTTGATAATACGCAGTCTGCCAGAGGCATTGGATACCAGGTCAGCGGATCCTCGCGCGGAATCTGAGCTGAAGGAAAAGCTGGCATCCACGTGTTCATCGACATCCACGAGTATGGATATTTCCACGAGGATCTCCACTTCACCTTCCGCCGGTATGAGTAAAGCTTGACCAATGCTGATATCGCTGAAGTCGACCAACTTGATGTCTTGATTTGGGTATAGTTGCTCAAGGGCCTCGATCACGGCTGAGATGTATCCCGCAGCAGGAAACACTGCTTGGCCTTGTATTTTGTGGTCCATCAACCAAGGCACACTTTTTGGACTTAGGTAGTTTCGCCACTGACACTCAGTTGGGGTTCTGTTGGGACATATAGAACCGATCAAGCTATGCGTCTTGCGATGGTCGCTTCGGAATGATCTTGTCTGCCGTGTTTCGTGCCAGTAATCCCGTTCATGCATCCATGAATACGTAGGAAGCCCCTTGATGAGTTTTGCTGGCGGGTCGCCGACCTCACAGAGATATCGATGAAGGGCATCGAAGTCCACTGCTTTCCTGCCAAAAGCTGTCCAAAGTGTGCCGAAAGTGCTAGCAATCGCTTCAATATCGTTGGTGCCTCTTTGAAGTGTGCCGCAGTAGAGAATTTCTTCGCCATACAGGTTCTTCATCGTGTCTAATGCAGGTGTCTTGAGTGCTGGGTGAGGTCCGATCTCGATTGCTGCGTCGAAAGGACCATGAGCTCCAGTGGCATACTCCAAAGCACTTGAGAACAGTACTGTCTGCTCCATGTTATCCCCCCAATAGTTTCGACTGAGATAATCCTGATCCACACCTTCAGTCCGGTCGCCTGTAACACTGGAAACCCAGTGTGGGAACTTCGAATCCGGTGCCGGCGGTTTGGCCTGCGTGTTGCATTTCTCGAGAGCCTGCAAATATGGCTCCAGGGCAGGGACCATATGGTGAGAGTGATACGCTTTCTCAACCTTCAGCATCCTTGCAAATTTCTTCTCGTCTGTCATCACAATACCAGCATGTTTGACTGCTGCGGCGTCTCCAGATAGGGTCACACTCATCGGCGAGTTGACCGCGGCTACGCACATACGACCTCTGAAAAAAGGCAGCTCGCACAGGTCGCTGGCATCTTGGAATGATGTACCCACGGCCATCATCGCACCTGCGGCGTCGCTAGAGTTGTTCCCAACATTCGCAAAGAAACCTCGATAATATGCGATTCGTATTGCGCATTCGGCACTGGGATGACAGGTCAGCAACATGCTTCTCTCAGGTCACAGCGGCCCCTTGATTACCTTAGATATCCAGCAGCATATGATGCGCCTATCTCCCCCGATGAATGGCCAACAACGGCAACAAGATTGACTCTTGCAGCTCTAAGCAAATCTACGATGGCAATCTGAATGGCGGTGCAGAGAGTCTGTGAAAAAACCGGTTGGCTTATTCGCTGGGAATCAGGTTCGATCAACTCATCCAATAATCTCCATGATGGTGCATGCTCTTGTCTTAAGGTGTCCAATGATCTTTGTAGCTTTTCCAAACAATGTCTGACGGCAGATGAAGATTGGATCAGGTTCGCCCCCATGCCTGCCCACTGGGCACCCTGGCCGGTGAAAACGCCAATAAATCGAGGCTCTGCAAGATCCATGCCGTGACTCCCAAGTTTGCTGATACTTATATTGTCTTCAATCGTCATTTGAAGTTTATCAGCTAGATCGCTCGGGTTGGAGGCTGCCAGAGAGATACGAATTGGGTGTGTTGACCGGCGAGCGTTCAGTGTCCATGAAAGGTCCTTCAACGACACCTCCGCGTTCGCTCTGATGAACTTTGCATATCCATCCAGCATGGCCCTTAAGGACGTCTGGGAAGCGGCAGAAAAGTTGAAGGGTATCAGAGGCGATGATGCACCTGTGTTTTGGTTCGTAGGTTGTGCGGTCGGATCAATGAAGTTCTCGAGGATGGCATGTGCATTAGTCCCACCAAAACCGAAGCTGTTCACACTGGCTCTTTTTGGGACATTTTCCGGTAAATGTGGCCACGATCTGGCTTCCGTGGGGATGATAACATGCTTAGCAAACGGTCGCACTCTCTCGCTCAGCTGATCCAGCAACAGATTTGGTGGAATTGTTGCGTGTTGTAAACTCAACATTGCCTTCATCAGTCCGGCTATACCGGCTGTACCTTCTGTATGGCCCAGAACGGTCTTGATAGATCCGACGTAAAGTCGCCCAGAAGCGTCAGAACTCGTGCTGGTCGGGTCGGGCTGGAAGAAAACCTTATCTATAGCTTCCGCTTCGATTGGGTCACCTGCAGCAGTTCCTTGTTTTATCGTAGTGTCAGTTACATGCGTTACAAGGCTGGGATCCGAGAATGGTGGCTGCAGTTCAACTTACCTGTCCCATGGGCCTCAAAATATTGCGGTCTGCTCGACGGTATAGATAGGTCTAGAGCGGCTCTCTTGTATGTCATCCGTATCAGCCGTGCCTGTGCCTCAGAGCTGGGCATGGTGATCCCTTTTGTACGCCCATCTTGATTGACTCCCGTCTCTCTCACAATAACCTCCACGTGGTTTCCATTCACTTTTGCTCTAGAGACACGTGTCAAGACCAGCACTCCAAAGCCGTCGGCACGAGCGTAGCCATTCGCCGCCTTGTCCCACATCCGACTCCTCCCAGTAGGGCTTAGCATCTTCAGCTTGCTTTCCGCAATGTAGGGTTCTGGTGCTAGTAGCAGGTTTGCTCCTGCAACAATAGCCACAGAAGACTCCCCACTTCTCAGACTCTGGATAGCTTGGTGTAGAGCGACAAGACTTGAGGAGCATGCTGTATCAATCGTCATGGAAGGGCCGCGTAGATCGAAGAAGTAAGATAGCCTGTTGGACAGTATACTTCTCGCGGTACCTGATGCAAAGTAGGTTGGCAGACTTGCAAGATCGCGACCTGCGACTGCAGTGTACTCTTCCCCCATGACGCCAACAAATACTCCAGTTGATGAGCCTTTCAAGTTTTCCATCGGGATACCTGCTGCTTCCAAAGCCTCATAAGTCACCTCTAGCAGTATCCTCTGACTCGGATCCATTGCTGTAGCCTCCACCGGACTGACACCGAAGAATTGGGCGTCGAAAGCCCGTATATTTTCGGACAAGGTGTACGAGTGGCGCACATTGCTTGTGCCTTGGTGTTGGCTGTCTGGATGAAAGAATCTGTCGGCGTTGAAACGATCTCTTGGTATTTCGCGCAAGAGATCTGGGGGTTGTCGGAGTACGTCCCATAGCTTGGCTGGCGAAGACGCGTCGCCTGGAAAGCGACAAGCACTGCCTATGATGGCGATGGGATCATGCCCAGCACTGTGCTCGGCCGCCATCTTGGTGACCGAGCCCTCACTGTACCAAAACAGAAGACACAGAAAAGGAAAAGGGAAAAAAAAGAAAGGAAAAATACTATCAAAATTGATGTTGCCAGCCAGGGACTTTTCGAGACTTTGCCAACGCCAAGCTGCGAGAGTGTCGTAGATGAGCAACCATGGGGACGAAATGAAAAGGCAGTATAGCCTACAGCTGTTGCGTCATTGGCTGCGCTGGGAAGGGAGGCTCTAATTCCCATAGAGTGGACTTGCCACGACGGGTATGCATCGGAGTTGCTTTGGGACCAATCGGGCTTCAGTTGTTTCCAGCTCTCGAAGTGGACCAGGATTTCGGGGAGAGGGAGCCCACACAGCGACTACAAAGGCCATTACGACAAAGTTCAGAGACTTGATTCGCCATGACTAGACTTCACGCCTTTTAAGGGCTTATTTTTCATGACTTACCGGAATATCTCTGCCCAGAATGCACCAATTTTTCAAGAGTGACTTCTTCAATTTTGAGACCATCCGCATCCTCGGCACTGTCAGATCTGGCGGAGCCGAGGTAGCAGAATGCCTCGAAGCACTCGGCCAGATCAAAGACAATGATCCGGTGAGTTGGCAAGAGGCATGGCATTACCAGGCCCAGAAAGCTGAAGAAGTTGCTGAAGAAGCACAACGTCATGACCATCGAGATGCTGCCAAAATGGCACTCTTGCGAGCTGCAAACTATCACCGCGCAAGCGCCTACATGATGACAGGGAACAGAACGGGAACTTCTGATCCCAGGGTCGTGCCAGTTCTGGAAAAGGTCGTGAGCCTCTTCCATCGCGCTGTGCGTCTTATGGATGGCCAAGTGCACACACTCGATATTTCCTACCAAGACGGCATTTCACTGCCAGCCTATCTATTCCTACCCCCGGCACCGAGACGAGTGGCTGGCAAGATCCCGATCATCATCAACTTCGTGGGAGCAGACTCCATGAGCGAGGAGATTTACCACATGTTTCCAGCCGAAGGACCAGGACTTGGTTACGCTCTTGTCACCTTGGAAGGACCAGGCCAGGGACTCACGCTGCATAAGCATAACATTCCAATGCGACCGGATTGGGAAGTAGTCAATGGGTTGGTGCTCGATCATCTACAGAAATATGCAACATCACACCCAGAAATGGAGCTGGATCTCGAGCGAATCGCTGTCGCAGGCGCGTCTCTTGGCGGCTATTTTGCGCTTCGGGCTGCGGCCGACCCTCGTGTCAAGGCGTGCGCGGCGGTAGATCCCATTCATGACCTGTACGATTTCGCCACCAAGCACGTCTCGCCAATATTTCTTGGACTCTGGGACTCGGGCTGGGTGACGGATCGATTTGTGGACAATATGATCTGGCTAGGGACCAAGACCATGTTCCAGATGCAGTGGGACATCGCAACATCGTCCCGTTTTCTAGGGGCGTCATCGCCAAGCGAAATCCTGCGGTTTATGAAGCGGTACACACTCAAGAAGAGAGGCGAGGCGTATCTCGACCAGGTGCACTGCCCAGTGTTCGTCTCAGGAGCCACGAATTCAATGTATGCCCTGGACGCACATGCGACCGCTATAATCAAGGACCTGAATACCAAAGAGAAGGAGACTTGGTTACCAATGAACCCAGGCGGCGGGAGCTTGCAGGCAAAAGTGGGGGCCATGGCATTGTGCAACCAACGGGTTTTCCAATTCTTGGACAAGACATTCAATATTGACAGGTCTGCTATCTGAGGTACTCCACTCTGCTGAAAATGCGAATGGGATCCAAACTAAGACAGTGCTTCCGTGTTCTTAAGTTGGATAGTAGGGGCGATAAATAAGGGCTATGTATAACTAGGTTGGGAATCTAAGCTAATTTATATGAAGGCTATAGATATATTATAATTTTCAATTAACTATATAATTACTAATCTACTATTTACCCTTTTAACTCTCTTTTCTTATATTATATATAAGGTCGATAATAACTTTAAATATTTTTTAATATTCTTTTATTAATAACTTTTTAAAGAGTAATCTTTTTTATAATTATTAATATTTTAATTCACTATATAAAAATTTAATTTATATGGCTTCGCTTCTATTCCGTATACGTCCGAGGACATACATGGCGCCTTCATACTTTTACTACTATGTTCAATTAACATGCTATGTAAGAATAACATTCTATGTTACTTCTCCATGGTATGAATGGCTAAACATAGCATGTCTGGTCCCTAATACCCTCTAATGGGATGTCTATTTTGAGATAGAACTCTTCTTCCGGATCAGAATTGGTGTTGCCATGTTCGGAGCCACACCAAATCCATAATACATATCCGGGGGCCTTTCTTGAGTTCCATCCAAATACTTGAACTCATAGTGAGTCAGCAAGCGTGTGAACATGAGCTTCAACGTGTCTTGAGCCAAGAACCGACCGGGGCACGCATGGTAGCCACTGCCCCAAGTAATCGAGTCATCCGAGACAGAAGCGAAATGGAACTTTGCTCTATCCGCGCCCTGCCGCATTCTGAGCCAGCGTTTCGGATCAAATGTTTTGGCGTCCGGGGTAATATCATCGTCCAAGTTCAGCTGCTGATTCGGAAACGAGATCTGAGTCTCGGCGGGAATATGCAAGCCATCGTCGAAAGTATGAGATTGCATGGCCATCTTCTCGACCGTCACTGTTTCGAGGATCAGCTGAAATCGCGTAGGAACATAATTTCAGGTCGTACCTTGTGTGAATGTGTGCACCCTTTTACTCTCCTTCATGAAGCTATCAAGGACCTTCAAGTCTGCCAGGGAGCTTCGCGTCCATCCGACCTTCTCATCATACACCTGCGAAATCTCCTCCTGGATATCGGTCACGGAGTCTGGACGGTCCATTAGGTCAAACAAGATGGATGTTCCCACTGCTGGCGTTGTCTGAGTAGCGGCAACAGTGACGAAAAGAATGTCCTGGGCGAGATCATCTGATGTCGGTACCTTGCCTTGGTCTTGATATCGACTTATCAACCATTGAATGGCATTGCCCGACGCTGAAGTCTTGCCCGACGGAGTACCCTTCGCATGGGTGGCTAGAATGGGCTGCAATAGCTCCCCGGCCCGGCGACGCAACTGAATGACTGATTTAGTGGGAGTGTCAAAGTATTTTGCCAGCCAACGTAACGATGGGTGGTATTTCTCGGTGACACTTATGGGTGCCATCATGACACTCGGGATATAGGCCAATATCATGCCCATCCAATCCTCATCGTGACACAGTTCAGTTCCGTACAAGACAACTGCAGTAGTATACGCAAAAATTGGTAGCAGCACTTGAAATGGCATGATCTGACTCCAGTCTAGCAAGGTTAGAGAGGACATCGAAAAAGGAGTTTGCATTGAAAGGGAGTATACACCTTCACAAGGAGGGATTATCTTGTCGCAGGCCCGCAAGCATTCTTCGTCCAGACTGGGTATCATGCTTGCTGTGTTAAGTACTGATATCAGCAGCTTGATCAGCTGATCGCCCAGGGAAGACAAACTTAACGCTTTGGTCAGTTCAACCCTGACCATGTCGCTCGCTGTATTGGTGAGCCAGCACCCATGGATATCCTCCATAACGGATGCCTATTCTTTCATGATGAGCCGAGTCTGCGAGGCTCGAGAATCAGATCTTACCTTTTTCAGAAAGGGGTAGAAGTCAAAAGCGCTCTGTGGTGCATTGCGGACCTGGTCCAGGTATTTCATAGGCAGGATGACTTGTGGATGTTTTTCATCCACCGGATTCCTGATGGCAAACGCTTGGCCACTTTTGATGTACTAGAGCACAAATGAGCAAGATAGCTAATGTCTTGATATAGAGTGATGCGCACATTGTAATAGCCTCTTTCCATAAGGCTCTTGGTCTCAGATATGTATCTCGCATCGGAATTGTTGCCGTCAAACTGCACATAAGGCATGTTGAGCTTTACGACTGCTTTGCGCTTGGAGATGAACCATATCGCGCCGAGAGAAGCGACGAGAAATAACGTGGTCCACATTTTGGATTCCAATAGTCGTGTATATTGCTGGTGATCTTCTCATTCGTCACGCCACACTGAGGAACGCAAGCTGCAACTTCACCTGTGTGCCACAGCCTAGCACAAGTCATGTACTATGGTAAGGGCTGTCGCCGGGCTGCTCAAGGATCGACGTTCGACAGTGTCATTCCGCCTTGCCGGCACAACCTTGCACTGTACACCTGCATGCACTGACTGGGATATCGGAGTACCGCGGGGCCACTCGGAGTTGGTTGTGCTGATATTATTTGTCTTGGTCTATACCATAATGGGCAATACCTACAGTTAGCTCCCTCAACACAATCTACTGTGCTGACAACACTGAGATCATAACGATGAGGCACGAAGTACGCACGTCGACATCTTTGTACCTGAAAGCAACGATCTACTTGCCATGAGGTCCCGACAACAGAAGATGCTGCTCGGCCTGTCCGGGCTGGTAGCAGCCGCTGTTGCAGGTGATATCAGGTTTCCAGATGCATGGGCCTCTGAGCAGATCCCCTTGGAATCCGAAAACTGCACAATCAGTCACATGTCAAGATACGATGAGGCGAGGAGAGGCGCACCAATATTTCTCTCAACAAACCCGCTAGATCACTTCGAAAAGCCTAGCGTTGAGCCTTTGAACACAACCACCGGAGAACAGTGGGAATTCGATGGCATATCGGAAGACGGAAGACAGGCTTTTATGATTGGCTTCTACCGTGACACAAGTTTTGCCTTCATGGGGACCGGTAACCTGCGGTTCTATTTCGAATACGCCTTTCCAAACGGGACGAGACACGCCGTCGTCCACTATGCCGAGTCCTCGACGATTGAGACGTGTGCTGGTCGTGGGACCCGTGGGGTGTGGCGAGGCCATGACTGGACATACAGTTTCGAAGTTTCCGACGACATGTCGCAAACCCGGATTTCTATGGATGGGCCAGAGGAGAAAGCCGCAATCAGCATGAACTCGCTTGCGCCACCACGATATGCAAACAACGAGATCTGGCCTTCCTCAAACGGCGACACTGAGCCTGTCCCGTTCTTCCACTGGGTTGAGCCGGTCCCCGTGGCGGACGCCCGCATCGACGGAGTCGTCGCTGGCGAAGCTGTGTCCTGGATAGGCATGGGTGGCCACGAGCGTCTTTGGGGCGCGTATAGCTGGTATACCTGTGTCGCCAGCATGACAGCGGTCCGGCTGCATACTGGGCCGTACGCACTGTCGCTCGTCGAGTTTGGTTCGAATCGTGAGCATGATACCATCGTTCCATCTGTGATAATGGCAGAGGATGGAAAGGTCATTTTCAGCACAAGGAGAGCGGCACCACACGAAAATGAGGACTGGATGCAGGTGCGGAAGTTGTACGGAGCTGATGGCATCACCACGGAACAGCTTGCAGACAAGGCCACTGGGTTTAGACTCACTTTACACTCTCCTGCAGGGGGCAAGACTTGGAAATTTGAGGTCAAGCACTTGAATATTGGTTTCGAGTATCCCTTTGGCGAAGGCGTTGGCAGCACTGGCTATTCAGGTCTAGCTGAAGGAGGGCTTGTTGGCGCGAAAACTCACCATGGCCCGGCCTACACAGAGATCATGAAATTTCCAAAGAAATCCTGGCTTCTGGCCAGGAGTCCGATTCGGTAGCTCATTACGGAAGACCTCGGCATGTCACTAGAGAGGCGGCACTGCATGCTTTAAGTCAACCTCACACCCTATAGTATTTTACTCTGGGTTTGGTTTAGGTCAGGCCTTGGCTGTCTTATATACCAGTTTCTCCCCAGATATGGCGTGCCCCTTAACCAGGTCAACCCCTTCCAGTATGCCTTCCAAACCAGCCTGCTCGTGAACCCTGATCGGATGGGTTGCAATCTCGCGCGCATCGAGCATCCGCTGCACACACCGGGACCATTCCTTTCCAAAATCGTGTATATGCGGATCGGGCTGCACGCCGTACGGCTCTTTCCAACCTACTGCTTTCCCGAGGATCGCTGAATTGATGACCCACTGTGGTGTAATCGCCCTGCGCGTGTCGCCAATTTCAGGATGGAACGGCTCGAGTGTGGTATACTTGCCGCCGGCGCGGCCGATGGCCGCGTAGCAAAACGCCATGCTTGCAGCATCACAGAAACAGTCCAGCGCGTAGTACAGGGCGTTTTTTGTGTAACTCCGTATTTCCCCGGGACTCGTCGGATCGTGATAATCAAATACTTTCTCAGCACCGTATTCTTGGACGAGGGCAAAGTTCCTCGGGGAGCATGTTGTGATGGGTATCATTCCCGATCTGCGCAAAATCGTGAGCGTCCATGTCGTTATATATGAGGCTTCGACCTTGGATGGGTGTATGTTTCACCTACTTGCGCACCAGTTGGATTGCCATAGTCCCGGACGCGGTACTGCCTCCGTACACGAGGACGTATGGCATCGGTGAAGTCTCTACCGGCTTTTCCGGGTGACCTGGGATTTCTAGGGAGTAGAAGAGCGCGTACCCAGCGACCGTAACGCTTGTGCCCAGCGTGGCAGCTTTCTCGAACGCCATATCATCACGGAGCTTCCATGCAAAGTCCTCATAAGCTACAGAGAACTCGGAAAAGGCCCCTACTTGCGGCGCTGTCGGATTGGATCCTGGCACAACTGCAGCTGCTCGGTCCCCTATCGAGAATTTCGTAACTCCGGTGCCAATTGCAATTACCGTCCCAGCGAAATCACAACCGGCAACCGTCCCCGGGCTGGCCATGGAGCCCGAAAATTTGACATCCACCGGGTTGAGAGCCACTGCTTCCGTGCGGATGAGTAGCATATCAGGCTCAATTTGCGGTATTGGCACATTGTGCGAGATGGCGAGGTTCCCTGTCTCGTCTACGACAATCGCCTTCTGCCCTTCGGGCACCGCTAGTATCCCATGCATCTGCCTCTTAGCCAACTGCAGTTTCCGAACGGCGGGGGGGGGGGGGTTATTTGGTGATGGGTACGAAAGTATAAGTCCCAACCTAAACCATATTTTCAGATACTGGGGTCACCAATGGTCCAGTACGAATAGTGTGTATGCAGGGTCGATTGAGTCCACACTACACGATGAGGCTATTCACAATTTTTAGTTCGTGCAGAGCACGGTAGCGCTCGAATAGTGGTGTGTATGTGTGATGTCTTTGGTTACGTTTTCTTCTCCCGTGCTCTTTAAAAAAAAAAAGGCAGTGGGCGGTCCCTTCATACAATGATGAACGCTCAAAGACCCAGCGTTCGATACAAATACCGGGAGTAATAGCTACAAGATGAGGCGTATGTGTGATGTATTGTCATGTTCTTGACATTCCAAAATGAGGTCTCACCTGGATCGATATCATCCTATCGGAGGCTGCCTAGGGGGTGGGGCAGTCCGATGGCCCGTGCGGGGCGGAAGTGCAGGTACCTAAGTACCTAGGTAGTGAACTTGGCCGAATAGGTACACACCACCCAACCTCGGAAAAATCCCCTACTCCTCCGGATCCTCGTCGTGCGTGTATCCAAGTCCCTGAATCCTAGTGCTGCCATCATCCCCTATAGCTAGCTTGAGCTCACTGTAGCCACTACAAATCCCTGGGCAATGTGGCAGACGAATGGGGGACCATAGATTACTTGTTATTAAGTACTGATACCTAGTCAGCCAAGCTGGGCCGTCTTTCGTCGTGATTACGTCAGCCAGCCCACGCACTTAGACCCTTGCCAGAGGCCCTCCGTACCTACCCTAGGGTAGCTGAATGAACCACGCAACTACACTACTACTTGACTGCACCCTAGAGTGACTCCCACAGGCAACAAGCAATTGAGTTCGACAACGTGCACACCATGTCAGGCTTATTCGACCAGTTCCGGGATGCGAGACATCCTCCTCAGGATCCGACACATCTCTCGTTCAAAGGCAAAACCGTCCTGGTGACGGGAGCCAACGATGGGCTGGGTCTACAATCCGCCATCAAGTTTGCCCAGCTCGGGGCCGACAGATTAGTTCTCGGTGTCAGAACACAGGAAAAAGGAGAGGCTGCAAAGGCTGCGATCCTGAGCCAGACGAAGAATGCGCCCGAGTTCGTCGTCGTCACCGCGGACCTCTCGACCTTCGCATCGGTGAGGGCGTTCGCGGCCGAGGTCAACGACAAGATTGACAAGTTGCACATTGTCCTGCTGTGCGCGGGCATCATGGTCCCTACCTTCCAGGCCAGCCCAGAAGGGTACGAGATCAATCTGCAGGTCAACGTTCTCTCAACGGCCTTGATGGCGCTTTTGCTGGTGCCCAAGGTCCGCAGCACCGCAGCTCTTCGGGATGGCGATTTCACACCACACATCACCATATTGAACAGCCTCGCGACCCAAGAGACAGAAGATGCATCGGTCCCGACAGATCAAACTCTGCTCGACCGCATCGGTGACGCGTCCAAATTCGAGCACATCAGTCAATATTACCTGGTCAAACTAGCCGCCCGATACTTCATACGGGGATTGGCGGAGCAGATTGTCTCGAAAGACATAATCATCGTGAACTGCTGCTGTCCCGGAATGTGTCGGACTGGGCTTCTGCGCCACTATTCTCTACCGATACGGATCATGCTAGCTCCATATAGATGGATCTGTGGCAGAACGGGCGAACAAGGCGCTCGAACACTCGTGAGCGCGACCGCCTTGGGTCCGGAGAGCCATGGCACTTTGTGGTTGAACGATGAACTCCCCCCGTACGTGTCCTAGACTTGCTGATAAGGCTTCGCTTTTGCTGACGGAGTTGTGCAGGCCCGCGAAATTCCTCGCCACGGAGCGTAGCGAAGAAGTGTATCGAGAGACATTCAGAGACATCCTCTCTATTCTGAAAGAAAAGGGAGGGTTGACTGAAGATTTCTTAGCTAGCTTGCGTGGCGGTGTCTGAAGTATAACTTGTCCATGTCCCGTAGCTGGATTTTGAACTCAATGTTCAGGTTTGCGTTGTAGCGACTCGACGATAAGCGACTCTCCCTTGCATTCAAATTGTATCTGGATGGACCGGACGCTGGGTTGCTTTCTGGAGTTCACCTTCTTGTAACATCTACCAAATATTCAATCACGGCTACTCGCTATAGCGATTCACATGTATGCATTTGTACAGGAGGATCACCAAGATTACAAATCTAGGGGTCGGGGTGCGTCTGAGACATTTGACAAGGCCTGCAGTCAAAGGATGGCCCGGGATTGGGGGCTGGCAGGGTTCCGTTGGGCGATAATTATCTCCTGCAGCGCACCCCTTGCACCCCCGAGCGTGCCCCAGGGTAAGCTCCGGGTCTTTCCACCCCTCCAAATAAGCTTGAAGCTCCCTTTTCTCCAGTCAACAGCACTGCCTATAAGCATATCAATCCAAGGCTCATTGATGCATCTTTACAGGACGATCGATGAAAGGGACGCCAACAACGCTGGTTCCTAATCGTGGCGAACACGACCCCCTCGAAATTAGCAGCTATGGCAGGCTTCTCGGCGACGCTGCGTGAGCAGTTCACAGCCATGCAGCAAGCTATGGCACCCGTTCGGCTCAGCAAGACCGACTTATTTTGGCTGTCTTTGCGGAAGGCCCGGCATGATATTGCCCTTCTGCTGTCTGATCCGTCTCCTAAAGCGACATACACCGTGTTCGCTGGAGTGGCTCTGTTGATTGCGCTTCTGGTAGATCAAATCAGGGCTCGGCAGTCTTCACTCCAGAGACTGGGCATGCCGCTCGTCAAAGCGCCGAAGGGGTCCAAGAAGTTCGACTACAAGGCCATCCTCGACGCAGGAGCAGTGTCGTACCCAGGCCAGCCCTTTATCGTGAGCTACTCCGGCTTCGAGCTGGTTGTCTTCCCAAACTCCACGTGGGATGAGATCAAGCGCCTACCCGTGACAAAGGCTTCGACTCTCGAGTACTTTACTCATGCCTTCTTCCAAGGCTGGCGCTTCTTGGGTAGCGACACGAGTGCTGTGCACAAGACGATTGGCATTGATGTCACACGCTCTCTCCCGACACGGGTGGGAGCCCAACAAGACAGCGCAGCCCGTGCTTGCGAGAAGGCGCTGGGCACCTCCAAGGACTGGAAATCCTCACGCATGTACTGGACTATGCAGGATATCATCTCGACCACGAATGCAGCAGGCCTCGTGGGCGAACAGTTGGGAACCAACCCTCGCTGGAACAGGGCGGTCCAGAGTTTTGTGCTGGCCATAGTGTTCGCGATCGCCACTGTCAGTCTACCGCCTCGCTTTCTCCGGCCATTCGTTACCTTATTTGTCTTCTTGCCGGCTTGGGGCATCTACTGGTATATGAGATGGCTACTACTACCGATGGTCAACGAAGATATGAGTCAATATGACCCGTCAAGTGAAGGGAAGAAGGAGGTCCTTGCCACGCCAGACCAGAAGTTCCCAATCACAGCATGGCTTCTGAACAGATACGCGGCAAACGAGCGCACGCTGCAGAATGTTGGCCACGATTACGTGGTCGCGTCTTTCGAATCGACTTCGGCAACTTCGGCGACCTTCTACTTCATCATCGCTGAAATTATTCAAAGACCGGAGGTGGTGGAAGAGCTGCGCGAGGAATTATCCCGGGTCATGGTGGATGGTCGCCTGCCGCAGACACAGCTCTCGGAACTGGAAAAGATGGACAGCTTCATACGCGAGTGTTCCCGATGGAATCCTTTCGGCCACAGTAAGTTCCAAATAGGTGGCACGTTGGTGATGCTGTCGACTGACATACATGCCCAGTGGCTCTATTCAGACGCCTAATGGCACCTGTGAAGCTCTCGAGCGGCCCTGAACTCCCGGCTGGCACACTCATAGCGGTTGATGTCCACAACGTGCCGAGGTCGCAGGAACTGTGGGAAGACTCGGAAGAGTTTGACCCGTGGCGTTTCTTGAAGTTGCGAAAGCTGCCAGGGCGCCAGAACCGACACCAGTTCACGAGTCTCGGCCAAGATAGCCCAGGATGGGGTGACGGGCCACAGGCTTGCCCGGGGCGAGCTTTCGCGGCAGCTACTCTGAAAGTGACTTTGGCACACATATTACTGAACTACGACCTCCGCTTGCCTCCTGGTGGTAGGAAGCCGGGTAGACATTCGATGCCTAATGGGTCGATGCGGCCGGATATGTTTGTGAAGATCCAATATCGGAAGCGGCCATGAAATGCTTGGGGATGATCTACTCTTGTACTGGGATGGAATCATGGTGATTTCATTTAAATCTTCTATTGAATGACTGTCTTCTTACAATATGAGCTTAGCTCGTCTGTGCGTCTATAGAACATTCACCAAAATACAAGCTGCACTATTATGTACTAATACGGTGAAAGATCTGCTAAGCATTCATAGCCCGGCAAAGAATCCTCCCATCCTACACAGTGCCAACAAGCCAAGAGCCCATCTGGATCGATGAACTTCTTGATATCCAGTAGCCGGGCGTACTTAGCCCCCCATATATGCTCAGCCCAATCCTGGAGCCACCAATCCGCCTCATTGCCGTAGGTAGCTCCGTCCGGAGACGCCGCATCCAGCGCCAACGTGACATTATGGAGGCTCGATGCCAAAGTCTCCCGGACCGACAGAGGTGTGCTCGGGGTGAATGCAGTCTGTGCCACCACCAACCACGCCGATTCATACCACGCGGAATGCATGGACACCTCCTCCTCCGCGCCTTCATGGTCTGCCGCATAGCGCAGAGGCGGCGTCGTGAGCATGTTGACGGGGACACCGGCATTCTGAGACGCCATGATAGTGTCCACGACCCGTTCTCGCGAGGCAGTGTTGCTCAAAACCTCAACGCTGATTGTCCTACTGGTGATCAGTCCAGCGTTGCTGATAGGCTCCGGAGCGGCGAGACTTCCGTTGACGACGGCGACGTAGTACTCGTAGTAGGTGGGCCAGACGGAGATGGCGGCGCTTCCCCCTTGGCTGGTGGCGTACTCGATGGCGGGGGCCAGGCTGAGGGCGGCTTCCTTCTCGTTGAGATAGGGGTTGGAGAGGAAGGTCAGATTGGTCCCAGACGGGCCGCCCCAGCCTTCTAGGGACCAGCGCACCATGTTCTGCGCCAGGATATCCACGAAGGGCCGTTGGTTGTCTGCCGTGCCCGGGAAAAAGATGGTGGCCGCCGTGATGGGTCTTTCGGGCTCGACCTCGAAGGTGGAGTCGAGCACGACGCCAAAGGCGCCGCCGCCGCCGCCACGGAGGGCCCAGTACAGGTCTGTGTTGGTGTACTTGTTGGCGATCCGGACCTCGCCGTCGGGTGTGACGATTGTAGACTGGAGAAGCCGGTCTGCACCGAGACCACGACTGCCCGTGAGAACACCGTTGCCCCCGTTCAAGGACCACCCGCCCACCGGTCCGATGGAGCCAACGACGGGACCAGCGAATAGCACGCCCTTGCTATGGGCAAAGTCATACGACTCGTCGGTACTGACACCTGCACCAAGCGTGAGGGCGGGAACCGGATGTACACGGTATGTGGCGCCATCAGGGAGGAATGACGCATCATATGTCATGTTTCGCAATCCCCGCGTCCATATGGCCAGGGACCCGCGACGACTGCTCCGGCCGACATAGTCATGGCCGCTGTTCTTGATGGACAGCGCGGTGCCGGTCCGGCGGGCATAGGCGAAGACGGCCTGGACGTCGTCGGCGCCCGTGATCTCGAGATAGGTCGGCGAGAGGACGCCGAGTCCGCACGTGGAATTCTGCACGGGCTCGAGCGTGGCGGGGTCCAGCATGCACTGGTCGGACGGCCGCGAGGCGCACGCCTCGCCCTGCAGATACTGGAATCCCTCGTAGCGGCTGGTGCGGTAAAACGCAGGCTTGCCCGAGCTCAGGGCCTCCCGGTACGAGGCGCACGCCTCCCCGTCCGGCTCCTGGTAGCAGGGAGCCGCTAGTGGTTGCGACGCCCGAAGTCGACCGCCCACGGTGCTGTTCAGCTGGTCCAGGTTGCGTCGTTGCAGGACTCGCAGGTCCCGCCCGGCGCCGATACGGCAGAGGCAGAGGCAGAGGACCTGGACCAGGTACAGCGGCCACCCGGCTGATCGCATCTTTTTCGAGAGGTAGTCTAACTAATGAGATTTGGCGACGCCCACCACAGCACAGCAACTCGCTCACACCATGAAGAGCCTTTATGGACTTGCTTTTCCCCATCGCTTTTCCCCATCGTTGCTGCGCCCGCTCACCAGCCCGTCAACGGTAGACCATTGGCTTGTGATACAAGTGAATGTCGTGGTGGTCATTTCCGTGCTGGATATTTTCGTCCAGCTTCGGCTGCTTCTATTGGAGGGACAGGGGTATCGGCCCCGGGTCGGGCTTGACCATGGAGGAATGCAGGTGCGCAAGGGTATCGGAGTCCGGGCTGAGTCCTAGGCCTCCGATGACAGACAAGTGTCACTCGCGTATCCGCCAATAGAATGCCAGAATGCCCAGGGAGGTGACCTAGGCGAGCAGGCGAGTTAGGAAGGTTCTTCTAAGTAAACGACCCTGGTGCCGGCCGATACGCCGGGGCAGATACACTGGGTCACGATTGGATGATGCAGTGGTTGGTTCTTGATGGATGACGTGCTTTGTTTTTTCTTTCTCATTTTCTTGTGTTCTGTATAGGTGGCTAATCTACGGGAAACACTATGCCATATGCCTGACATCTAACTCAAAATTGTGAATAGCCTTACCATCATGTGGTTTAGTTTTTAATCCCAATACATGTAAAATGTCTTGACATCTGACAGCACCGTCCTGCTATACGGCAGTCCCCACCATCCACTTGTACATATATGCCAATGTATTCTTGAAGAAAATCCATGCATCTCATTACAAGAAATCCTATACACGACCCAGCACGTACTTGGACCTTGCAAGCTTTTGGTCTACGAATACATCCCTGTTACCTGTGATCGAGATCCTTATGACCTACGTAACACATCTAATAATGGTACTCTCCCATCGACTCAAATCCTATCTCAAGGCTCGCGCTTGTGGTACGTCACCGAGATGTCGTCGGTGCGCTGGACCACGGGCTTCCCGGGAGGGAATCGCGGGGCTGGGCCCGTCTGAACCGTAGTGTTTTGCTTGGGAAGGATCAATTCCTCACCAGACACGCCGTGTGTCGGTTGCATTTCCAAGTCCATGTAGCCCTGCTTGTAGCTCAATGACTGCGACGCCGTCTCAGATCTGTGTCGCCTGCTGCTCCTCCTCCAAGTACTCGGGACAAGACCGGCCAGTGACGATCCGAGGTTTTCGAAGAAGGGCGCCAGCACATTCGCGAGCGGACGTAGCGTGGGGATGGACCCGATGATGATAACCAGGCACTGTTCGATCGCAGTGCAGAGACTCATGACTCCGAAGAGTGTGAAGATTTGAGGGTCGCTGAACGGATCGATATTCGCGTACACGCAGTTCACTACCACCTTGGACAGCGCGGCAACCGCGGTCAAGACCGAGAAACCCATCAGGACAATCAAGCCGATCTTGCGGCGCGTCGGCATGTGAAGCTTCCAGATGAAGACGACCGGGAACAAGACATAAAGGAGATCGGAGATTCCGAAAAGCGCTGTTCAGTGTCTCTCGTCAGTCCCGCAATCTCATCCGCACCGGGGACCACTACTTACCCTGTAGCACCAGAGTCAGGTACTGCTGGATTCGCTTATCCCAACATTTCGCTCCGACGACGAGGAAGTCCCACACCGCCTCCACTGGAGTACATTGCACCCAGATAATGATGATGTTAAGCAAGCCCAGCACGGTCTGGAACGCAGTGAAGCTGATGAGAAACCATTTGAACCATCTCCTATTGCCGAAGATGCGAATAAGCAGGATGGTGATGGAGATTCTGGCGAGGATGGAGACGACGTTGGAGAAGGGTGTCGTCAAGAACGCCCATTTCTCGGCGGCGATGATCTCGTCAAGCGTCATGTTGGCGATGGCCTTGCCCAGGCCCGCGACGCAGCATATGGTCAGGAAAATCTGGTAGACTATCTGGAAGAAGGCGGCGGCGAGCATGATCCAGTCGTCAGAAGCGATCATGATCTTCTGGGACTTGCGCAGGTAGAACCGCAGGCCGACGGTGGCCATGACCAGGACCGTCAGCAGCCATGAGACGGCGAGAATCGCCGGGCCGATGCCCGGATCATCGGGGTTTACGGGCGGCGGCAATACAAATCCACTAGGCATCTTCTTCGGGCCGTGCCTGAACGTTATGCTTCGGGTGAGGAAGCCACAAGCCACTTGAAGAGACCGTGGGAGCAGAAGAGCCTTGGAATGAGCTAAGAAACCTCATGGAGCGCGGAAGAGGGGGCATATAATACATCAGCTGACCATGACTGCCGGTGGTGGCACCAAATGTAGAGCCAGTAGGATGCTCGAATGGCTGGGCGCCTTTTGGGCCATAAGATGCTGCACCGCCTGCTGCATCTTGTCAACTCGACGTCGCTTCTGCAGGCCGGCCACATACCGTCCACGAGGGAGCGGGCATTGCGGCTCATTGCACAGCTGGCTTCCCGGTCAATCGCAAGCTCAGTTTTTCATTGAATCTGTACAGATGACTGAGAAGTTTCCTACACACCATCATCGACAATAGTCCATTTTCATTGGTCGTGTGTTGCAGAAGAATCTCTCACGCCGTGAACAGAGTCCGAAGTCCGTATTATAAGTCCGATTTAGGTGGAAACTACATGACATTAGCTGCACTGCGACGCTGGACCTTTCCGTTACAAATATAGATACAATGATACAACTATATCTAAGCCCTTATAGCCCTATAGACTATCTACTATTAGAATAATAGATACCTACTAAGCTTTAAAGCCTTTAAGTTAATAAAGGTAGGGATATTTAAGCTACTTAAAGTTAATAATAAGTATTATTATATATAAATTAAATTTAATATTATAATTATATAAAAAAAGTTAATAATTTTAAATAATATTATTAATATTAATATTAACTTTAAAAATAAATATATATTAAAATTCATTCTTTTTTTATATATAATATAATTATTATATTAATATTTATTAATAATTTAATTTATTACTTTTAATTTTATTTAATATAAATATTAATATTTTTAATTTATTTTAATATTTAATATATTTAAAATATATTAAAAAAATATAATTTTTATTAAAATTATAAATTAAATACTTATAGAACTAAATAGTAGGACTGTATACTCTACTTATCTTATTAATTTAAGTAACCTTTATACCTCTCGCGATATAAGATTATAATTTTACTACTTCCCCTACATTGTTCTTTAAATAAATTTAGTTTTAAATTAATAATTCTTTATAAATAATTTAAACCTTCTTTATTATAAGTTATATAAACTACCTTAATTTTAAAGTTTTATTAATATAAAAAAACCTTTTTATAATTATAATAAGAATAACTTTAAACTTTAATTTAATTTAAATTAATAATAAATATATAAAAGATTTAAAAGTATAAAATTTAAATATATATTATTTATTTTATTATTATAATATAAAATTTATAAATAATATTTTAAATTAAAAGAATAGTTTTATTATAAATCTTTTAATTATTTTAATATTTTAAAGGTTTATAAAATTATAAAATTATTATATAATAATTTATTTAATATTTTTTATAAATATTAAAATTATTTATTATAACTATTTAATAATTAATTAATTAATTATATAAAGAAATATAGAATATAGGGAACGTGTTTACTAGCATAGGGGATGGGTTCACCGGCTCAGTGGAAGTGACGGTACGGGTCTTATGTACTGCTAGGAATAACCAAGGTCTTTTGGCCGGACGAGAGAGCGTGTGGCTAGCAGTCGCGCCTCTCGTTGCAGGGGACAGGTTCACCGGCACAGGGATATCGGAGCCAACGTAGCTAATCACACACCGGGAGAGTGCTGCTCTGCATTACGTTCTTTTAAAAAGCGGCGTAGGCGCATCCCTACTCCTACCCAACCCCTCTGCATGTAACCACACTGTGCTGCTCTCACAGCCTTGATTTCAACTGTGCATATAGCGCCCCACCCTTTCATTCTCAGCTCTGTGCGCTGAGTCGTGATTTGAGCTCACCTGCCAGGTCACTCAGCGGAAGTGAATCCAGCCCTTCTGGCCCCTCGCCCGAGCGCGTCATCTCCTGCGTTAGTAGCATGTCTCTGATAGAGATAGACACAGGTCCCTCTACCACACAGGCTGGCTGCCCCTGCTGGACCCCAGCCCCAACTTGGCGCGCCCTGCTGACACCCCAGCAGCCCGCCCCAAGACCCGTCTCGATCCGTCCCAGCATGTCGAAGCACAGCTCGATAAGCACGGAGACTTGGGTAGCCGGACTCCCCTGCACGCGGAACCCCCCGAGCTGCAGGCTGGGCATGATGGTGAGGCCGCCGCCGCCAATGTCCGTGGATCCGGCTTGCGGTGATGGCGTGCTTTCAAGCAGTAGACGGTGGAGGTAGACGAATATCCGGCGCCACACGCGCATCAGGAGCATGTAAGCCGTCACGAGGGATGTGGTGAGCACGACGCAACAGGCTGGGCTCGCGCCTCGACGATCACAGCTGCTCGTGTAGCTGGCAGTGGAAGAGTGCCCGCCCGCTCCGATTATCTTCAACAGTTCGCACAAGTGCGAGGAGCGTTCGAGAGCGCGCTGAACGGCTGCTTCGAGAGGATTTGGCGAGGTTTTGGAGTATGGAGGGTAGACGTCGGCTGCTTGCAGATTTTCATAGTCCTCTGCTAGCCGACTGCTGAGCTCCATGACTTCGGGGAGATAGTTGCGCGGCACGTCGATCCCGACGGCGTCCTCGCGGCCGCGCGCAGATTCGAGATCCATGTACAAATCGTCGGGGCCGGCAACCTGGGTGCGTGATGATGATGTAGCCAGGCTTCCACGACCGGAATTCACACTTTGTCCTGGACTTGGAGTCTCTTGGTTGACGGTACCGGGGAGTATAGCTCCTGGTGATGAAGAGCCGGCCTCTGGGTGCACAAGATCCATATAAGAATTGCCAAAAACCGCGACATCAATGGAAGATTCCGCGAAATGCTCCTGCCAGTCCACATCAGGTGCCTTGTTGGGGTCACTCTGTGCCTCTCGGCTTCCATCCGACGGCACAAGGCAGGAAAAGTTGAAGTCGAAAGCCGGTGATCGTACTAAAGCCTCAGGCTTCGCATGTGTTAGTGATATCTCAAAAACATCATCACAGTTGAGGATCACTTACCGAAGTGCGGCCCTCTCCCAAAACTGCAGCCGGTGGATTTACTCTAGTATTCTCGGTACGGGCCACGTGAACGGTATCTCTCGCTGGCTGTATCTGTTGCATCGGCCGGGGTACGTTGTGGGAGCTAGAGACCCTGCGCGGCGCCAGGGCCAGTGGGATAGCAGGTCTGGTGCCTGTGCCGAAGCCCTTATTGGCGTCCACGGCCGTTGACATGGGGCTACTGGTAGCTGCGGTGGCCGTCGCCGTTGTCGCCGTTGTGCACGCGGCACCGGACTTGCGGCATCGCTCACAGACGCCCTCAGCTTGGCGGGGATCGCGCTCGCACCGCAGCTTGTACGTCCGGCATCGATTACAGGCCGACCTGCGCTGCTGCCGTGATCGTTGAGACAACATGGTCATCGAGAGTGGGCCCATCGCCTCAGGCCCTTGTGAAGGTCAGCCCATGGGTGTATCGTGGATTTTTTATATGGACTGGAAGCAGCCCATCAGTCCCAGGCAAGGCAAACAACATTTGAACCGTTTTCCCCGCTTCTACGTGAAGAAGATATGGTCGCCAAGGGCTCCCTCTCGGGTTCCAAGTTTCATTGCTGCGGCCGTTGGCTGCAGGCAGTCATCAATGATAGTGCTTGTGTAACGCCGAAGCTGCAAAGGTACCTAAATACTGTACCTAGGTACTTCCACGACTTGCCAACCAACGGTGATAAAATGTAGATCTTTCCTTGTTAGCACCTACTTGTGTAATGCGGGTGTGGGTGGCATTGGGGTCCGCCGCGGGACATAGACATGTAATTAGGTATTTCCACAAATCCTTGGAATTTTATATATACTTATAAGGTACAATGTAATTATTTTAAAAATTTATATATACTATCCTTATAGTAGTTTTATTATTAAATAACATTGAAATAAAGTTATACTTTAATATATATTATATAATTAAATATTAAATTGAAAAAATAAATATATTTTTAAATATTTTAATATTATAATATAATTAGGTTTATAATAAGTTATATATTATATAAAAAATATAAAAAATATAAAAAATATAAGTTTAATTTAAGTAAGACTTTTTACTTATATTTATAAAGTTTATATTAAAAATAACAGTTTAATTTATAATTTATATTTATAATAAAATAATATATTATTTAATTACTTTTTAAAATATATAAAAGTATATATTATAACTTTATTTAAAAGTTAAATTAAAAGATTTTATTATAAAGTTAAGAATTATATAAATATAAAGAAATTATATTTAAAATTAATAATAAGATTAATTAAAATAAATAGAAGATTAGTTAGAATCCTATTATAATTATATTAAGGTAGTATTATTAAAGCTTGTTATTTCTAACCTAGGTAGGCTATATTACTATTATGTGTATCGTGTTTAACTGTGTTTTTTCCTACTTAAAGTTATGTAGTAAGTATTTAGTTACTATAGTAGAAGTATATATATTCTTACCCCATACCTATGAATTAGAATATTAGAATTTATAAGGAATCTAATATTTAAAGGTATAAATAGTTAGATTATTAATTAAAAGAATTAGTTATTAAAGGGTACCTATAAAAGTATAGTTTTAACTATCTATAAAGCTTATTTATATAACTAATTATAGATTTATATTATCCCCTTTTTTAAATAAACTATTCTTAATTTATTTATATAAATTATATTCTTTAATAATACTAGTTAGAATACTTTTAAAATTTTATTTCTTCCCTTTAATATATTAAATTCACTTTTATTAATTAAGCTAAAATAATATAATAATAATATACCTTAAAATTTAAGTTTTAATTTAAATTAACCTAAAAGGTTATTAAAATAAAAAAAAGGTTTTAAATTTAAACTAAAAGTTTAACTCTATTATAATAAAAGTTTTAAATTTAAATTCTAATTTAAATAATTTTTTTATCTTTTAAATTATTTTATTTTAATTTAAAACTTAATTATTAAATTTAACTAAATTATTTAAATTTAAAGAATTTTATATAATTAATAAAATATTAATAGATAGATAGTAATAATTAATAAAATTTATTAATTAAAATAATTATTTAATTAACTTCTAATTATATTAATTTAATAATTTATCTTTTATCTTTTTAAATATTATTTTATTAATATATTATAAACTTTTATAAAATATCTATTATTAATATATATTAGGAAAAGGTTTATATTATTATATTTATTTTAAAAGAATTTTATTAAAGTTTTAAAAGTATAAATATTATTAATATAATAAATAATAATTATTTATAGATTATTATAAAAGGGTTTATACTTATATACTTATTAATATATTTATAGTATTTAATTATTTAAAATAAAGATATAAAAAGAGTTTTATCTTTTAAAGGAAAGTATAAATCTAGTTTTTAATATTTTAAGCAATTATATAATTCTTTATAATTAATATTTTATAATTAACTATTAGTTATTTTATAAAAGCTTCCTTTTTTATTTTATAGATTTTTATATAAATAATATATAGTTTATAAATTAAAGAAAGTATTATCTTAAAAAGGAAATAAAGGTTATAATTATAAAACTTTAATATATAATTATATAATATAATTATTTATTAAATTAAAGTTTAAATATTATAATTAAAGTTAATTAACTATTTATAAAGGATTATTTTTTAAATTATTATTTATTTTTAACTTTATTATTTTTTAGTTTATTAAGTATAATTAAGTATAAATAGGAACTATAATAATAGTATTAATTTATAATAACTTTACTTATAAAGTAATCTATATTATTTAAAATTTATTTTTTTAAAGTTTTAAAAATATTAATAATTCTTTTATTAATATAAATATAGCTTTATAAATTATATTAAATATAACTTTAATTTTAATTTACTTAATAATATATTTAATTATTATAAAAATAAAAACTTTATTTATAAATATAAAGTTAATTATTTAATAAATTAAAAATATTAATAATATAATTAAATTAAAGTTAAAAAGTATTAAATAAAAATTTTATTAATTAATACTCTTTATACTTTATAATTATTTATTATATAATAAAGATAATCTCTAAATATTAATACTTTTAAATACCTTATAAAAGTACTTTTAATTATAGTATAATTATAATTAAAATAAAGTTTCTTAATAGCTATTAATAAATTATTAAATTTAAAAATTAAAAAGGAGAATTATTAAAGGGTAATTTTACTTTATAAAAAAGTCCCTTAAGGAGTATTAATAGAGCTAAATCTTATATAAATAATTATTTAAAAGAATAAAATACTTCTTTATCTATTTAAATTAAATAACTTTAAAAATTAACTTTTTTATAAAAATACTTATAAACTACTTATAAATTTACTCTATTAAGTTAATATAGTTTATAAATCTACTTTAATAAATCCTTCTCTTTTTATTTAAAAATAAAAGTAATATTTTAAAGATTATATCTTTAAATAAATAAAATAAATAGTCTATAAAAATATTAATCTTTTAATATAATATATAATATAAATTTTATAATACTTTATAATATCTAAAAATATATAATTTAAAAAACTAATCTATCTTAATATTAATAATCTTTAAAAACTTATAGTTTATTAAAATTATAATTTTAATACCTTAAATTTAATAAAACTAATATTATAAAGTTAATAAAATTTTAAGTAATTTTATTCCTAAATAAAATATTATATTTATATATTAATAAACTTTTTAAAAGTATAAAACTAAATATAAAATAGATTCTTAATTATAAAAGTAAAATTATAAAAAGTAATATTAATATAATATTTACTTATATTAAATTTAATTATAAAAATAGCTATTAATTAAAAGTTTTATAATTAAAAGGTTAATAATAATATTTTTAATTTTATATTATTATTTCTATACCTTTTAAAAGTATAATAATTTAACTTTTAAAGTTACTAATATAATTTATAAAAATATTAATTTATTTAAAATAATTATTTATTAAATTATAAAAATACTTAATAATATTAATAAAGTTATAAATTTTAATTATAATTATTAATATAAGATAGTTATAAATAGTAATAACTTTTACTAAATTAATAATAATATTATTTTTAAAATAAAAATTAAAAACTTTTATTTAATAAATAAATTAATTTTAAATATATTTAAAATAAAGTTATAAACTATTAATTAAATAAATATAATTAATATATACTTATAAAGTTATTTTATAATATCTACTTAAATAATTATATTATTTATTAAATTATATATAAACTTATAAAGTTTATAAAAATTTTTAATAAACTTTTAAAATATAATTAAAATATTATAAAACTAAATAATATTATTAATTATTTATATAAGTTAAATAATATAATAAAAGTAGTTTTTTTATAATCTTAAAGTTTAATTAAATATATTAAAAGCTATTCTTTAAATTTATAAAATATATTATCTATAATTTATTATATATTAAATTTAATTTATAATATTAAATATAAAATATATATATTTTTAATATAATTATTTAATTAATAATAATTATAATAAAATATTAAATAAATTATTTAAATTAAACTTTTTTATATATAGTTATAAGTTTTTAAATATAAAATAGAAAAATAAAAATTAGAATTTTTACTTTTATAAATAAATATATCTTTATAAATTTTAATAAAATTATATATAACTTACTTTTATAAGGAATTAAATTATTTAAAAAATAAAAAGTTTATAATTACTTATATTAATATAATAAATAGTTTTAATAAAATATTTATATAATATTACTTTTATTAAATAAATTAAAAACTTTAAAGTATACTTTTAATATAAATAGTAATTTAAAGTTATTTATAAAAGTATTTAGGTATTATTTTAAAGGTAAAAAAGGTTTTAATATTTAAAATATAGTTTTATAATTAAAAGCTTTAACTTATATATTTTAAAAATATTAATTTAAATTAATTAAAGAAAGTAAATAAATAAAGAGTTTTATTTTATATATAGTATATTATTTATTAATAAAAGATTATTTTTAAAAATAAGTTTATTTAAAAATATATTATTAAGGATTACTTTATAAAAACTATAAAATCCTTAAAAGTCTATTAATTATAATAAATTTTATAATAATAAAAATATTTTTATAATTAAAGAGTTAATATTATTAATATTATTTATTTATATAGGGTTTATAAAAGGTATAATTTAAGTTTTATTATTAAAGATTTAAAATAATAATAAGTTTAAAAGTTATAATTAAAAAAGTATAAAAGTTATAATTATTAATAAGTTAAGTATAAAAAGTTATAAAATATTTTAATACTTTTATAAGGTAATTTATTATAAAAAAGTAGGAGATTATTAGTATCTATTTTTATATAGAAGGTATTTTAATAGTTTTAATCTTTTAGGTAAATATTATTAAAGATTTCTTTTAAGAGGTTTTTAACTTCATTATTATTTTTATATAGAAAGTAAGGTTATAATATTCTTTTTTATTTAAAGTTATCTTTAATAAAATAAATTTAAGTATTTTTTTAAATAATTTACTTTAAAATAACTTTAACTAATTATTTTATTATATTAATTTATAATTATATTATATAATTAATTAAATAAATTAAGTTATTTATTATTATAAAAACCTTTTAAGGATAATATTTTAATTAGTTAATAAATTATAAATATTTTTAAAAAAGTAAGTTTAACTTTATAATTCTTTATTTAATAATTTTATTTATTATAATTAAAGTAAATATTATCTTTTTAAACTATAATAATATAAACATTAATATATATTATCTATATATTATAAGTTAAATTTTAAAAATAAAGTAAATAATTTATTTATTAATTTATAAATCAAAGATTATTAATTATATTAATATAATATTAACTAGTTTAAATTATATAATTTTTAACTTTTAATAATATTTTAGTTAACCTTTATATAATAAAAAGGGTAGTTATACTATAAAGTTAAACTATTATTTTAAAAATAATAAAGATTTTTATTTAATTATCTTATTAATATAAACCTTAATATATTTAATAAATTTCTTTATAATTATTATAATTACTAATTAAAATAATTTATTAATAATTTTAATATAAATATTTAATTAATTAATAAAAATATTTTAAATAAAATAATATAAATTATTATAAATTATTATTATAAAAATAAAAGTTTAAAAAATATTTTAAAAGTATTAAATAAAATTAATATATAATTTATTTTATAAGGTAGAAAGATTAAAAAAGTATAACTTAAAAGTAAAAATATTATATTAATTTAAAATCTATATAATTACTTTTATAAAAATAAATTAATTTAGTTTATTAGTAAATATTTATTTAATAAAATTATTAAAATTATTTAATAGTTTTATAAAGACTCTATTTAATTATAATTTATAAGAAATTATAAAAGTATAAAGTTAAACTTATATTCTTTTAAACTTATTAAAGATAAAAATATCTATAATATTAAGTTAAAAATTCTTTAAAAGAAAACCTTTTATATTAAAAGTTTTAAAAAGTTAATTTTATTAAATAGAATTATTATAAAAAACTTTTATAAATAAACCTTTATTAATATAATAAGTTTCTATAAAGGGTTATATAGTTAATATTAAAGATTAATTATATTATCTTTATATTAACCTTAAAAGTTTAAAGTTATTAAAAGTTTATTATTAAAAGATATAAATTAATTAAAATAATAATTTTATTTACTTTATTTAATATAATAAAGAATTATATTTTATTAAAGTATATAATAATTAAATTAAATTTTAATTAATATAATTATTTTAAATAATATAAGCTATTTTAATAGTTTTAAATTTAATATTATATTTTACTTAATCTTTTAAATTATTATTTATAGTTTTATTAAATTAAAAAATAAATATTTAAAGTATTAAGAAAGTCTATAAACTTAATATATTAATTAGTAAGCTTCTTAAAATATTCCTTTAATTATAAATTTATTAATATTAAACTTATAATTAATAAGTACTCTTTAAAAGAAATCCTTTATTAAATTAATTTTATTAAATATTATAAGGTATTAAATAAAAAAATTAACTAAAAATAAAAATTAATATAAAATAATAAAACTAATATTTATTAATATATTCTTTTAACTTAATTATAAATTAATTATATTAATAATAATAATATAAAAAATATAATACTTATTATTAAAACTTTTAACTAATTTAAAAACTATTTATTTATAAATAATAATTATTAATAAATAAATATTATTATTATTTAATCTAATAAATAAAGTTCTCTTCCTATAATTATTATTATTATTAAAAATAATCTAACTTTATATAATTAAAATATAAATATTTATTTTAAATTAAATAATAATTAAATTAATAATTATTTAAAAGTATATTTAATAATATTAAAATTAATTATAATTATTCTTATTAAATATAAAAATAAAATAAAGTTCTCTTAATAAAAATAATTATTTTTATATATTTTTACTCTATACCTATATATTAGAATACTAGAATTTATAAGGAATCTAATATCTAAAAGTATAAATAGTTAAATTATTAATTAAAAGAATTAGCTATCAAAGGGCGCCTATAAAAGTGTGGTTTTAACTACCTGCAGGGCCTGCTTACGTAACTAACTACGGATCCACAAGCATGGAACAGACGAGCTACCTTGCTACTTACATGTGCATCCTCCGTATACGCCCTCTCCCTGCCTTGAGGCCTGTTACAGAGCACTGGCGCGAGCACGGTCGGGCGCAGCGACACATATATCCGCAATCCTAGCCTTGGGCTTTGAGCATGCTGCCTGCGGCAGCCCAGCGACGGCGCTGGCAGAAGAGTTAGTCTGACACATAGTGTGCTGAGTACCTAGGTATATAAAGGAGGCCACGCTGCCCCTTACGCGCGGTTTCCCTTGCCCAGTCCCTCTTCCTCAAAGGGCATTGCATGCTTAGCATCTTGTGGTGTATATAACGCCAAGGCAACGCATACCGCAATGAAGAACGACTCGACTTAAGCTGGTATTTAATAGGACGTGTTTGAGCGCAACTACGGGCTCTAGGATAGGCAAAGTGATCGTCTAACTGTAAGCCAGCATCCTGAATTAGATGGCAACAGCAGCGAAAATGAGTTTCCTACCTCTGATTCTAATAAGTTCATGACACTCGCCCGCCGCTGGTGCGATAGTAAGTGGCTATAACGGCACCACCATTCCTATCCGCGTTGTTTGCTCATCGAGAAGCAGTTCACCGGCCGCAGAAAGCCGAGAAGCTGAAATGTCAACGACCCAGACTGAGACGATCACGCCCCATCAAGATAACAATCAGAAACAGCAAGAGTACATCTAAGGCCGTGCGACGCTCAGCTCGCATCGCGGCGAAATGAAATCGCGAGATGGTGACGGAGTGATTTCAGGACCTGCTACTAGTTAGCATTCCTGAGGTTCGGTAGTAATTGTGAATATTTCGTAAAGAAAATTGGATCATGCCCTTCTTGTGTTTTTTCCCCCTAAACTCGATTGTCAGGACCATGATTGTGATGAGGGGGAGGACATGGTAATTAGTAGGTATTTATGAAGACGGGCTGCCCGGTGACCGGTCCCAACAGGCAGGGCGATGACTGGTCAGCGTGAAGGAGGAGACCTTAAAACTTGGCCTCAACAGAGTGACCGGTCAGCTCGATAGCTATGGGGACTGGTCACATTTAGATACTGGTCAGCATCCCAGAGGCCATTACTGGTCAGAGCTGTAACCAGTCCCAAGTGAAGAGGCCATAACTGGTCAGAAGGCATTAGCCGCAGCCTTGCCTAATTAAAGAGCAATAACTAATTAATAGCGCAGCCAAAGGAAAAGAATCACCAGTAAACAAGTTGGGGAGTGTACTTGTGATTACCTAGGTAGTAGTGCAACATGCACATCAAGCTCGGCCAGCTTTCCGTCACAGGAAAAGAGTTGAAACACGATATTTATGATGCCTACTGATATTTTTGTGGTGGTATTAGAAAAGAAAACGAAACACTCGGCTACCAAGTTTCGCGCGCGAGATCAGATTCGGAGCATCCGCAGACATGCAGTGGGGCGAGAACTGATCAAATTGTGGGCATTCGTCTCCAAGTCTTTGTAGAGAAGATGATCATAAGGTAGGTTCACCCTTATAGAACCATCTTGAAACTTTCTTCCAGCTTCTGCGATGTTCCTTCGGCGCGGTCCACGGTGTTGTCTTCCGACGCGATGAGCACCGAGATAAAGCGCGCCCACTCTCCTGACCGGTTCTCCCACCTATCATTTTATCAGTATCGTGCACAATAGGGTTAACAGAGAAACAAAGCCCAATCTTACGCATGCAATGTGCCACGCTGCACGACTATGTCGCCAACATTGCAGACTGTCTCCCGCAGCTTGCCCGACACGTCCGAAGTGCCAGGGTCATAGGCCTCATCCGGGGTTATGAGAACCATAGACCCCTGAAGAAATATGATGTAATCAGTCGTCGTGGTCCGATGGTTTTCACGCATCTCTGGTCAGCAAGCCGGGCCAGCGAGGAAGACATTAATTCCAGGCGCGCCCTCCTCGACCTACCATGGGAGCTTTACCACCAGGCGGGATCTCGTTGTATCTGACATTCGCGCCATGGGGAAAGCAGAGCCCACCGTTCGGGATTGGCTTCACGGTTATGTCGGTCCCGGTATTTGAAGTGGGCACTTTCTCGTGCGTGAAGACGGGCCGTCCGAACCACAGCCCGCCCAGTTCCGACACGAGAGGGAGCTCCTCGCTGACTACTTCGACTGCCGGCTCTGAGTTGTCAACTTTATTGAGACCCTCCGGGACGGCAAGGTTGGAGGTCACGATGCGACGCGGTGCGGGTAAGGGGCTCATCTTCTTGTCCTGGGGATAGTCAATTGTGGGTTTGGGGCGTGATGCAAGAGGGAGTGTGCCCTTCAAAGACGCCTGACATCGGGTTTCGAAATTTATTTCAACCGTTGAAAATGTTCAGGTGCCACCCATCACCCCTCAACTGCAGCTCGTACAGGCCGACCAACCAAACGCAAGTCTCGGACTCCCCCCGCATGCAGGATTAAGACCAAGTACCTCGCAGAGTGTCACTTTTGGGTGTCGGTGAGCTTGCCCAGACGTCGCCTTCCTGAATTCTGTGAGTAGTCGACTCCTGATTCGCTTTCCAACCAATAAAGTCACCAAATCTGCATGGATTCCCCCCTTGCCGTGTCGCGCCGGCTTCCGGTGCCTGCTCCCGGTCATACGACTTGTGAGATCCAACACCCATGGCTACCAACATGTCTTTTTGGATGCTGATGACTGCCCTAGGTACTCTGCACTTGCCTCCCGGAAATTTATGGTTAGTCAACCCGAAGGAATGCTGGATGAAGTAATTCCGTCACCAGATACTCCTATTGTCCGAAGATGCGATTACAGAGTCTCATATACTTCATATCAAAGAGCAGGTTGTGCGATCTTGGTTGGAAGAGCCAGAAGGCGTTGCGGGAACAGCTCCATAGCAGTTTGACAGAGGTATTCCTTGTGGTATTGGAAGGATTCACACCGCCGCTCGTCAATGTACCCTTCGATGGACTGGAGCCGCAGACTCCCCGCAGCTCTACATATGCAGTTGCGAAGTCCAATTCAGGAGATCACGGCCGACAAAAAAAATACAACATTGTCACATATTCTACATGACTGAGCGGGTAGGGAGGCATTCCTGGCTGGTTATGGTTCTTTTCCAAATGCGATCAGTTCAATTCCTCTGAAGGTTTGCCTAGAGGCGACCCCTCAAATTCCCGTGATAGCGTGAGAAGAGAAATGGGTCTCCAAGACAATCACGTGCCGTGTTGGAGTGCAGGACTGAGAAGTTGTTTGATGACGCCGAACCGCCGAGTATTCCGCTAAGCGATTTTCTCATGCTCTCCGTGTTGATGTACATGCTTGTTCATCCGAAATGGACCAGAACGGCAAAAGTTCATCGCACGATGTCCATGCCGACATCAACTACTTCCCGGCCACAGGGAAGGTCATCTCAACCGAGGAGTGGCAGCCTCGCTATTTGGGAGTGAGCAATGAGTCCACAAGAAAAATGACGATCCACGACATACGCGGCATCGAAGACAGATTCAGCCTCGATGAGAACGGTTTCAAGTTTGTCAAGCTCCCCGGCAAGCACAGAAGCACCGATGACGACGAGACTATCAAGACGCTATGGTACCCAGAAGTCTCTGGAGTCATCAAAGACCTGTAAGCCATCTGGACAGGATTTGCAATGCACCGCCAGCAAAGCTCACCTCGGGTCTCCCAGGACCGGCGCCTCGACCGTCCACGTGTTCAACCACTGCATCAGACAGTGCAACGAGCCAGTATCCAAGGGCAAGCTGGACCCATCGGGCCGCTGGCTAGCCGCTGCGTCAGGGCACCCGCACGTGGATTATGCGGCACGTCCCGAGGACATCCAGGGCACGCTAGAGGAGCTCAGGTTCCCCGCCGAGATAGCCTCGCGCCTCGAGTCCTCGCCGCGGTTCGCCTTCGTCAACGCCTGGCGGCCCATCAAGACGGTGCAGCGCGACCCGCTCGCCGTGGCCGACGCTTCCACCGTCCCGGACTCGGACTTCCAGATCCGGGAGCGCAGGTTCAAGCCGAGCGGCGTCAGGTCCGGCAACTACGTCATGTCGCATGGCGCACGGGAGGATCGGCATGCCTGGTATTACATGCATGAGATGGGGCCGGACGAGCTTGTGGTATTCAGGAACTACGATACCAAGAGGGACGTGCCAGGCTGGAGGTGTCCACATACTGCGTTCCAGATTGATGAGACGGGGGACATGCCTGTCAGGGAAAGCATCGAGATCAGGGCTGTTTGTTTCTGGGACTGAGATGCAGAAGTTAGTCGTGTGTTCAGTTGGTGCCATTGGGTTTGAGATCGACCCGGTTCTCGCATCTGCCAGTGAGGTCTAAGCATCCCCGTATCAATCTGGGGACTGTGCAAGAAATGGAATTCGATTTGGTTCCGTGTTTTTTGCTCTAAAGAAATGGTATCAAAAACATTCATGAGTCCTTCATAATTGGAGCTACCAGTGCAAAACTTCCATAGATGATCCGGCAGCAGCGTGATTGTCCACATCTGATCGTCCTGGTCCCCTTTTCATGTTCTATCCAACGCCGATATTCCTTGATCTTTCAGTATTTGGCCAGGGCAGGCGCTGCTCTCTTCGTCATTATTTACCGCTTCACCCCATTTGCAATCTTGTCAAAAACGAGGCCTCCGATTGTGGACTTCATGATATTCCCAATGGCACCGTGGTTCGGGTTTTTGTCGATACCGGTGTTGATCACAGCCGCGCTTATCGCGGCGGTCGCCACCCTGACGCCCTTCTCCCCTACCCAATCACCCGGCCTGCTCCTTTGTCGGAATGCCTCGACAGCTGCTGCTGATAGACCAGCTTTTATCATCTGATTGCGTTTCTTCTTGTTGTCCACGGACGGGTCACGGCCCCTGTGTCCATCGCGGCTGCCACGCCTCGAGGGAGACCGCGGCTCGCTGTGGTGCCTCCGGCCGCCCCGATCGTGTCTTCTGGATTTGTGGTCAGAGGACCGTGGTGGATAGTAGCGGTCTTCGTCTTCGAAGTACTCTGCAGATCCGTTGGCGTCGTTGTATGTGGATCGCCGGGAGGGAGCCGGTCGCTTGGCACGGCCACGAGGTTCCTCGTCGTATAGGTCGATCGAGTCCCGATCATCATCGTAGTATCTGTCCCGGTCCCGCCTCGAGGGCCCCCTGTCTCGTCGCGAGGACTGGTGTCTTGAATGTGCCATTGCGAGTTTGTGGTGCGTGGAGGAGAGAAGTCGGGTTTGGTTGTGTCGAGAGAATGAATGAAGTCGAGCATTTGAGAACCCACAAAATCGGAGTCCCCAATGTGACGTACCCCCCTTGAACGTCACACACTGCACAGCTCGTCCGCAGTCTGCTTTTGCATCAGGTTTCGCCGTGGTGTGCGCCAAGGGATTCACTTCCAGGATTACTGCTCCATTGTCATCCAATGACGGCGGCTCAGGCTGCCACTGCCGACTTACCCGAGTCACTTCTAGGCCTTCTAGTCAAGGCTTGATGGCGGTGTCGCTGCCTGTTCCCTGTTTCGCCAGAGGCCGCCGTTGAGACCTGAATGCAACGTTTGGACAATTTGTAGGCGACACCGAGCGGCATTTAGGGCTAGATACTTAACAATTCCCAATATAGTGTAAGCCCCTACTTAGTAACTTTCTTATTAAACTACTTATATATATAACTATCCCTATTTAGGTATTAAGTAAAAAGTTATTTACTAAGGTTAGAGGTCATTACTACTTTCCTCTTTAAGTATAGTTAATTAGTAAGAAGAAGTTAATATTATTACTATTATAATAAACTATATATTATTAACTTATATTATTAAATTAGTTAACTATAATATTGCTAATTAAGTATATTTTATTTACCTATAAGCTATTATAATAAAGCTTAAATCCTTTATTAGTTATATTAATAATAGTATTAAGGAAGACTTTTTAGAATTTAATAGTCTTTTATAAGCTAAATATATAATATAAATTATACTTTTAAAGGATAAGAGGTTATTATTAGAACTATATAATAGTAACTTCTTTAAGCTAGCCCTTAACTTTTTTATAAAACCTATTAATTAAGCCTCTTACCTATTAGAAGATATATTAATCTCACTACTAGCCTAGATAGCTAATAGGAAGCAAAAGGCCATATTATTAATAATAAGGGTACCTATATATAAATAATAATATAGTCTAATTAGCTAACTATTATCTTTACCTTAAATAGTTTAAGTAGCCTTAATTAAATATATAAAACTATAAACTTAGCAATTTATAAAGCTTTTAAAAAACTATAAGAAAAAGGGTTTACTTAATTTAATAAATTTATATTAATAAAGACCTATATAGAATAAAATAATTAGCGTTTTAAAGAATAAAAACCTAACTTAATAGTATTTAATAAAATTATTAAAAAATAAGTATAATAGTAAAAAGAAGTAGTATAAATATTTTATTACATTCCTTAACTATTTTAGTATAATATATAATAAGAAAACTAATATAATAAAAAGCTTTAAAAAGAATTTCTTATTAATAAAGCGCTATTATTTAAATGTAATATAGCTTTAGAGTATACTATTTAAAAATAGGGCAGTCTATAAAGCCATTTTTTAATAAAAATTAGCATTAAATGAGGAGATTAATACTCTAATATTATTAAAAGGTTTTAAGGCTAATAGTAAAGTTAATAATAATTTAGAAGAAAAGGAGAAAAATAAAGTTATATAAATATATAAGTAAGGCTATAATTAACAAAAAGACTCTAATAACCTAAATCAAGCCTTTAAGATTAATAATATATTATTATTTCCCTTTATAGCTAGGCCTCCTTTTTTTATAATAAGTTAATAAATTTATAAAGCTACTAATAACATTATAAATACTAAACTATCAACTTTTATTAATTAACTTATTAACTTTATAAAGCTTAAAATAGTATTAATTATTATAGTAAATATAACTACTTACTATTTTAAAAGAATAATTAACTTAATTAATATAATAATAAGGTAGTAATATTTTATATATATAAAATAAAAGGTTTTTTTAACTATTAAAATATAAAATAGTTTATTTAATATTATAAAGAATATTAAAATAGTATTTTAAGTATAAAATTATAATAGTTAAAAGAAAAAAAAAAGTAGGTTAATTAGGGTAGAAGGGTTGGTAGGCTATAAGTATACTTAATAAGGTAGTAATAATTAAAGGCTATTTATTAGTTTAAATATAAATTCTATATCTTTAAAAAGTTTTTTTAAACTATATTCTATAAAAATTTAAAAATATATATTTTAAAACTTATAATCTCCTTTATATAACCTATTAATAATTAATCTTTATTCTTTTATTATATTAAGATATATTAAAGTATTATTAAAATATAAGAAATTTAGCTATTTTTAGCTATAATTAATAAAGCTTTATAAAATATTAAACTACCTAATTTTAGGTATATTTAAACTCTTATATCTCTCTAACTAATAAACTAAATTTAATTTTAACTTTAAATTTAAATATAAAATAGTTTAATTAATAAAAATATTATTTTTAATATTAAAATACTTTATTTTAGTTAAGTATATAAAATTAAATATTTTTATTAAAAGATACTTAAAGGTTAAGTTTTAAATAGCTTTATAATTAATTATACCCTTATTAACTAATAAACTATTAATATTTTTATAGATATACTATTATAAACTTTTTTCTTTAACTACTATAATAATAAGGCCTTTTATAATAGTTTAGTTATATTTTATTATTATTACCTTTTTTAATACTTTTAGTTTTATTTAATAAACTATTAGCCTTACTTTATAATAATAAATATATAAAATAACTTACTTAAAGCCTTACTAACTACCCTCTTCCTTCTCTATATTACTTAAGCTAAATATAAAGTTTTAAAGCACTATATAAATATAAATAAACCTAATCTACTTTTTAATATTATATTTAAATATAAAAACCTATATAATCTTCTATTTCCTCTTTAATAGACTAAATACCTACTTAACTATAATATAAAACTAAATATAATAAAGGTTATAAAGTTTTTATATTTAATAGCTTTTATTTCTCTCCTTTAATTCTATAAATAATACTATATTAATAAAAATAATATTAAAATACTCTTTTATAATCTAAATCTAGTATTTATTAAATAAAATCTATTTAAAAGAATTATAAAGCCTTTCTTAAAGACTATATTAAAAGTATTTTATTACTTATTAAACTCTTAGTATTAATTAATATATATATAAATAATTTATTATTTTTAATTATAATAAAAATATTTTATAATATTATCTCCTTTTAATTTCTCTACCTTACTTATTTATTTAAAAGTATAAAGACTATAATATATATATTATTAATAATATTAATATATTTATTAAAGTATATATTCTTTTTATAATTTATACTACTTATTAAACTACTCTTTAAACTTTAAGTATATAAATACCTTAATAAGAACTTTAAAATAGTATAAATACTTCTTTATAATTCTATTAATAATTACTTAATATAATAAAAATAATAAGTATAATTCTATTAAGCTTCATTATAGGTATAAATAAAAAAATATTATTAATTAGTATATTATTATTAACTATTTTATATTCTTAAGAGGTATATAGTCTATTAGTTAAATAAAAGGTTTTAAATATATATTTTAATATCTAAAATATATTATAAAACTACTTATTAGTACTATATAAAAGACTATTTACTAACCTATTTATAACTTTAAGCTAAATTTTCCTCCTTTAATAATAATAATATCTATAAAAGACTATATTTAACTTAAATATTAATCTTTAAGTTTATAATAATATATTATTATATAAATAGTTATTATTATATATATTTATTAAACTTATAGGTAATTTATTATAATAATAAATAGTAGAAGCTAGTTAATATATTATACTAAAATTTATATTATATTAGTTTTTATTTTTTAGTATATAAATTAATTATAACTTTAATTTAATAGTAAAATATATATAGATTTTTTTTTAAAATAGTTATAGTTAGTAAGGAAATTATAATAAGGTAAGGAGTATATATTAAGTCTTAATATAGCCCTATATGAGGAGGAAATTCCACCTATAGACAAGAAGTACTATTAAATAGGAAATAGAGGTATTATTAAGCCAATATCCTTACTAGAATACTATATGTGTGTTTACCACACTACACTGGGAATCGTCGAGCATCTGGCCCTTAATGGTCTCCGCCACGGTCGAGTCTCACCCAAATCTCGGCCCTGCCAAGCGCGGGTATGTCTTCTTAGCGCGGGTACCCGTTTTTTTATATTTCTCAAGCAAAGAGTCTTTACAGAATTTCTTAGACGCAACGAAACGCTCAAGAGCGTAGCTATCAAATCATAGTCTTTTCCGACTGGAGACGAGTGATTTTTGATCGAATTCCAGACTGGGAACACAGATAGGACCTAGTGCATTGCCAGATAATGCGAACCCCTCGGCTTTTCTCTGCATCCTGTGCTCAAGTGGCAGAATTCTCAGGGGCTTGCATCAGCTCAAGGAAAACAAAGAGAGAGAGAAAAAAAAAAAAGGCAATACGAATGTTTCATAGTCCAGTCTAGATTTAATGAGTGACTAATGTCTCGGACTGATAGGCGGACGGGCTCTTAAGTGAGTACGTCCGCTGTGTGCGACCTCGCCAGAGGTAAAGCTGTCTTAGAGGTCCTGGAGAGTTTTCAGCTTTCCAAGCCATGAAATCACAACCAATGGCCACCTATGGAGTGGAATGTCTGCTTATGCTTTGACAATTGGCGGACTGGTCTGGCCCTCTCCGTACGAAGGACGAATCTACAAAGTCAAGAACAGAATGTGAAAGAGGAGAAACACACCGTACATCAGCCACCAGTGCGATTCCACCAACGACAGATAGAGTAAACCATTCTCAAGATCAGAGTGTTCGTTTTTAAGCAATTTCAATAGGAGATACACCTCGATCGGTTGAGCAAGTCGATAAGAGAGTCAGACCGTTGCAGCTCTATGTCCTGGGGCCATGTCAAGTGCTTCAATGTACTACTTGACCCGGACCGGATTATGAATATGAGTTTTGGAATTAAAAATGGTCCAGGTCTCATCTCGGTCCCATTTTAGGACACGCGGCTCCTTTTGTACGCAATTGATCTGTGCCGCAGCGCTACTGTCGCCACGCCACTATATGTGTAACGCTGAATCAACCTGCAGGAGGATCTCTACTGTAACTTGGTTCTCCTGGACAAGGGGCCCCAATCATCCCACCCAGGCAACCAACCAGCCTACCAGCTGGCTCACAGTCTTATCCTTCCGAGAGCCCACGCATTAGGCCCACCCAAAGATATGCAAGAGTTGGAACCTTTTATGTGACGACAAGTAGATCCCAGCATCTCCTCTCCGGCCTGGCTCTAGCAACGTCAGCCAACAAAGGAGTGCAAACAAATCATCGATACCTGGGGTACATAGCAACGCCTCAGCGCCTGGGGCCCGATATCGGCACTTCACTCTCTAGAATTTTGGTTTATCCCTGCAATGATAGGTCATTGTAACGGCGCGGGTGATAAATCTACCTCTCCCAGTATCGCGAACTATTGAATCCAGAGTCACCCGATAACCTCAGCCACGACATCCCAACAGCCCTGCGATTACCTCGTGTCGAACGACTAGCCAGGCTGCGAGCATCGGTATTCTCTCTATTCCGATCACGTGCATCAGCCAGCAAGGGCGAAATTGTTTCCTTGGATTCGCTGATTGTCTCCGCGCGCTCTTGAGTCACTCGCGCCCCAGCCTTGTTCGCCTCGAGGTCTATCTCCTTCAAGCTAGGTTCCTCGATGGCTTCTGGTACCTGGAATGGGTCCACGAGCGGGTCCCATGTTATCATCGTTTGGGTGCCCCTCGTGATCATCCTGGCCTTGGGCCTTGGTGCTCCGTTGTCTAGGAAGTGAGGTGGTAACATTTCCTCGTACGAAGGTGATCGCAAGGGCCCAACAGATGACCGTGTAACGAAGTCCTTGATAGGTTCGAGAGGTTTGGAGCCGAGTGGATCGGGAACCGGCCACTCCTCAGGCTCGGGTTCTCGGGGTGGCCCGTCATTTACTGTGGAAGAAGGCAACGGCGGAAGGCTAATTTCCTGCTCGCCAATTGTGCTGGTCTTGGACTTGAATTGTTGTGTCAAAGATTTAAGCGTCGAGCCAGTCATCGCAGTAGGGATGAGCAGAGATTCCCCTGGTAGCTGCCTGGGTCCGTGACGGACGTCCTCGACGTTCATGACCTGTCCATGCGGGCCTTTCATATGTTCATCTGCCGCGTCGGGTGGCGCGACCCCTCGCATGAAGCGCGCGACAATCGGTCTCAGAATAGGCAGGCTGGTGCACAAGATGGCTGTCTCGAGCTCCGCGAGGGACCAGAGAGCTGTCTGGACGTTGGTGAATGTCGGATCCGGTGATGAGGCGCCGTGGCGAAGTGTTGGGATGCGCACAACCGAGATTATGACGACGACGAAGCCGAAACAGAAAATGCCGATGAGCAGGTATCTCTGGCGCCGTAGCAGGGGCATCTCCCACAAAGGTTTCAGTGGGATGGAGAAGATGATCAAGTCCGTGCCGACATTGATACATGAAATTGCGGTCCCTATTGGTGTTCAGCTTTCTCTGATCACCCTGGCCATGTGTCTTCTGCTACCATTCGAAGGTGGCACCATGAACGCTAGTCAAATAGAGTAAGATCTCGCGTTTTCAACAGAGGGTGACTTACAGACTGGAAGTGTCGGAACACAGATATCCTTTAAGTGCGGATTGTTCACTAGGCCAGTGGTCGGAACACAACTCAGCGCGTAGAGGATGTTCTGTCCAATCATCCATAAGAAGGAGAAGAACGCAAAATAGACGCAAATTTGTCGGACCCTTCGATCGGGGAAAATGCGATAAAACTGAATAAGAAATGAGATCTTGACGACATTGAGGCCCACGCTGTAGAACTGGATTACAATGAACAGCGATAATTCAAAACTGTGGATTTCCTCTTTGGTGAGGTCCGTGATGTGCCGCCCCAAGCCTGAATTGATTTCTGCGCCGAGGTAAGGTCAGTCTTATTCGTCATCAAAGGCTAGACCGTACGCCTACCAAAGTACGTGGCGATTGAAGCACCCACTGCCATCACCTGTTCGAACTTTATCAACTTGAGTTCATGTGCTAGTGGTGTTCTGTGGGACAAACCCATGCGATGGACACGGTTAGGTCATCCCAACCCGCGGAGCCTGCCTTCAAAAGAATGCATCGGATGTAAAGTCGTATACCGACAATCACGGTCGTGAAGAACAGGAGGCCAGATGTGATGGCGATCGCCAGCTGTTGATGTGTGTTGTGGATGACTCCCATTTTGTCTGGTTCCGAGATGGAGCTTCCGCCACTTGAGCTGCGAAGCCTGCTTTAGGAGAGCCCAAGCTTTTCGATTGCCAATGCTGAGGCCTGTTGTTGGCGTCTTGTGTTGATTTGTTCTTGGAACCTGTTTGGCACAACCAATTCTAAAACATTTCTTGAGCGTTTCGATGGACGACAATTGCGGATGAAAAATTGGGTCGACTTCTCCAACGCTATTGAAGCCTCACGACCGCAAGGATGATAGAACATTTGGGCAGAAATGATGCCGGGTCATACGGGCCATGGGCGCTTCGGAAAAGTCGCCCATCCCAAGTCGCAAGCAAGCTCAAGGTTCAAATTTCGCTGAGTTCGTGATCTCCCCACACAAGCCGGGTGAGCCAGCTGGAGATAGTTGTTGGCCTTGTCTGTGCAGCACACCATCGCTCCGTGGGCCCCTTCTCCGATTCGCTGCCGGCGCGCATTGGGAAACATCTATGTAGGATGTGTTAACAGCGTTCCGAGCTACCCCGAAAATTTGTGAGCCTAATAATAGCGAGTGCCTGCGGCGGGTGTAGGCAAAGAGAGAACTTTGACTTTTCAGCTAATAAATAACCTTTGTACTTTTAGGCGCCATGACTGTCCAGATACCTGGTCACATTGGACCTGGACTTCCTACTCCTAACGATTCAGTTTGTCGATCTCTGTCACGTAGCAGACGTCACAGAACACACTTTCCGTTTACTTTGACGCGGTTCTTTACGTATAGAATACAATGACAGTGAAACGAAGTAGAAGCGGCTTTGGTGGCAAGCGGAGATGCTTGATACTTGATGGCGACGCAGGAACAACAAATCTCGTGTCTCAAAAATGGCACAGGAAAGCTCTCACATCCATTTCACTGCTCTCAATACTTGATCAAATTATGTCAAAGCTAAGATGTCACCATCCACATTTGCAGCTGTCAAGGAAGGCTTCCGTTCATATCACACCGACAATCTGGACCCGCGAAAGCCGCCGGTTTCGCCCTCGTACTTCGAAGAACCACTAGTTGTCCACTTGTAAACTTACAAGGCTGTTTGTTTCCCCATCCTCGTGTTTTCGATTGTTCTTTCCATAACGTCATCACAGTATGCAGTCTCGGGTTGGATATAGATGTTCTTGCCGTTCGCCACGACAGCCTTCCCGAAAAGCTCATCCGAGGTGGCTTTCGTGCCGTTGGCATCGACAATTTCGGCTCCCTCAGCCAACTTCAGGACCGTATCGGTGATGATCGACAGCGGCGTGAATACGTCCACTGGTAATGAGTCCCAGGCACGGTCTGGTACAATATGCGTCCTCACTGCACCGGGACAAAGCGCGTTAACACGGACTCCGTCAAGCTTGTAAGAGTCGGCGACAGTGCGCATGAATCCCAGGATACCGACTTCAAGGTCGAATCTCGTGTCAGCATGTCCTTGATCAAAATCACGCGTGTGGGAAATTGGTGCAGCATAATTACATTTCGAAGCAGTGTAAATCGGTGCCCAGTATGCTGGCCAAAAGCTGGTAGAGCTAGCATTGATCACGATAGAACCTTTGCCCGGCGACAGGTTGATGTAATGACGTCCCACATGGACCGTGTTGATGCAGCCTTTCAGGTTGATCTCCACTGCTGCGAAGTCTGGGGGCGGAGGACCGTCAATACTGTCGTGCTTTGCGAAGAGGTTGGATGACTCGATGATGCCAGCATTCGCAAACACAAAGTCCAGTCTGTTTTTTCCGGCAACGAAGGCGCTTTTGAACGCTGCTGTCACCTCGTCGTAGTTGGTCAGATTGGCTCTATGGTAGGTTGCGTTCGAAAGCGATTCTGCAGCCTGTTTGCCCTCGTCATCCCTGATGTCGATTAAGTTGATCTTCCATCCGCCCTTTGCATCCAGAGCCTGGGCCACTGCCAGACCTATGCCTCTACCTGTAGCGTTATTAGAAACGTTATTCGAGTTTGGGACAGTGGTTGAGTTTAGGTCGTTAGCGTGGTCGAGGAAGACTTACAGCCACCCGTGATGACGGCCACTCGGTCAGGCCCGGACGGCATTTTTAATTGGATTTTGTTGTAGCTAGTTCCGATAGAAGCCAATCTAGACCAGCTTGTGTTGATGCTACTCGTAGAACGATGGATATATAAGTAGTTACTGCTGTCCAAGAGCTCCACGGTTGTTGTTTCCTGCTTTCCCCTCTTCTTTTAAGAGAACGGAAATTCGCGTACCCAAGATCGGAAGGCGCGTACCCAACTATGACTAAGCAGTGCCCCAGCCAATCAGAGGACTTTATTTCATTTCATTACACCACCCAAAAAGTGTTTTTTTACATCCCCCCTATTATACTCTATAACGAATTCTCTTCCCACCCAACCACACTTCCTAACTACTATACTACTATAAGTTGAATTAACTATCTAAATACTAAAAACTATTAATTAAAGATTAAATTTTTATTATATCTATTTAAATATTATTTTTTAAGTATTATAGTTAATAATATAAATACTTAATTACTTTAAGTTTAAATTATAATAATAGGTAGATTATTATAATTAGAATTATAATATTATTATTAATAATTATTATTTTTAATACTTTTAATCTCTTTATACTTTTAAAGCTTTTTAATAATAGATATAATATTTATAAGGAGCTTAAAGTTAAGTTAAATAAAGCTATAAAGTTAGTTAATTAGTTAATAATTTTTATAATTTAAAATTATATTAAAAGGTTTTAGTTTATAATTATAATATATAATAACTTTTAACTTTAACTATTTATAATAATATTATAATTAAAGCTAATTATATTTAATAAAATTTATTTATATAATTAAAGTTATAGTAGGTAAGTAGAGGTTTATAATTTAAAAGGGAAGTATATTTATTATAGGCTTTAAGTAGTATTTAAAATAAAGTAAGGTTAGATTAAGCTAATATTAAATTAATATAAATTTCTTTCCTAAACTATATATAACCCTTTTATAATAAAATTAAAGAAACTTAAACTTATATTTTAATAAAAGTATTTTATAATAATATTAGAACTTAATATAATAAAGTTTTAATTAATAAAATAAAGGAAAAGAGTTAAAGTATCTATATATTAATATAAATAATATTAAATTAATTTTAAAAGTAAAATTATTAATATTATTAAACTTAAAATAAAAGGAAAGTATTATTAATATTTTCTAATATAAAAATAATAGATTATATAAATTTAAAAGTAATATTTTTATAATATCTTTTCCTTAATTATATTTATATAACTAATAATAAGAAGATATTATATTTTTAAGGTATAATTATAATATATATAAAGAAGAACTTACCTTTATTTTAAAATATTATTAATAATAAAAGAAAATAGACTTTTAATAGCTTTTAGAATAAGTTAAATTACTATTAATAGAGTATAAGGTTATAAATTTAAAGGTTATTATTATTAACTATAATATTATTTTAATTAATACTATTAAGTATATATTTCTTTATATTTATTATTAATTTTATATCTTTTATATTAATATAAATATTATCCTTAATATTAAAAATAATAGAAAGTATTAAGCTTATAAAGTATAGAAAAAAAGTTAATAATAAGGAGGATTTAAAGAATAAGGATAAAAATATAACCTTATTTAATACCTAATAAAAATAAAATAATAATCCTATTAAAAGTTTTAAATAAAATTCTCTATACCTATTAAATTCTATTTAATTTATTTAAGTTTATAGAGTATTTAACTAATTATTAAGTCTTTAATTTAGTTTAATACTACTTATAAAAGGAGTTTTTAAACTAATAAGTAATAATTTAATATTTAAAAATTTATTATATAAATAAAAGAGAGAGGTTATAATTAAATAAATAGTTTATAAAATTTATAAAGTTTTTAATTTTAATTTATATATAATATCCTTAATAAAAGTATATACTAAAAGTTTAAAATTTATTTAAGTTATAAAATAAAGAATACCCTTTACCTTATTAAGGTTATTTATAAGGCTTTAAAAAATATTATTTATAACTTTTAACTAAAAAAAATATATTAAAAGATATCCTCCCTTTAAAAGTTTAATAAATAAAAATAGTTAGAAAACCTTTTAGTACAAGTCTTATAGGTAGCTCTAGATTTTCTCTTAAATACTAAAAAGTATACCTTATAAATACTTAAGGGTAAGGTTCTATAAAGTAACTATTTATAATTAACCTATACTTACTCTATATTTATATAATATAGCTTAATTTATATTAATTAAATTACTAATAAAGAGGAGGTTAAATAACCCTTTAAGAAAGTTAATATATATAAATTCTTTTAACTTAATTATAACTTATTAGTTAAAAACCCTTTACTTATAATTTATTTATTAGAGTAGGTTAGATTAATTAAGGAATATTTTTATAAAATAGCTATATTTATAACTAATAAAATAAATATCTTTAAATAAAATAAAAGTTAAATAATAACTATAATAAATAAAAAATAAAGTTAATAACTATTAATTTAAAAATAAGTTAAATAATAAAATAAAGATAATAATAACCTCTTTCTAATAAATAAATTTAGCTTAAAAGTAAAATAACTTAACCTTATAATTTTTAAACTAAAAGGATATTTATAATAATAATATCTAATAAGTAACTATTTAATAAAACTAATAGCTAATAATAAAGTTTATAAAATAAATAAACTATTAATTAAAGTAATAATTTACTTCTTTAAATATATTCTTAAATACCCTATTAATAACTAAAAGTAATATATAAAGGTATAAAAGACTATTAATTAATTATTATAAGTAAACCTAACTATAAATAATATTACTAATAATAATAAAAGTATATAATTAGAAATTAAAGTATATATATAATTAAATATAAATTATACTTAAAATACTATTAAATTTAATTATAGAGTATATAATTTATATAATTTTCTACCTTACTTTTATAAATTAATAAGGAAATATTATTAAATAGTAGTTATATATAGTAACCTTACTAATTATTATAGTAGATCTTAATTAAAATAAATTTATATATATATATAGGCACTACTTAGTTATAGTTGGGTACACACCTTCCAATTTTAGGTACGCGAATTTCCGTTCTCTCTTTTAAAAGTCTTCGGCTCGTTTGGGAACGTTTTGGAGCCTTGGGGAAACGGGATGTCCCAGTTCCGAGGAGACATGCCAATCCGAGTCCTTTAGAAACATGGCAGGGGACAGAAGTACCTAGGTACAATTTTGGGGCGAGGAATGGAGGTCACGATGGACATTTCGGCATTTTCGGGCTCTTTACGCGATCATGGTGCTTAAAAATCCAACATTGAACAACACAAAAGCGTACCGGTACTAGTGCCAAGCCTGCGATGCCTTTGGCTCTTCATGTCTCGATATACCCCAGCTAGAGTTCTGTTCATACCGGTTTGGGAACAAATGAGTTGAGATGGCTGGGAGACAAAAGTATCTGAATTATGTCTGCTGTTGGGGGCCAGTCTTGGCTGTGCAAAGGACAATACTTCCTCGATTTGAATTTGCTGGTGGCATGATACCTTCCAATAGAGAATAACAGGGGTTGTACTAAGCGTATTTCCAAATGGTCTATAAAGATTAGTACTTAGGTATGTTATTTGCCGTGTAGAAATGAACCAGTGAATCCTCGCGTTATAATGCGACTCTCAACTCCAGTGATTGCTCAACTTGAAGAGCCTGATCTGACCAGAATCCCGTCACCTAGGGACGCCCCTGCTTGGATTGCTTGCTGCCCAGGTGCACGAGAAACAGACATGCGTAACAAACGCATAGACAATTGTGCCAGACCATGGTACTGCTAGCTTGTACGTACTCGAGAACACGCGTGCAACTGCGTAATTGTCCGGAATCGTCCCGCGATTGTCCCGGCACATAGTGACATCCCCGAGGCATGAGTCGCCAACCGGTGCAGGGGCTCAGCCATCGGGACCTAGTGTAGATTTAGTTTATAGATCTTGTTAATCTTGACAATCATTATCCACATCGGCCACCCCTGACTCGATCTATGCCGGGTTCAGCGATCATTCTGGCCCACATCCAGGAAACGCTTTTTTCTTCCAACATGCCAGCCTTGAACCAAAAATGCGCTTTGTTCACGGCCTCAAACTTGCGTGACTCGGAGCTTTGCCTGTCAATGAAAGGGACTTCAGGAAGTCTGCCAAAATCGTGCGAGTATCTACCGAGGCAGCAGGCACTCCCTCTCGGCCGCCAATACCCGGTCCTGATCAACCTCGTACTTGTACTCAAACACAGCTAGGATGAGCAAAATGAAGCGGAGGATCCTGGTAAACAATTAGATATTAGCTCGTAGGATTTCCCTCCACCAAGGGGTTCCAAGGTTCTGGAGTCTCACGGCAATGCAAAGAACAGCCCAGACCCAATCTGGTGCTGCATGGTGTACCACGGCCCATGCCAGTACCACAGCCCGTACCAGTCCCTCGAGCAGACCAGCGCAAGGGCGCCGATGGCGTCGCCCGCGATCAACATCGGCAGCGCAGACAGGAACCAGCCCCGGGCCTGCCCGCACAGGCAGGCGATCTCTATCAGGTCGATGAGGATCAGGTAGGCGAGCTGGGTGGTGCAGGCGTGGGTTGTCAGAATCAACTGTGTGAGAGCAGAAAGGCACGGGGTGGTCGCTCACTATCACGTAGCTGGTCGTCCAGTTGTAATCCGGGTCATGCCGTATGCAGAGGAAGACAAAGCTGAGGACCTCTAGGATGATGGCTGTCAGGCGGACTGTGCCGGGTACGATACCGAGGCGCCGGAGTGGGCCGGGATAATGATGCATGTTGGGAGGCGGTTGTGGGTGAGTATAATCGCACAGCTGGTAGGGCCCTGTGGAAATGATTGACTTTTCTTTGCCCAAAAAATGAAGCAGTCGTCACATTTCTGATATCGTTGTTGTTTACGGTTGCGGGCGGGCTGTATGTTATGTCTCACTGTTTGAAGGGGGTTGCTTACGACGCGTCGGAATTGAACATGTAAGACGGGATGATTTTGCCCTATCACTTCATCCCCAAAACGGGTTTGATACAATTTCCAACAGGTCCACTTCGATCCTTTTCAGAGTCACCTTCTTACTTCATAATCTGCATGACCGCGCACCCCGCAGCTTGTTTGAGTAAAGATTCCTCGACATGCAACGCCGACCCACGCGCCAAGAAACACCAGAAAGTGACATACTGCGCCCGCGAAGACCAGGCCGCAACAGAGACCGTCACTCACCGCAGTCGTGCCAAAGCTGCTGCGCGTATCGTTCTTTGAGGGTATCGACTTGCTCCAGAAATATTATTAGTTATGTGATTAATCTCTATATGCCAATTTCACACCGCTATTTTATACACAGCAGCCCGGGTGATCAGGCGCATCAAACAAAGCTACTCCCCGTCTCCCCACGGCTCCTCGACCGATCCAGGATCGTCCCGCTGTCACCAGAGCTCGCGTACCCGTGCTGCGTCGTCTTTGTCGTACCCGTCGAGCTGCTAGTCATGGTGACCTCGGTGGTCCTGACGACCCCTCCGGACCCGGGGCGCGTCGACAGGTCCGCCTCGCCCGGGTACATGAACTCGGAGTCCTTGCCGAGCTTCTGGAAGGGGCTCTTGGTCATGTTGCGGCTGTTCATGTGCGAGGTGTTGCCGCCGCCGATGGTGACGAGCTCGTTGGCGCGGCTCCCGGACCGCGACTTGTTGCCCGTGCTGCCGAACTGGCTCGACACCTTCCTGGCCAGGGGCCGGAGGGTCGGCAGGCACGCGCAGATGACGCCGCAGGCGCACTCGACCACGCACCACGTGCAAGCCGTGGCGAGGGTGACTGCGTTGTTTTGTTAGGATCCCAGCGGGGCCAATAACCGCTGATCGTGCTCGGGGACTTACAAGTAGTATCGTTCGGGTCAAACTGCATGATGGTTGAGAACCGGTATATACTCGCAATGAGGACGCTATGAGGTGTTAATATCGGGCGTGTGACCACCTGGACCGACCCCCGTCACAGATCTAACTCACAAGCTGCCAAGGCCGAACGTGCAGATCAGCGAGATCTTCTGTGCGAGCTGGGTGTGCAGCGCCCAGACCTGCTTGACGGGCATGATCAAGATGGCAATGTCGGTGACAATGTTGGGGACCGCGTTACCGATGAACGACCCCTTGAGATCGATACACTGGCCGGCCACCCAGGGCTCCCAGGCCACGTAGATGGGGTTGCACTGGAAGATGCAGACGAGGACGATGGCGATCCACCACCCGGCCACGGTGCCCCCGATGATGTAGGCGGCGATCTTGAACCCCCGGCTTGGGAAGATGCGGAGGTACATCGCGAGCAGCGAGAACTTGATGAGCGCCACGGCCGTGACGTACATGCACTCGAAGCCCAGCAGCAGCTTGAGCACGTTTTCTATCGCGTCGAGGTTGAGGGTGCTGGCGTGTCGGCCCATGCCGGAGTCGACCACTATTTCCGGAGGGGTAGAGTCAGCGACCTGTCAAGGTGATGATAGAAGCTAGTTGATGCTCCATTTGGAAGAGCAATAAGGTGTGTGTGTGTCCTTACTTCCATAGTTTAAGCCGCCGATCACAAACACGGACACCTGGCGATCTCGGGTAAGCACAGATCCTCGATTTACGCTCGCGGAACCAGGTACGCGGCAAACTCACCAGTCCTGCGACAATTAACCAATCGTCCGTGCCGTATTGCGCAGTTACAAAATGTCGAGCCCAGAACCGCAGAATCACAAAAATCGTGGAGAGGACGAGCAGGATCGTTGTGGTGGTGATCTGCGTCGGGCCCGTGTTCTCATTGGCGTCGGCGGGAGTCGCCATCGTGACGAGCTCCTGTGCCCTCATCTTGCCTGCCTGCCTGCTGAGCAGTGGACCTTTTCAGGTTCGCGCTGGCCGAGGTACCACCATATGTGGTTTGCTTGGTTTGACTGTTGGAACAGCCACGAGGGCGGAGCAGGCAGACGTGTGAAAGGAGGTCTCTCGCGGGCTGGATAGGATGGATGGGTGAGACCCGTGGGGAGGAGTTCGAGTTATCATAGGGGGACTTGGGGGAGTAGGAACAAAGACAGGCATTCGCGGTCGACGTATTCAAGACCAGAGTCGTAGTATCCGCCGGGGAGGCGGCGCAACTGTGGGCTCCTGCTAGGGCCGAGGAGTGGGTTTGTCGGCAGCGCACGGCCGCTGTTCTTGTGAGAGTGCAACTTGCATCAATCCTGGGAGACCGTGGAGACTTTTTACCCCTTCGCTTAAGACCCGAGAATAAGAATGTGCAACGAGTCTTCCCAGTCTCGTCAGCCTCTCCAGTCTGCCAGTCAGGTTTTGACGGCCCGCCCCTGGAAGAGGGGGCAGCAGCCCAATCCCCCGCCGCTGCGTTAGTCGAGGGGTCCCCTACAAGGGCCGTCCCTGATTGTATATTGGGTTGACATGTCTGGTCAACCTCGGGAGGCGGGCCATACGACATGGCGCGGAAATATACATGACACTATACAGCGAATGCGACGTCTCGCCGGTTTGAACTGCCCTGTCGTGAAGGAACTGCCGACTGAACCCTGAGTGGGATCAGCGGTCGATGGCATGTCAGTTAGCGACCTTCTTGCCAGAATAGGTTATCAATATTTCAATTAAGTTCGACAGCCCACAATGAGGAGGCTAGGCAGGCAGGCAGCAGAGCACTGTGCAGCTTTTTCCCCTGCCAAAAACGGCTGACCCACGGGGGACTTCGAAAAGAAGACCAACGGGTGGAGGAAGAAGCCACATGGAAAGAACAGGGCCCGGCTGTCGAACTTGACGCGCAGAGAATGCAACACAAAAGGGGTGGTTGCCCCCGGAACCTCAGGCGTTGCAATCCGGCGTCTGTCGATGTACCTGTGCGCGCCGGCCTACACTAAAGCGGTTGACAGGCTGTCACATCGGTCGTGAATAGCGGCTCATATTACCTAGGTACCAGTGGCCTTCGGCTCCCACTTACCCACTGCTAATATAGGGGGCCAACGCGAAGGTCTGAACCCCGGGTGGTAGACAAACTCTGAATGCACGGCCACATCCGAGTGGACAATGGTTCGCAGGCGGAGATTGGGTTCAAAGCATGTCTCTTTCTGTCCACGCTAATGCGCAAGATGCTTTCCATCGCCCGGCAAGGTGGCACACCGGTCCCTTCATGCCTTGCATCGTACACGTGTAGCGCGGCAGCCGGGGGAAGAAGGCGATGCTACATGTTACTGTGATTGAGAAAATCAATCGCCACGGCGCATCTAGTTCCTCTCGGCCGCTGATGGTCAGGGATGGCTGCTCGAGGATCCTCGTCTGGATGCCCAAGTGTTTCGGTCCGGGCGAGATCCCGCTGAAGGCGTGTTGCATCCTCCCAGGTTGACCAAATCGGTCCCAAGGTGAGAGTGTCCTGCGTACAGCATTATGTAAGTGCTCTGCAAGTACCTTACATGCTCTGCAAAGTACCGTGCAGTGAGGCTCGCATTGTCAATTAGTCGTCACCGATGAGACTCGATTCGGACGCGGTAAGTAAGCCTCCTACAACTGTCAGCGGTCACGTGAAGAGTTGCTTCATGTGGATGTATCCTTGCGACACCGAGGGACTCTGAGGAAGCTTCCGGACGTGGGTGGGGATATAGCTTCTAGACAATGCCGAGGGTTCACTGCTGGCCGTGGGCCGACTTCGTTACCGCCTCTCTGGGTCTGGAAAGTTCATGTTGGACGCATTCTGGAACGCCAAGTATCTCACAGAATGAGATTGAGTCGCATTAATCGACAATGCAACAAACAGATCCCGCTGTGATATGGTTGTCTGGTTCAGATCTTGACGAGCGAGTGCGGCTGCGGTTCAAACTTTCGTACGGAGTGCACCCCACATCTTCGCAGGACACTTCCGAGCCGCAACGAATGGCCCACAGAAATCATCCGCAGCATGACTCGCACTATCCGATGGGCCAAGTACCTAGGTAGCGTAGACCCTCCGCCATCCCGTGGTGGCGTGTGGAGGGTCCGCCGGGATGTCGATGGGTTGCCGTTTCAGTCGTTACAGGGACCAAACTGATGGGTAGCAGCAAGGATGAATGGTCTTATACGCACGCTAGTTTGGTGGCTCTTGTGGGCAGCATCCGACATCCAAGCCACGAGGCCGGATAACGTCGAGATGGAGCCCCTTTCTGGCACGCGCTGCCACGAGATAAATCCCCCGGGGTTGCTCAATTCCAAGAAGCCCCGATCCGTACTGCACGTAGTATTTGCGGCCCAAGATAGCAGTGTCTGTTCTCGACTTGACCATTTTTGACGTCGCACGAAGCCAGCCAATATCTTATATCAAGCATACCCCACATCCCGCCGACCCCAATTGCCCCGTTCACAATCAATAAAACATGTCTGCCAACGCACAGCCTGTTTTTGTCTTCGCCCCCGGCGCGTGGCACACGCCCGACTGCTACCAGCTCGTGCAGGACAGGCTGCATGCACAGGGTTGGGAGACACGGGCCGTGGCGTACCCGTCCGTGGGGGCCGAGCCCCCGACCAAGAGTGCATTCGACGACGCCGCCGCAGTGCGTGCCGAGGCCCAGGCTCTCGTGGACCAAGGCCGACAGGTGGTCCTGGTTGGCCACTCGTACGGAGGCCTTGTCATCAGCGAGGCTGCCAAGGACCTGGCGTACAAGCAGCGCAAAGCTGAGGGCAAGGAGGGCGGTGTCGTGCTGCTGGTGTACATGTCTGCCTTTGTGGTGCCCAAGGGCTTCAGCCTCATCCAGATGCTGGGTGGCAACCCGCTGCCTTGGATGGACATCCAGGTGAGTATCCCGCGGGCCTGCTGCCGCTCATGTACTGACACACAAGCAGGGCGACCGCGTGTACGCCCGCACGCCCGAGGAGATCTTCTACCACGACGTGCCTGAGGACCTCACAAAGGCGGCCGTCGCCAAGCTGCAGCACCAGTCTGGGCAGGTGTTCCGGGACGAGGCGACGTACCAGGCGTGGGAGGACATTGAGAGCATGTACTTCTTCTGCGAGGACGACCGGGCGCTGCTGCCAGCCATCCAGAAGCAGATGGCGCCCATGTTCGGGGCAAACGGCATCACCTGGTCGACCAAGGGGTCTCACTCGCCCTTCCTCGCCGAGCCGGACAACGTCGTCGAGGGCCTGCTGCACGGTGCCAAGGAGGTTCAGAAGCGGATTTAAGCACAAGGCCTGGAAGGACGAGAGGGACGAACGATGGCCCTGCTGGTCGGGTTCTTGTCAAGCCTTGATTGTGTAGGCGAGTTTACCCCATGGCTGGGGACTTGATACCCAACGCGCAGCACGAAATCAAACCTCGTCCAAACATGCTCTTATCTCCAGACTCCATTTCCTGCTGCAATGATTTTAGAACCCGGGCGGACCCTGTGGCCCAAGGTGAATTCAGGCTCAGGATCTCGTGAAATTTCCTCGGGGCCTTGTCGACTAATCCCTGTGTTTGCAGGCCAGTAGTAGTGAATGTGTGGGTCTTGTGCGGATCGGCCCTGATGAACCAAGGGACTCGGGGAGGTGCAAGTGGGCTCGCATTCGCCTGGCAGAGTTGCAAGTGGATTTCTTGGTCGAAAATTGCATGTGGCAGGGCTCCCGAGTGGGTGGTGTTTATGAACGACTGACAGCAGCAAGCACTCAATCTGTAGTTGACCCCATGGGATCTTGCCCTCTGCCTGCTTCGTCCCTACAATGACGGGTTTTCGATTGCCTGCGCACGCATGGTGTGGGTGCGGATGCTGAGGTTGTGAGACGAAAGGGTCTGTGAGGGCAGATCTCGGCGAGGTGAAAGGTGAGAAGTGGGGACCTGGGGAGGAAAGCTCAAGCTTCAACGGCCAAATCCCAGCCGTTCCTGGAAGCAAACGGTGGGGCCTAAACCCTGAACGGTGGGCGACAGGGTCGGGGGGTGGGCGGGGGAAGGGGGAAGGGGGTCCCCAACCCAGGAGCCACTTTTCAACCCCACCATGGGCCAAGAGTTATCGAACCATCAAACAACCTGCAAGAAGACGCGTAATTTGCCTTGACCATCGGCGACCAACCACCAACAATCCACATTTGGCCATCGCCTGACAACTCGTGCGCACCCTCCTGACTCGTTTGCCATCGGTCAGTCGGTCCTGTGGGCTCGCGGGTGCGCGGCGAGAGGGTCAAGGGCAACAGAAAAAACAATGCTGGTCTCACGCCTGATATCAGCAGCAGCAGCAGCAGCTCGAGCTCGAGCTGGAGCTCGGCCGGGGCTCCGACGCGCCCTGAGGAGGCCGGCCGTATCAACACCCCACCCGGCCGGGGCAAGGCGCTCATACAACACCGCCGGTGGCTACGACTACTCGCAGAACCCCGTCCCTCTGATCCGGCCGGTCATCTGGGCAGCCACCGCCGTGGGGACCATCTACTTCACGTGTGCCGCCTATGATGTGTGGCAGGACATCAAGTCGTTCAGGGAGGAGGACCGCCGCGGGCTCACTTTTGACCAGCTCGAGACGGAGCACGCCAGGCGGTGGAGGCGCAGGACCGTGTCGGAAAACATCTTCACGCCGGGGCCCATCGCGGCCGGGTCGCCGAGCAGCGTGTGGGACAATCTGAGCGGCCCGTCAAAGATAATGGCAGGCATGACGTTGGTGAACGCCGGCTTCGTGGGTCTCTCCAAGGCGCCCTCGACAGCCGCCCAGGGGTGGTGGGCTAGTCTTGGGCACACGCCAGCCTTGCCCTGGTACAGCAACTCACAGCTCTTCACGTCCATGTTTGCGGTCAGTCACCCTGCACCCTACCTCCCCTCTTGCGTGCAGGTCTGACTTGCCTCGATCCAACAGCACAGTGGCGTGTTTCATCTCGCATTGAACATGATGGCCCTTCTCAACTTCGGACCTTCGATGGCAGCCGGCCCGCCAATCTCGGGGTCAGGTAGCCACTTTCTCGCCTTCTACCTCTCAACCGGCGTGGTTTCTTCTCTGGGTGCCCAGGTCGCCGCCCTGGTGTTCAAGCAGTCGAGGTACTCCTTCGGCATCGGTGCGTCCGGGGCTGTCCTGGGCGTGTTTTCCGCATGGGCCATGAACCACCCAGACGCCACGGTCCGCGTCTTCCCGATCCCCATCTCGTTCAGCGCGAGAAGCCTGATCGAGTTCGACGTCGTTTTCGAAGTCCTCGGCGTGTTGGGTGTCTGGCGGGCCCTGCGTCTCCCCATTCAATTTGGCCACAGCGTACATCTTGTTGGACTCGGCGTCGGGGCTGCGTATGTGACATATGATAAGAAGGCACAGGTATGGGCCACGTCGAGAAGGGCGGCGTTCAGGTCCATGAAGGTTGTCGGCCTTGTTTGAGACGGTCACGTTATCACAACAAGGTGAACACATTTATGTCTTGCCGGGCATTTTTTCGCTGAAGCGATCATCCTCCCCGGGTAAGCTCCCCATCTGCACCTGTCACCTCATCGATCTGGGAAGCCAAACCCGTTTGGATCAGGCACCAATCGAAGTGTCACAATACACTCAAAGCGCGCTCTATTACCGGAGCAGTGGTAGCGGAGCATCATCACACTGTGCCATGAAATCAGCGAAGTGTTATGGCACTTGGGCAACGGCCCATCTATGTCTATTGCCTCTAGCATAATACTACATCAACCAAAACGCCGAAAATCACGCTCTCGGTAACAATCCGATGCTACATATCCACCTTAACACGTCGGCTGGAAGCTCTGCGCAACGCAGACCTTCCCGTCAGGCTGCGTGGCCGTCTTGGTCGCCTCTCCACCCCCACTAGTAGCCTGCCAGATCGTGCAGGCTTGGCCCTCAGCCTGGCAGGAATCAATGATAGTGCACTTATCCCCAAAGTTCGCATTCACACCACACAGCTCCCCGCCGTTGACGGCCTTGACGCCCTCGACGATGATCTCCCTCGGCCCGCCATTGTTCGGGCAGTTGCCACAGCTCCGCGAGAGCTTCCCATAGTTCTCAGCGTAGAAGTTGGAGATGTGCACCGTGCCGCGGCCGTCGAACTGCACGATCTTGTCATGGGCGCCGAACGCGCCCCCGCCGTTGATGTAGCTGGTGCCCGCCGTCTGCAGGAACGTGAAGGCGTCCTCGCAGACGCTCGCGAACCACACGTTGTTGAGCGTGCACGTCCCCTGGCAGTGCACGCCCTCCGCCTGCCCCTTCCCGATGATCACGTTGGACAGCGTCCCCCCGTCGGCCACGATGAACATGGCCGCGTCCTCGTTCGTCTCGACGCCCGGCATGCACACGCTCGGCGACCGCTCGTACGTCTTCATGCCGCCGTCGAACTGGGACGGCACAGGGATCGCGGCTGCCTCCACCACGGTCCCGGCCGAGGCGGGCAGTTTGCTCGAGAGCGCGGCGGCGGCTCTGCTGGTTCCTGTGCCGCCGCTGGTTCCCGTGAGACTGACGCTTGCCTTGCCGCCGCCGCTTTCTGCGTCCTGGCTGGGTCCTGTGCCGCTGCTACCGCTGCTTCCGCCCTTCGTGCCGCTGCCACCGCTGCTTCCGCTCCCCGTGCCGTTTGTGGATGCGCGATTCTTTGGGAGAGTGAGCACTGGGAGCTCGGCTCTGGAGTTCTGACCGACGACTAGTGGGTTGCTTGCTGGTTGTCCCGCCCTTGCGCCGTTGCGAGAGCAGCTTTTGCCGCTACCTCCGGGTGCTGACTGGGCGTGGGCCCCGGCTGCCAGAGCCAGCAGGGAGAGGATGGCACTGCCTTTCATTTTTGCGATGTGAAAAATTGAAGTTGAGTGTAATTAGGTGGAAGAAAGAGAGAAACAAAGTTAGTAGGAGTGTTGATGATATCCGAATGGAATGACTGGCTTGTGATATCCGCCCTCATCGTGAACAGCGGTCCTGATAGGTATATATGCTCCTTCTCATTCTATGCCCCTGGCTGCAATAGAAGTGCACTCGAGGCCGTCCTGACCAAGCTAGCCGGGTGAGGCTCAAATGTGGCAGTTTTTTAGCGTTAGGGGACGCCGAGGGCCAGGTTAGCCTGGAAGCTCCAAATAGGCACGGAAGCCCCCCTGACGTGCCCTCGGCCTTGTCGCTAGGTCTCGCATGCGGAAAACAATGTTTCGCCCCATATCTAGGCAGCTGACAGCCCGTTTCACGTCAGTCATCTCAATCAATTGGCCGCAACAGGCTTCCGCAAATCCTCGTTGTGAGCGCAAGGCCTTCTCTAAGAATTTAAGTGTAAATAGCGTTAAATTCTAACTATCGACTAATAGGCTTCCCACCCCCTTATTTATACACTAAATATCCTTTATTTAGTATTTAGACGCTTTCATCTAATAAAGCCCTTTATAGTCTAACTGTTTTTAATAATTATATATATAAAAACAGTATTTCTTTATTAATTATTTGGAAATATATTTTTATAACCCCCTATAAGCTATATATATATATTTATTTATATATATATATATAAATTAAATATATAAAAATACTTAATAGTTAAAAATCTTAATTTTTTTTAAAAAAAACTACTTTTATTAAGTTATAAACCTTTATAAAGGAAAAATAACTTATTTTATATAATAATAAAACTTAATATATAAGAAAAATATACTATTTATTATATTAAAACCTTTTATAAAAGGAAAATAGTACTTTTATTAATAATAAAAACCTTTATTATAGGAAAAATATATTATTATATAGGTAAAAATTTTAAAAATTTACTTTGGGTATAATTTAAATATAAGCCCTTATAATTTAAATATCTTATTTTATTTGATATTTATTTTATATAGGTTATTTATATTATTATTATATTACTTTATAGGTTTACAGTTTATAGGGTTATTTTTCACAATTTAAGTCAAGAAGTTTATATTTATACTATAATATCTATAAAACTATATTTATATAGTAATTTTATTAGACTATATGCTTAACTTTTGTATATTTTATATATAATATATATAGTATATATAGCTTATATATGCTATATAAGTTATTAAGATAAAAATCTATTATTTTAACTTTTATTAATTTTATATTATTTTTATAAGTTGTTATTTAGAGTATTATAATATTTTATTTTTATTTTATTTTATAATATGTTAGTAAATAAGGATATTAAATTTACTATTAATTTTCTTTTAAATTATATAAATCTTTAAATTTAATAAATAATAATCTTTTAATTGGTTTAGTATACTAATTAGTTATATTTTCCTTTAAAGGTATATATTTTATAGTTATTAACCCTCTTTTATTAAATTTTAGGTATAATAATATATTATATTTATATGTTTAGCTTTTATAAAAACTTAATTTTTAGTTAAACTAATAATAGTATTATTATTTATATATATAATAAGTTTATTTAATTCTAGATTTAAATTTAAATTTATATTAAAATATTTTAATAAATTATATAAATATATAGCTTTTAAAAGCTTTTTAAAGCTATATATTTAGCTTTATAATTACTTAATATAAGTATTTTTATAGTTATAAGTTATAACTTATAAGGTTAATTATTTTATTATTTTTAGAGAATATAAATATATAATTAAATATAAATTGTTTATTATTTAGGTTATTATCTTAATTAAAATTAAAATATCTATATAAATTTAATTTTCTATTATATTTATATATTTTAAATAATTTAGGAATTTTAATATATATCCTATAACTTATTTAATTCTTTAAAATACTCTTTACTAGGATTAAATATATATCTAACTAAATTATATATAAAATATATTATATTTATATAGCTTTTAAACTTAAATATAGTATAATACCTATTTATTTTTAATAATTATTTATTTTATTTTTAAGGTTTAATTTATATTTTTATTAATTTTTTTAGGTATAAAAGAAGTTAATTTAAGTTTTATATCCTTATTATTTTTATATTAAATTTTTAAGTATTTTATTAGTATATTTATTTTAGTTTATAGTTAGAGTTTTTTTATTTATTATTATATTATTTTCTAAAAGGAAATTAATTCTCCTAATAGTTTATATTTATAGTTTCTTTTATTTTATTTATTATATTATTAACTTTATTATTATTACTATTTATTATTATTATATTATTAATATAGTATATTAATATAATATTTTCTTTATTATTTATAAATACTTTTTATTATAAAAGTAGAATTTAAATTTTAATTTATTTAATTCTTTTTAAATATTTATATTATAAATTAAAGCTTTCTTTTAAGTTATATAAAGCTTTATTCAATAACTCTATACTATCTTTTTATATATATAAGAAAGTAATTTTATATATATTTTTATTAATATTAAAGTATAAAAATATATTTTTATATTATAATTATATATATAATAGTTTTTATTTATTACTATTATTAATAATAATATTTATGTTTCTAATCTATAAATTATAGTAAAGGTTTTAGGTAATCTACTCTAATTTTTAATTAAAACTTTATACTACTTAATAGGCTTTATAATATATATTATTTAATTTATTAGTTACCTAATAGAGCTTTATTATATTAAAGTTATTTATAAATTTCTTTTAAATATTTACTTCCCCTTTAAAGGCTTATAGGTATTAGGTATATTATTTATATTTATTATATTATATATATTTTAACTTATAAACAAATTAATTTTATCTTTTATAGCTTTTACCTAATAAGATACTTCTTCCTTATATATAGCCTTTTTAAGCTAAAGGGCTCATTTATTCCACTTATAGTTAGTATATATAGAGTTTTATATTATTTTCTAATATTATTATTTAATTACTTAATAATATATTCTTTATAATATATAAAGCTTTATATTCTATAAAATCTCTTTTCTAGTATAGGATAGTAATTTATATAAAATTCTATTTTATTATTATTATTATTATTATTATTATTATTATTATTATTATTATTATTATTATTATTATTATTATTATTATTATTATTATTATTATTATTATTATTATTATTATTATTATTATTATTATTATTATTATTATTATTATTATTATTATTATTATTATTATTATTATTATTATTATTATTATTATTATTATTATTATTATATAATTCTATTTCTTTATTTTCTTTAAATATAGAATTATTATCTTTATTTATAATATATTTACCTTCTAAGATATTTATATCTTTAATCTATACTATTTTATTATTAGTATATATTTTATATATTTTATTATTTTATTAAAGTTAATTAATACCTCTTTTTATTCTAAAATCTAGTTTATTTTATCCTTATTATTATTATAATATACTATAAATCCTATAATTTAATATAATTTATAAATAAATTATAATTATATAATAAATTATATAGACTTTTCTACTCTAAATCTTTTAAAATATAATATTATATAAATATATATTAAATATAGTAGCTTCCTTATAACTTATATAGTAAATTAATTTATAATAATAAGTATTTTATTTTATTTAATATTATTAAATTTCTTTTTTATAAAATTATTAAGTTCCTTTATATAAAGAGGTATTATTATATATAATTCTATTATTATTTAATATTATTTTAAATTTTTATTAATATATTTAATACTATTATTAATATTAAATTCTTTTATTTTTATTTATTTTATTTTCTATTATATTTTTATATTTATTAAAAGATTTTAATACTTAATTTTTAAACTTTAATAGATCTATATATAAATATTTAATCTTTTATTTAGAAATAATATATAATATTTATAATTATTATAAGTATTTTTAAAAGAACTAATTATATTACTATATATTCTTTTAATATATTATAATTATATAAATTATTATTTATTTTATTTTTTAATATTATATTTAACTTTTAAATATATATTATACTTATATAATAATACTTTTATATCTTTTAAAAATTTAATATTTATATTATTATTTTTAATATTATAAATAAAGAGTCTATATATATATACTCTAACTTATAATACTATAAATATATATTTAATAAATCTTTATTAATAATTAAAAAGAGTTTTTACTTATATTTAATAGTTATTTATTTTACTTATATTTATATAAGTATTTATTTTAGTATAAAGTAATCTATTCTTATAATAGCCTATTATTTCTATTTTATTAAAAACTCTATTTATTACTTTTACTATATTATTTTTAAATATTATATTATATATATACTTTATAGTTTTAAAACCTAATATATTTATATTAAATTTTAAAGTATAATATATATTATTTAAAATTATATTTTATTATTTATATTTATTTTTAAATCTCCTTTTATTTTAATATTTATTTTACTAATATTTCCTAATTAATATTAATATTTATATATTTAATATTACTTAAAAATTTATATCTTTTATAATAAATATATTTATATATATATTTAAAATAAATTTTATTTTATTTATTTTTAAACTATTTTCTATATATATTATATTATTTATATAATTTAAATTTTTATTAATAATATTATTATTATTAAGAATTTATTATATATAAAGTATACCTTTATATCTTCCTTATAGTCTATATTATTATTATAATAATTTTATAAATTAAATTTTAATAATTTTTCCTCTTAAACTAAGGATTTTTATATTATATTTATTTCCTTTTCTTTATTTCTTTATTCTTACTTTCTTTATTTATTTTATTATAAGTAATTAATAATTTATTTTAAAGAAATTCCTTTTTCTTTATTATTTTAAAGTTTTTCTAAAAATTATTATAATTTTTATTAATTTTATTTTTATTTTCCTAATTTTTAATACTTTTTAAAATAAAGAAAATAATAGTTATTTTAATATAGCCCTTTATTTTATAATAAGTATATTATAATATATTTTTCTTATTTTTATTTTTATTATTATTTTTAATAATAAAAGTATTTTTATTTTATTTATTTTTCCTTTTAATTTATTAATAAAGTTAAAAATATATTCTTTATATTATAATTATTATAATCTTTTTATAAACTTTAAATAATATTTTAAATAAATTTAATATATTTATTATTTAATAAGTTTAATATTTATATTATAACTACTTAATTTAATAGTTTTATATTATTAATAGATAAATTTATAATTATTAGATTAATTTTATTTAAATAGTTTTCTATAATATTAAAATTATTTAGTAAGGTATTAAAAATTCTTTTAATAATAAAATTTAATAATAAATCTAATAAGTTAATATAAATTTTATAATTTTTCTTACACTATTTTAATAATTTTTATATCTTTTATATATATAAGTAGGCTATTTATTACTATAAGTTATATATAAATTAATACTTTTTAATCTTTTAAATATTAAATTTTTAAAATTATTATTTTTTAATAAGATTTTCTTTTAATAAAAGGTTTAAGCTTTAATAGACTATATAATATAATTTAATAAGCCTTTTAATTTAAAGACTTTAAATCTTTTAAATAAAGTTATATTTTATAGATATTTTATAAATATTTTATAAATTTATTTATATATATATATATATATATATATATATATTAATTTTAATATTCCTATAGAATATATATTAATGAATTCTTTGTAGATTAATAGATATTCTTTAATATAATTTATAACCTTATTTAATTTTATATTATAATATTTATTAAGTTAAAATATAAATTAAAAATATTTTTATAATTTTTAATTATAATTATTAAAAATAAGAATATTCTAAGGTTAAAAATATCTTTTAATTTAAATTTTCTAATATAAAAATTAATAAATTAATTATAATTATTAAATTTAAATATATTATTCTAAATATTTCCTAATAAAATAAATTTAATTTCTTATATAAAGTATTATAAACTTTTATATTAAAAAGTTTTATTTTAAAATTTATAAAGTAATTCTTAATATAAATATCTTAGAATATTTATAAATAAAAGTTAAAAGTAACTCTATTTATAAAGATTTTTATAATTTTAAAATATAAGTATAAATAGATTTTACTTTATTTAAAAGTAATTATAAAATTAAGTTATAAGAGGAGTATTTATAATTAAAAGGTATTTAAATATAATATAAAATCTTTTATTCTTTTAAAATAAAATATAATTATAAAATATAAATAAAATAAAGATTATAATATAATATTTCTTATAAAACAATTCTAATATAAGTTTTATAAAATAATTATTTTTAAATAATTTTATATATAAAAACTATATAAATATTTTTAAAAGTATTTTTATTAAATAAAATATAAAAAGGAGTATAAAAATATTTTTTATTATTTTATAAATATAGTTTTTATTGAGTTATAGGGGAGTATTAAAGATAATTTTAGGTATATTATTGGTAGTATAAGTAAGAGGTGTTACATAACTCTTTTTTAATTAGTTATAATAGATTATTATTGTTTTATTTAGGAAGGTACTAGTTAACTTAGTTAAGATTAAAGATCCAGGCTTTATAACCTTTAAGAATTTAAGTGTAAATAGCATTAAATTCTAACTATTAATTAATAAGCTTCTTACCCTCTTATTTATATATTAAATATCCTTTATTTAATATTTAAATACTTTCATCTAATAAAGCCCTTTATAATTTAATTATTTTTAGTAATTATATATATAAAAACGGTGTTTCTTTATTAACTATTCGGAAACGTATTTTTACACCTTCCCTCTAATGGGCAAGACGGATGCGTGAAGGGCAGCAAGACGAGTAAATGGAGAACCGTTTAGAGCTATATTTTGTCTCTGCCCATGGATTTCCTGCTCGTTGCACAGCCCTTCTGGTTCGTCTCAATAATCGTGCTCAATCGAGCCATCGTCACAGGGCCACCTGGGCAAGACGGGACGATTGTCCTGGCGCAAGCAGGTTCATCTATTCAACGCCGCCGAGGCACAGGCACAATAGGCAGTTTCTATCGGCTGTCGACGGAATGCAGCCAAGAGGATCTGAGTCGAGAATCCTTACTATGCCGAGTCTGGTATGTGCAAGTGATTGATTGCCCTATCTGGCCTCGCTGAGCTTTTCATGACCAAGACCACACAGCCACTTTGAAGACTACAGATAAAACAATGACATAAATAACTCAAACAATTCCTTGGCAGACTCAAGAAGTCGAGCTGCATATTAGGGATCAAAACCACATTGGTAGTCGGTGCGACGGCTTCTATGTTGCACAGAATCCGAGGCCGTGATGCTTCACCAGTGGCTCACACCATGGGAGATCCACTCTGACGGCAGTCAACATTCTGGCTCGGCAAAAAGAGAAAAACAGTGTAACCATATGCGTCCATAGCGCATGTGCCTCGTCGAGTATGTCGGCTATTTGGTGGAGGTGCTGCTTATAACAGCTGTGGAATCGTGGCGGCAGCAGTGTTGTCACTGATCCACGCCCTCATCAAATCTCCGCATCTATATTTGCACATCCTTGAGGCCGCTCCTGAGCTCAAGGAAGCGGGTATGGCCATCGGCATTGCTCGGAGTACACTAGCTATCCTAGGCTGATCGGTCCTTCGGCCTAGAAATGTGTCGACCAAGCTGGTGCCATACTGATGAAGGGTGTCAAGTTCATGTTGCCACAGGGCGAAGACAGTGAAGGCAGCATGACCGATGAAAGTGGATCAGACAGCTCAGAGAAGACGCCTCAGGAGCATCGTTCATCGCGTCGAACTGTTGAAGGCCCTGCTTGCTCATATCCCCTGCGGATCGTATGCATGCTTCCAAGAAATTGCAAGAGGTCGACCAGAATACCTGTGTTACCATGTCCTTCACCGATGGTTCAACTCATGAGTTGGACATTCTCGTTGGTGCCGATGGAATTCTCAGTACTAATCGTTCGAAAGTTCGTCATAGGCGAGATGTTGACGATCTCGTGGCCTCGCCACAGAACAACGGCGCTTGGTTCCAGATGATTCTTCAGCCATTCGAAAGAGCTCAAGCGAGCGTTGGTAAAGGACTCGTAGATCTCAACGATGCCCGTGAATGTGGATTGGCTGCCCAGATGGTCACGCTGCTTTCTTGATGCACAACATTCTGGGCGGGGATCAGCTCGTGCAGTTTGCCATTGCTTCACACGACAAGTGAGCCGAGAACAGGTCTTCGGACCAGTGAAAACGCGTTGTGCGTGCAGAAGAGTTCTAACCGCTGTTTCAGTATTGGCCCGCCCATCTCAGCAAGGCTGTCAAGGAGGTGAGACGAACCCATACTAGCACCCGTCAACTGGTGCGTTTCGCCTCCCACTTATCCACTGCTGGCGGGTATTGGGGGGGGGGGAGGTCTGACCTCTGGGTACCTCGGCCTACGAAAGTGTCCCTACGAACTTCATTTTGACCAAGCTACACTTGCAGCTGATTTGTAGTCAACCTGAGCACCAAGCGTTATATTTGAGAATATCCCTAGGCGGCCAGCTATGTTTCTGACCCAGACTGTCTGGCCGGTGACGCGGCTCATTCGGCAACCACATTGGATGGGGTCTGGCGGTGGCATGTCTATCAAGGACAGACTAAATTCTCAACAGCCATGTTGCAGACATTAGAGTTAGAACCTGTAGCCGAAAGACAACTGCCAGTGCTTCCAATGCGAAGGTACGGTATTTTATGCCATGTGTTGCCCTCACATACATCCACCTTCTGCCCTCGGCTGGCTCGCGACATTACGGTCCTTGATCATTTCTTCCACTGGCAGGTCCTCGAACTGGCTGCGGTTGCCCATGTCAACACCGCGTTTCTGCACCAGCCGTGCATATTCCAGTGTGCTTTTCTTCCACTCGTCTCTCCCAATCTTCCCCTCGATCATATCTGCCAATGTCATGGCATCAAACGCAGCCTGGCTCGTGCTAGCAACCGTGTGAGGTCTGAATCCCGCCAGTGCGTCTCCAATGAGGATCACCTTGCCACCGAGGAACTCGTTCTCGTGGCCGGCCACGTCGGTGATTGCCTGCACGAATGGCTTTTTGGTAGCACGCACAATCTCGGCAAACTGCGGCGGTAGCTTATCCTTTGCGATCTCGCGCTGCTTCTCCCACGCTTTGGGGTCGGTCTTCCCCGGCGGCATCGTTATTCGATGGCGTAGGCCGTCTATATCGGTCAATAGTTCGGCGAGTTCGGGCGATGGCACATCGAGGGATTTGCTCGGGAAGTTGGTGTAGTAGACGAAGTTGATGAGGCGCTGGCCTGGCTCCAGGGTGCCTTTCTCACCCGGAATCAGGTACGCGAGGATCTGGATCCCCTTTGCGTGAAAAAAGGTGAAACGCTCCGAGAAGGCCTCGCGGGTTTCTGGGCTCACTTGGTCTTCGCGAATGGTCCCGCGTAAGGCGACATATCCGGCATACGTGCGTTGCAAGTTTGGCTCGAAGACGCTGCGGATCGTGGAGCTTGGCCCGTCGGCACCGATGACAAGGTCGGCTTCGAATGTACCCTCATGACCCTCGACTGTTTGATACGACACTTGAACCTTTTTTTCCTGTTCTGTTACACCTGTCACCTTGTACCCATGTAAATGTTTGACATCTCCACCCTCAGCTCTTTGCTTGGGCACATCGCAGTATTCACTTTCTACGCCGTCCACGTTCGCTCGCAGCATATAGTAGACCAGATCCCAGCTGGTCATACTCTGCACCATGTCTTTTGTGTATATGATTTCCCCTTCCTTGTTGAGATATTGGCGTCTCTGCGATGAAACAGCGAATTGTCTTCCACAACGGTCATAGCGTTTGAAAAAGGCGAGAGTGTCCCCGCCCGCGACTATACCTGCGCCCTGATCATGTAGCAATGGTGTCGCATTGCGCTCGAGGATCGTGATACGATGTCTCTGAGGGTGACTTGAGAGCAAGTGCGGTGCAGAGGCCGCCGAGGGAGCCACCGACCTTGTCAAGTTAGCGGTTATGCGCAGTGAAATCATGCCCAGGTGGGTACCTAGGTAATGCGCACTATAACAATGTCGAGCGGCCTCGTCGTGCCAGCTAGAGGGCTGTCGTGATCCCCGTTCACACTCCTCGATGTCATTGTAGCGGTTACAGAGACAGTGTCTCAGAATGTGGTGAGATTGTGATGCAAGTTCAAATTCAGGACCTGGCTGCTATTAATGGAGGATGCGTCGATGAGCCACGTGGGGAGGGGAAGGTACTTGCTTGATCATTGAGATGACGCGGATATCGGGACTGCTTGGAGAACAGGCTAAGTCAAGCCCCCACCCGTCGCCAACTTCGTGATTGGGTGCTTGAAAGCATGATGCACAGTTGTAACCTGCAGCTATGAATTATGCCTAAACAGTCTGTGTACAGTAGCCTAGATGTTGAAGTTGTTCGAAGCAGCTTCAACTCTTCATTCTGGTTATGTGATTCTGAACTGCTAAAACGACCAGATATGATTGTGGCCATCTTGAGGTAGGTAGTGTCAAGTCTGGATACTGAGATAGCTGTGTCATCTTGACGTCCCAATAGCTGGTACGGCTTTCGGATCTTGTGATGGCGTTTATTATTGAGAAGCCTAGGAATTATTGGGGCAGGCTTTACCTAGGTACGTTTGAACGGAACCTTGGAAGTGGTGTTAAGCAAATGAGTTGTACATACTGCCGCCAGCACCATGGCAATGGTGGTCAAGGTTAGCTACCTAGGTAGCTTAGCTACAACTCCGGTACAGTGTTACGGACGGTGAGCAACACCAACCACTGTTGCATGTTCACTTGTTTTTGAGGGGCAATAGTAGTGCATAGAACTGTTTATGAAGCACGAAAAGGTTGGAGGGCTGTGCTCCCTGCTCACTGTTGGTCTTGGTTCGCAAGTTGTTGGCAAAGGCCAATACTGCGGCATGTTGGATTGGTACGTAGGTATAGACAAAGTTGGCTCCGCGTTCGACCTCGAAGCATGCAAATAGAACTGAAGTATGTACAATGATTTGTCAATCAACCACCAAGCTCCCCTCAACCAGTCCAGAGCGCAGGGCCGGGAATCTTGTAGCTGGTGATGGTGGTGTAAGGGTTGAACAGGATACCGGGGTCGGTGGCCTTGTACAGGTTCACACCGAGGGTGCCCCCAGATGGAACCTTGGTACCTGAGCCGGTGACTTGGATGTTGATGCAGAAGGGGTACGCCTGGGCGCCGTTGGCAGAGCCCGCGCCATGGGCAGCGATGGTCTCGTGACGGAAGACGTATGTGCCGGCCTTGAGCGTCTTGGGCACAGTGATTGTCCAGGTGTTGTTGTTGTTGATCATCTCCTGAGCAGCCCAGACTTGGGTGTTGTAGTTGATGCCTGCCTCGTCGATCTTGGTCCAGAGGAGCTTGGACTTGTCGATGGAGGAGGGAGAGCCGCTGTAGGGCGCGATGTAGGTGAGCATTGGGCCCAGGCCGTGGGGCCAGGTAGTCCACTGGAACTGGATGGTACCGCCGGCGCTGACTGTGCCCGCAATACTGCCCGGGGCCGCGTTCTTGTGGCAGTTGATGTCTTGTGTTCCGAAGCTGTTGGGCTCTACAAAGCCGTTGTCAATGGCTTCCTCGTACCTGGCATCGTGTCAGCAAGACTTTGCAGTTACGCAAGTCAGACAGGACCTTAATATCTTACCATCCTGCGATTGCGGGAAGAGTCCCCCCATTCTTCACGAGGTAGTAGTAATCCACTAGAATATCATCCCTCGATCAGCTGTTGCTTCAAATGTTCGACAACGGTTCGACAGGAGCAACCGCAGGACAACGCCCGTGGATTACTTACAGATGTAGCCTTGGTTATACTTGCCGTCCGTAACGAAACCGGAGACAAGACCGTGGGCAAGGGCAGTCGTGGCAAAGCCACAGAGCGTGGCGGCAACTAATTTGAGAGACGGCATCCTGGCTTTCTTAGCGAACCAGTTGATGTGTGTTGATCGCCGTTTGTGATGTCAATTATGCAAAGACGATCCCACATCGGACCGGGACTCTGGTACCCTTCTTATACTCGGCCTGTCTGTTCGACGTTAAAACTGACATCTTGATTTCTCCATTTATTTATCAGCAACAAAGGCTCCGACCGCTCCGTGCAAAGCGCACTGAACTGTTCGCCGTGCTGTTTGTAAATCCGGAACGCCAAGGCGCGTAGTCCAGGCATGACAGCGGAGGGTTATCTCCCATTTACTCTTTTGGTCTTCACAGCGCAAGAAGGGGGCGGCTGCCAGCCAATAAACGGATTGTTTCACAAGACCGGACCAGGATTATGCCACATGGAGGAGCACAAGCATCATTCAATATAGGTAAATTGTATGATGACTCGTTCCTGATTAGCGGAACTCACTGCGGTCAATTCTAGACGAGGACGAGAATGGTCCGTTTTTACTATCGGGTCGGTATTTGATCGACGATCTCTGGGTTAGGTGATCATTGGAATGAAATACACGATCCAGATATTTGCTTTGATAATCAGTCGATCAGGGCTAGGAGCATCTTCCTGCTGTGATCTGAGGCCTACGTGTACCCGTACTACTGTCAACTGTCGCATTACCTAGGGCTCGACAACTATGCCGAATCTCACGAGTCTGAACCTAAAAGCTGAAGGTACTCGTGTGACTATTTCCATGTTGTCTTACATGTCCACACCCAAGATATCGCCAAGCTGCCGGGCCGGGGCACAAGCCACCGGGTGGGACAAAAGGGAAATTGTCGCTGAACAAGGCTTAGAAGTCATCGAGTGTCAGGAATCGGGTGTGTTGCTGTGCTTGATTCGCAGTGGACCACGCGGCCCAGACGTGCAATTGTAGTCTACGCGGTCGAGCTCCAGACGTCTCCTGTCGGGTGACCATGCGAGGCTGCAAGGGCGGCATCCTGCTCCGGTAGTGGCCCCGGAAAGGCGGCACAAGTTCTACAATTTGCTTGTTCAACACTGTCTGTGCGAGTGCTATTTTTGTCATTTTTAACACAAGAAAATCGGTGACCGAGATCTCAGTCACCCACGCGGCTTGCCACACCAGATCGGGTAGCCGGGGTCTGCTGCCGGTGCCCCTGGTTCATTGTTGCCATCACTAGTCTCCTGATCACCGGATGCCAATTTTGCATCAATAAGAAGTCGTCAGGTAAGCAGACATATTAAAGTGCAAGCGGTACCCACCGGAATGAACCTTACAACCTAGTACAAATCATGTCTTTCGCACCTTGGCACGCAATTTGGCCAACCTCCAGCTTGACTCAGATGCACTGAGGTTCTTGAATCACGCCTGCAGCCAGATGTCGCACTGCCAATTCTATCGACACCACGGACACCATCCAAAAGGGAGCTCTGTTGATAGAATCATAACGGCGACAGTGACTCCGATGACCCGAGCGACGCATGTCTATTTCACGGTTCCTAGAGCTTGTGCTCTTCTTCAACTACTCCAACGTTCTGCCCTCATCAAAGTACATTCTGGACTAGGCTGCCCCGGCTTATCCCGATTTCCAAGAAACGTTCCGTATGGCATAATCTGGTGTAGTTAAGATTTATGACTGTTCACATAATTATCATGTGATGGCTCCCACTGGGAACGTTCACTATTACTAGGATACTCATAGTCCCAAATCGCTTGATCCGAATGAAGGCGTGATGTATAGCACCGACGAACATACTAGTGGGCATTCGAGCATGCTCAAGTCGCTTTCCAGCCGTCCTAGAATATGCCATGAAATAATGCAGTAGATTCCATGTCTCCCGGTTGCCCTCTTGTGTACAAGACTCCAAGTTCACTACCTTTTGGTCCTGTTGCTATAAGTGGGTCGGGTATGGTTAAGAAGATTGCAACTATTATGCGTTGGTTCCGTGGACTGGTGTGCATTGATTCCTTCACCAACTAATCCTGTGATTTAATTCAACAGCGGATGCATGTCGCCTCCATTCCCAGGCCTTCTGATGGCTGTTTCTTTGATCGAGTAGATCAGCGTTCTGAGTCTGTGTCCCTCCTGCCAGTTGGAGGGCCCATCACAGCGGAGGCGGCCCCTTCTCGTACTGCTTCACCCCCTCGGGAATCGGCAGAACCGCGCTGCTGGTCCAGATATGCATCACGTCCTTCCATTCCAAGCCTTCCACACAACCGGCCTTGAGACTGACCATGCCGATGGGCGTCCCGTCAGGCTTATGCAGGCGGTTATACAGCCGTACCCCGCACTTTGGGCAAAAGTAACAGTGCTTCGTGTTGCCGCTGTCGGTGGACGTGGTGAACGACTGGAGCCTGTTCGTGACCTCCGATGGGATGTTTGATAAGAATGAATCCGCGGCGTAGAACGCGGAGGAGCCAAACGCAGATCCCGCTTGCTTGCGGCACGAGGTGCAGTGGCAGCAGGCGAGGCGCAGCGGTTGCGCTGTTGGTGTGCGGAAGGCGATGTAGCCGCACTGGCAGCTGACTGGCAGCCCCTGATCCGCAGTTTGAGTACCCTCTGGCATGGTGAGGTTGTGGTTTAATCGAAGAAATGCGAACTTTCAAGTTTGTGTCTGGGTATGAAAAGCAAGCGTGAGTCCTTACTTCTATTATGATCGAGAGTGGAGTGATTTGCCACTCTAATAAGGGTTGTAGCTCATCCCGGCATTAGCTTCTGACGATTAAATCGCGGCTTTCACCCATTTGCTCAAATCCAAGGACCCCACCGTAGGGCGTCTTAGGTAGAGATAAGGCGGGCCATAGTTGCAATGACAAATATCTGAGACTCTGTGTAACGAGATCAGTTACGCCCTTCGGCATGTCAATCGTTGGGCAGTGCAGTCAACAACGATGTGGAGGTATGGGCAAGGAGTGGACAAGTCTCCCGATAAGATTTTAGTGCTGATGGAGTGGCCCGCACAGCCCAGGCTTTAAGGGATCACCCTGCGCGGAATTGAGGCAGAGTGCGAATCGTCGATCGGTAATGTTCTTTGCACATGGAATCTCTGTTGGAGCGACTCTTCCACAAGTGGACAAATCGAATCATCGCGGCGTTGGCCACAAACAGCAGCATCCATGTGGATTCTGGTATGGGTTGGACTTAAGCATGACAGGTCACGGATCAGGGTCACAGCTGCAAGCATGTTCGAAGTTTGGTGACAGAAAGTCGATTGTGGTCCCTTGTATTCGCTATGAGAAGTTCTCAAGCTCGACTAGAATCCTCCATGCCAACGCCAGTTGACCGAAAACAGAAACTTGTATGTCAGGCGCTCAGCCATTGTCGGAATGAACGCCCTGTGTTGCGATTTGCGACGCCCTGCTTAGCAAACAAGGTTGCCGTTGTCGTTGCCGATGTACTGGTCTGTGTGGCTTGTATCAGTAACTGACACCGGGGCAGGGGAGGGGTTCAAGGCAGAGGAGACTTACTGAGAGCAAAGACGTTGAAGACAGTGCCACCGCCACTGCAGGGGCCGAAGCAGCCAAAGTTGGCGCCGAAGTGCTCCTCGCCACCAGAGTAGTGGTTGGTACAGGTGCCCACAGAGTTGGTCAGGCCGCTCGAAGGAGGGTAGGTGAAGCCGCAGGCGTCCCTGGTCCAGCCGAAGCAGCCGTTGAGGTCCAGCTGAGACAAGTTGTTGTGCAGGCTATCGACCTTGCACTTGGCCTTGAGCATCATGGAACGGCCCTGGCCGCCGTTGAGGTTGGTGATGGAGAAGTCAGAGCAGGAGTCGAGGAAGCCCCTGGCAGCGAAGGCGGTGCTGACCATGGTCAGAATGGCCGCCATGATGATGGTGATGAAGGAGGTCTTCATCTTCGTGTCCTGTTCAGTGCTTGTTTCTCAGGGTAGATTGGGGCTTCTGGTGTCAAATGAAGGAGTGGAAAGAAGGAGGCAGAAGTTGGTTGTCGAGTTTGCAAATTTTGGAATGTTGATGCTGCAGCGAGGGGTTTAAATATTGCAAGAATGGTCGGTGCAGCTTGCAGCCGTCATCAGTCAATGGTCGGGGGTCCACATTGGAAAGTGAGTATTGCGCATGTTGTCTGCCTCTGGATATGATCTGGTTGGTCAATGGGTGACTGACCACAGTCACTGTAGATGTGAGGCTACCCGAGTGTCAAACAACAGCAGCAAAGTCGTTTGGTCTCCACACAAGTACAATTTCTAGGACTGATCAAACAGTTCCTCTCAACACATACTGATAGGCAAAATGTAGCTAGAAATCATGCGATCGATGGGCAATCAAGACCTCGTATTCGACCTCTCTGCCCTAGCTGAAATCGTGACTTGCAAAATGCAAATAAGACACTCGCAAGGGCGTCCGCTCCTGACAGACTCCGAGGCGGGGTTCAAATCCTCGATTGGCAGCGAGGGTCTCGGCCCCCTTCCAGCCAGGCCCTACTCGAGAGCTACGCCTCTGTGCCTGGAGGCGATTGATCTATCGGCTGTGCAGCTCGCCGTTGGCCGACCCAGCGGGTCGTTTCCAGCCACCTACTGACTGATGACGACGCTTTGACTGGGCCTTGGCTGCAGTTCATGTGCTTAAATTGTAATCACTGTCGAGGAAGAGGACACGACAATTCAGTGATCGATACGAATATGTGAACACCTCGAGTTTTGTCCTCGAGAATGCTCGGTTGAAGTTCAAAAGGTAGCTTCAACAACCCATCACTCAAGCATCTCCATCCATGATAAAGCCTTAGACTCGAACCGTAAAAAGCATCGACACGCCCCCTAAAAACGTCGCTTATGCCTATGCCCGCGCCGTCATCAAGTGGTTTCTTTTCTAACCCCCATACATATAAAACGTAGGTGGCGCCTTCATACAGTGGTAAACGTTCAAGACCATACGTGAGGCAATGGCGACTTGGAAGACGATGGTCTTGGCGCCCTTGCTTTGGTCAATCAGATTCGCTATGACTGCCTACGTACATCACAAACCCGAGCGACAGGCTTCATCCCTAGAAGCTGCTCAAGGAAATGCTGCAATGTTTTCCTTCACAAAGTCTTTCCAGGTCGTGGGCGGCGAACCGGACTTGGCCAGAATGTTCAGACTTTCCTCCAGACTTTCACCTGCGTAATAGCCGACACCATCGAATCCACTTTCAATTTCGAACATAATCGGCCCAACAGGCGGGGGCAGCCACTTCATAAAGGTATCCCAGTCGGCCTTCTGCACCAATCGAACAGGCTTTCCGGTGATCTCTTGGAACTCCGAGATGATTCGAGTGGGTGTGTAGTAATCTACAGACGCAAGCACTCTCTTTCCAAAGATCTCCGGCGTGCTTTTCATCATTCCAACGACGTATTTGCCTTCCGGGGAAAGTCAGATAGATGTTCCTGAATGAAGGTAAAGGGAACTTTCTAAGGTTTGTGATGATATACTTACCAACATCTTTTTCATTGTCAATCAGAGGAATTTTGGCCTCGCTACTCCCAGGAATGGTCCAGACGAGAGTTCCGTCATCACCCTTCCTAAAGTTCTGCCAGGGAGGAAGTATGAAGTTGTGCATGAAGACCCCAGTGAGAACAAAACTGCTCGGGATGTTCTTGGCGCGGATGTAGCGCTCCACTTCGGCCTTGGCCTCTGTTGGGTGTACATTGGGGCGCTCGCCGTTGGACAGTTCGGCGACGGAAAGCAAGGACGAGAAGATGAGATGCTCGACTCCCAGCTCTTCAGAAACATCTGCAACGTTCTTGCCTTGGGTCTTTTCCAAGTCCCATTGATTCACGACCGGCGCGGTCATCAGGAACACAGTATGAGAACCTTTCAGAGCGTACCTGACAGAGTCCTTTGAGAGCATGTCGGCCTACGCCATTAGCATCTGTCGTGACTGGTATCAGTAGTATGATGGGTATCGGGAACATACCTGGACCATCTCGACGCCTCTGGCGCTTAATTCTCGTGCCACAGGTTTCGATACATCGCGGGCAATGCCTCGGATTCTGAACTCCGCTGAAAGAGTACCATCCGCCAGGACAGCTTCCACGACAGAACGACCCTGGCCACCGGTTGCCCCAAACACGCTCAGAATCTTTGACATGATGAGGGTGTTGTATGGGATCAAGTTTTGTTAGCTAACTTCCCAGGCATTGTTCTCAGTTCATGGACTCGTGTGATCATCTTTTATATGTTCTAGAGTTGTGGAGACATATCTGAGTTCGGGACTCGATCATGACTGAGTTCGGGACTCGATAATCGTCAAACCTTAACAAGACAAAGTCCGATATGTCCGGTTGAAATGGAGAACTACCGACTGTGGAGACCACACCGCTATTTCCGGCCAGTTCTCCACGTCAGTCGACTGATTGTACGTGCTTAACGATATTGTTATGAATCGGCTGTTATGAATCGGAAAATGCGGCCCAATTTTTAAGCGCCAGTCTACATCTTGAAACACATGGCGGTTGTACCGCCAGATGGGCGCTGGAAGATTATTTGACATCATCGATATTGCAATGAGTTTGTCTTTTGATTCGCTAGATGCACGGCTTTGATTGTTATTGCAGGCTCTTGTTAAATGTGATAAACGTCAACGCCAGGGCGTTGTGGAACGATTACTAATGTAACCCGAAACTCTCAGGAACTCAATACGATTTGCTGAAGTCTTTACCGAGCATCAAAGCGCCTCCGGCCCCGCCGGTCTCGTTGTCCTGCTTCAGGATCACTTACTCTTCTCCACCCAAGCGATCTGCTACTTCCTCGGGATGTTGATTGCCCCGGGGCCCCCGCGCTTAAGCACTGACCCAGCCGCGGCTGCAATGCGCTCTGGATTCAAACTTTCGGCGTGTCGACTTGCTATGAAGTATATCCATAGGCAATATCCAACACCGTGCTGTCATCGGCGCGACTCGGCTCGGACCACTCGAACAACTTGTCGTCATTTGTACAAATGTGCGAAGTTCCCCCATCCTAGGGAGGTGGGCATGCCCGCGCTGCTAGGCATATGGTTCCATGACATCCAACATGGGATCGGCCTGGCACCGAACGGCTTGTCGCAACATCTCATTGCAGTGATATGTTGTCCGCTGCCGGACGGACCCCAGGGCTGTCGAATTCCCAAATGCAGGTGAAAAAAGTTCAAGATGAAGTACTTAGATGATCAGCATCCGGAGGTGTTCTATTGCAATGTTAGGTGGCATGTCAGCGGCGAATACTGCATATTCGTATCCATGGAGCACCCTCGAGCTCGTGAACGTCTCCTCTGGCCGCGTGTCCGAGAAGGGCGATACAAGGAAGCGCTATCGTCGTTGGTGTTGAGGGACATTGGGGCCACTGGTTTAGTATTTATATTCTTTCAGTTTCTCTAATAAACCGAAACAAGAAGAAGTGTCCTGGAAAGACAAGGCAATGTATCTTTCGATATAAACCCAGTAAATGCCCATCATTCATTTTGAGAGGGCACGAGCTTGACCGTCCAAGCTTTTCCGCCATCTGAATTATTTTCCATCGTAGCTCGGTAATACTGTTCATTGCCCACCAAATCTTTGAGAGTCACTTCTCTCGTCCTTTGGAGACTCTCGATCTCATCCAAGCGATCCATAGTCGCTTTAAGGTGCTCATCAAAACCCTCGCTGCCACACACCTCCTTCATGGCCCAGTACATTGGTCGCGAATCTGCCTGGACCATCCCGTCGGGGTCGATAGTGAAGATGTTGTTGTGATGTGGCATCTTGATCCATTCTGCATTGGTGATCAACTCCCTGGCCTTGTGCAGCGGGATCTGTGGCAGCCTCCCATCATACGTGCCGGCTGCTCGCATGGCCTCCTCCTTCTCGATCAACGCCTTAGCCAGAAGCATGGCAGCCGAAGACAGATCTTGCTCGTTTTCAGCACCGGGGTCCCTGTAAGAGCAGCTGTTAGCAACACTACTCTCTCGCACGGCCACGCCTTCGAACAGCACATACATATCAGCTCCCAAGATCCAACACTTGTTCAACAGCCAGCGCTTCTCCTTCTCGCAGATCGTGTTGCAGGTACCGATCATGTCCGGTGACTTTGCCGCGCGGGTCAGAAAACTGAGGCGGCCGCCGACCAGACCGTAGACGTGTTCCAAAGTACTTGTTGGCACATCTTCCCCTCGAGTCTTTCGGAACTGCCTGAGGGACTCGATGGCGATGTCCTTGGGGATGTCGCGAACGGGAGTCACGCGCAGCCGGGTGGCCTGCCACATCAGCCGTTCAGTAGTCCAGTAGTCGTCGCTGTTGAACACGACAGTCACGAGGTTGCTCGCCGCCCAGAGCTCGGCGCGCTGCTGGATCAGCTCGAGCAGGTCCTGGCCATCCTCGTCGTCCCGTATCAGGTGCGCACCCGTGATTATCAGGACGAGCGGCTTGCCGACCTTCTCCTTGCGCCGCAGCGCGATCTTCTCCATCTTGTTGAAGGCGCGCTCGATGTCCAGCAGGGCCGTCGTGTCGCGCGGGCCCTTGAAGCTGAACAGGCTGCCGACGTAGTCCTCGTGGAACTCAAAGTCCAGCGCCTTGCCCAGCCGCACCCGAAAAATCTCGGGGTCGCCGTGCGCCTCGAACATGGCGACCCCCTCGCCGCCGATCTTGCCCATGGCCTTGAGCAGCATTGATGTCTTGCCCGTGCCCTTTTCGCCTGTGATGAGGTGGTACTGCCCGCGCATGGTCCCATCGACGATCTTGTCGATGACCTCCTGCTCGGCCCGAGGGATCCAGTCGTTGTCCTCAAACGTCTCTGCTTGGAACAGCTCGGCGTGGGATCCGTCTGACTTGACGTGGCGGCTGAGCGCGGCTATCTCAACGGAGGAGTATCCTAGAGCAAAGGCGTTCTCCATCTTGCTCAACACGTGAGACTTGTAGTAGGCATTGTAAGAGTAGCCTGCGATTCCAAGGATGAGGATAGAACCGAAGGCAGTCGCGCAGCCCTCAATCATCTTGGAAGCAGCTGTCCTCCAGACGGGGGCTGTATCTTCGCCATGAGGCTCTCCTGACCCCGACGCCGTATATACTGGATTCTGTTTATCATTCTTCACCTTATTTGCCCTGAGCATCGGCCATCGGATGGTGCGAGTGTTCTGCCATTCTGCATCAGCAACGACGGGAGTGAAGGGAGACGTCCATGTGGCGGCTGGAGCCACGCGCTTACGTTTTGGCGCCTGGCTAGCCGTACAGTCCCACGCATCACGGCGTCGTGGGCGCAAACCTGGTTCCCCTCGCTTGGTCTTTCGAATGGTAGCTTTTCAGGCTGTGCTACACACGACGCGCTGCCAACGGTCCAAAGGAAAGGTGGTTGTTGTTGGGTAAACATTGAAGCTGACCACCTCAGGCTGCGCAGAAGTCACTGCTTGGCCTACTTGGCGTTTTCACATTGTGGCAGTGCAAGCCCCACACTACGCAAATACCTATGCAGTGAGCTCGGATCAGGATTCCTTCCTTTGCTGACAGCAAGATTTGGAAATCAGTTTTGGCGACTCTAGAGTCAAGATAAGATGATCAAAATGGGCCTTGATTTACCCAGGTACGAATACCTGCAAGATCGAACTTTAATTGACTGGGTACATGCCAAGGCGTAGACGCTACCTGGGCTGTCAGGGCTGCTGAGCTGGCTGGCTCTATGCTAACTGACCCCTGTAGCGCATATCCGCAGACTTACACATGGATGCCTGCTTCCAGCCAATAGAACAACGATGCCAGTTCAAGCCTCCTATGTTGACAATCTTCACGCTGGCCATCATTCGGTGGTGTTTTGAATCCTCAGCATATGAGAAACACCTATGTGACAAAGTCGTCCAAACACTTGTGAATCCGAGTCTCGTAGGAAAACGCTACCTTCTGTGTGGGGACATTACCTTGGAACGCCCAGGCCCCATCTCGATCTGGCAGATGAAGCTGAGGTGCTGCTTGGATCACTGTTCACCCTTGTCGAGTTGCTGAAGAGTAAGTTAGGAGCACAAGATTCTCGCATTGAAAATCTCTGCATCCTGAGTATCTGTGAAAATGTCTCACCAAATAAACCCGGCATGGCCACGGGTGCCCGGAAATACAGTCGTCTTTTCATTGTTTCTGATCGACAAAGAGCATTAGCAATCACTAGTTCAAAAAGCCACAAGAGCGCATGCGAGAGGCGTCTTATGTCAGGCTCTCCGACATGTATAGACAATAACATTGATATAACATTTAGTCCAGAATCGAAGTATGTACATATTTGGGTGTAATACCACAAGTGCTCCAATAATCGTACTCAACATTACATCTTCTGAGAATGTCTGTTGTACGGGGCACAGGTAGCAATTGGGTCCGTCCAAAGACCTAACCAGAGATGGTATACTTGGAGTTTCCACCAGCACTTCCCCAGCCCTCTGTCGCAAGGACCTGGTAGTTCATGCTGCTGCCGAGGTTCAGGCCCGCCTTTGCCCAGGCGTCAAAGTGGCACTTGGTGTTCACGGTACCGCTGCCGGACCGCGGGCTCTTGCGGTTCGAGATGTACTGCCAGAACGTGGCGGTGCCGGAGATGGACGGCTGGTTGACCTGCTGGTGCTTCCAGATGTCGTAGTCGGACCCGTCGCAGTTCACAGTGCCGACCTTGGTTCCCTGGGCGGAGCCCGCGCCGTTGTTGGTGTACTCCTGGACGTAGTACTCGATCAGGGGGTTCGTCGTCCAGCCGTAGACGGAGACTAGGACAGTGCCTGCCGTGGCGCTTGTGGAACCGCTGAAGGTGATGTTCCTGCAGGACGGCTTGTTAGTATCGATACCACCCTCTCGTCTATACCTAGGTATCTTGGCAGGTCCCTGCCAGCTCACAGCGATTTCCAGGAGGAGTGCTTACCTGCTGGTGCCGGTGCTCCAGCCCTTGCCAACAACAAAGTCTCCAGCCCCGGAGAACGAGACAGAGTACCCGTTGCTCGCAGGAGAGAAGTTGACAGTCCCGCTAGTCACGTAGTTCTGGTTGTAATTCTGGCGACGGGCGAGGTTCTGGCCGCCAAGCTCGAAGTCAGGGCTGTCGAGGGACGGGTCGGCTGCAGGAGCGGCAAGCGCCCCAGTGACAGCAGCGATAACAGCGACGATTTTGGTAAGAGCGTACATTTTGGATGCAAGATCTGACTTGTAGAGGTGGTGATGGTCTCTCGGCAAGAGTCTGGGCATGCACCATGGTGGTCTTGGCCGACATTTATTGTCGTGCGACTCCCCCAGCCCCGCAGCCGCAATAGCTGGATAAAGACATGTTGTATACCCTCCAGGGCTCAGGTAAAGTGAAATAAGGAGGACTGGTGTCATAGCGTTCATGTCAATACCCCCAGAACGGTACTGGCCTAGAATGTGCCGGAGCCCTGGTCCTGGGCCGACTAATGAGAGACGAGAATGACTTTAGCCTGTGCAGCTTTTTTCCGTGTAGCAGACCAACAGTTCCAGCCAGCAGGGATCTCAATGCTTGTTTAGGAACGGGCTGGCTGCTCCGACGTAATTAACCTCATGCGAGGCTTCCTAAACTGAACCACACAGTCACGCGGTGGGCCCTAAAAGAATCACGGTACCAGCATAACGTTGTGTTTCGTCCGTATCTGGTTGCCACATGTGGCGGGCGAGTGGCTAACTGCAAAGCTATCCGACCGCCTAAAATCAATATGCCGATACCATCAAATAGCCGGATGCAGGGACTCGAATACCAGCAACTAAAGTGATACCTGACTAGATCTCTAGAGATGATCTTGATGCGGGTCGTACCGGTAATGCGGCCGTCCTGGTCTCGACCGACGCGCACGGGGTCTATTCAGAACCTATCCACCCGTCAACAGCAACGATTCCGCGTCACGCTTCGTTTGGCAGTCCGAGTCCGGATCAGACTCCTCCCGGTGGACCTCGAGAGCCAGATGTCATCAAAATAAACGCCACCCGTGAACTGCCAGGGTTGGTGTAGATCTAGCTAAAAGCCTTGACGCGTAAAGTACACTGCTTCGGTTCGAGCAATTTCAGCTGCTTTGGTGCCCAGGTGTTTCCCAAGAAAATGCACCCCAAGTTTCAAGCAGGACTTCAATACTTCATTCAAACCCCTGGCCAAGAATTTACGAGTACCTCAACAACCACGGCACCACAGAGATTAAGGGGGGCTTTCAATCAGGCTGTCTCACCTCATGCCACGGAATTCGGTGTACTTAAGTAATCCACGAGAGATCACCATGTGCCGCACAGTCATACAAAAGCAATCGTATCCATGCCTGAAGGCTTCGTACCACTGATTATTCCAGTGTGTGGTGGTTGATAGCACGGCTAAATAGGTATTAACATTCGCAGTGACAGCAAACAGGTCGTCCCGAGGTCCGCAGGAGCGGAGGTGGCCCCTCTTTTGTGAAAAGGCGGTTGCGGCACCGAGGAGGGTGACTTCCGTCCTACTATACGTTGATTCCACTTCTGAAGGATCCCATGTCGATGCATCCAAGACAAGAAAGAGACTTTTGGCCTGGCTGCTCTACTTGAAGAGCAGTATTGGAACATAATTACATATGTACATGGCATGTCCGTGTCACCGAAAGACTAATGAGCCTTGTCCCTAACACCCAGAGCAAGACAACATACGCACGCATTACCTAGGTACTTTGCAGACTATGTGATTAAAACATCATCCTCGCCGTTCACAACGGCAGCCGAGGCGTCCCACTTACATCTCCCAGATACCATGCTTATCCAGGCTCCTCAGGTGTATTTGGACTTGATTGAAAGAATCGATCCTGGCTTCCGTTACTACTTAAGAGGATATGAATTCCAAACAACAGAGTTGACCGACCCAATATCCACTTGGCAGCTTGATGACCTCGATTCTCACACTATGACAATGGCCCTCTTCTGAAACGTTTCAAAGAAGTCCAGAACTGGGCCGGGCCCATTGTGGATTCCAGAAGACGTCTTCGTAAAACGATACTGAAAATACCCAACTCTTCTGTAAGTACGAGTGGTCTGGTCATCTAAGGCGAGTGCTAGGCCTTCTACATGAAACGCAGTCTTCTGGATGACAATTTGGAATATGTCTTGACGGATGTCGTCTGGGGTGTCGAAGCACACTCTCGACGAACCGATCCAAAATTGCGTTGGCGCCATTGCTTCGCTGTCGCGATACATTTGTGAAGGTGTGTCCGTGGTTCTGCATAAACTAGCGACTTCGAAAGTGACCGAGATGAGTCTGCCCCAGCCAACGGTTGAGCCAACCTTCGCGCGGAGGACGGGACCTAGCAAGGTGAGGCTCGCGCTTTCGACTTGGCCCGTTTCTGCTTCGCCCGGCGGCTGCGTGATCTCAACCGCGATGAGCGAGGAGAAGGGAGAGGTAACGCCCGAGGTGTCCTGCGGAAACCTCACTTGGCCATCGATACCAGCCCAAGACCACGTAGGTGCCCGGTACGAGGCTGCTCTGGAAGCACCATGGCAGGACGTTTCGTAGCTCGTTTTCCCATAGACCTACGACGTATCGATGCCTGACACCGGGCCTTAGTTGCTCGAGCTTGCGCTTCGTTTCCTTTGCCAGACCAGACAGTGCCACCAGCTTATCGCTCGGCAGAGCGAGAGCACATTTGCCAAAGAATCTGACAATGCCCCTCCAGTCGGCGAAAAGCTGGTGGTATGGATCTTTAGCGGGGCTATCCAGCCAAAGCCGACCAAATCTAGCGTCAACCTCCAAGAGGGCTCGTTCCCAGGTATGGTTCCAGCGTGCATCTCCCACGATCGTGTTGTGCTCGGTGATGCTGGACAAACCGATACCGGCGGGGTGCGTCTTGCACCAATGGGCCTCTTTACATTCCCAGAAGATCTGCTTAATTCCGAAATAGACGACACGTCGAGCAAGAAGCCGTTCTTGTGCGACCCAAGCCCTGTGGACTAGAGGTTCGGTCGGTCTCAAGGCTAGAACACCAACCTCTCCTTGTGTCCTCCTCAAACATGTAGGGCGTTGGTCTGCTGTATCCATCGTGCTGTATATGCAGCAAGGTTGGTACCACGGTTCTTGGGTTTCGTTGAAAGAAGCATCCTCCATCGGCATCTTGAGCGCCAAGTGCCGCAATATTCAAGGCAGCATTCTTGTACACATATGCCATGGAGGAAGCCTCTCTTTGGAAGTCTTCGGCCGAATCTTGGAAAATACAAAGCCTGTCGATCCATATATATCGGACTTTGAAATAGCTAGCGATTTCAATAGCGTCTCTTATTGTTTTTGGTAGGGTGGTGGCAGATTTCTTGCTTCGCATGCCCTGCACGGTGGTTTGAAGCAGCCTATACGCCTGAGAAGCCGGCTGCGAACCCCAGCAATAGCTGAGAGTCACATAAGGAGACTCGACTGCACACTCAGTACCGTTCACCAGTTGGAAAAGGACAGTATCTCCGGTCCTGTCGATCTCGATGATACGTGTCGGCATAAAGGACCCATTGACACCTGGCGCGTTGCTCTCAGTATGGGAGTCTGTACAAATTGAGAACCACCGTAATATCAACTCGTATGTCGTCTGATGGGCTGTAGATGGGCTCAAAGCAAGGTTCACTCCGCTGGGTAATGATAGTCCTGCAAATATGTTAGGATCATCAATCCTGATCTTGATCTCCGGAACGGGGTATTGTGACCTCGGCAGGGGATCATGTGAGAATTCCAGTTCTGGTCATCATAAAATAACTTCACCCAAATGATACCGTCTGCCTTGAATCGCACACTGAAGACCGTATAGTACCGCAGTGTCCCTGGTTCATGATCTGCTCGGCACCGGCTGCATTGCACACAACCCGCTGCCTTGGAGCGAAGGAGGGAGTCCCGAGTCTCATGATGCCCAAACACATAGCTCTCAACCTCCTTATGTTTCCTTGAAACAAGGCCTTGCTCTGTAAGCTGATCGAACCAGGTATTGAAGAAGGATATGTCCTCTCGAAGCCCCAGACGCTTCGTTCGTAGCGGATCCCAAATGCCTTCGAGGCTATCTTTGCACACGTCGCAAAGCATGTTGCAGGTCTGCAGAACAGCGCTATATTGAAGGATATAGTAAGCTTTGAGCCGACGGCAAGAAGCTCAAATTCAGTAGACCGAACACAGGAGACGCAATTTGAGATGAAAGGCCGGCCTCGACCTTGATGTTAGATGTCGACGTCGAGCCAGCTGAGCCTCAGCTGCGGGGTCTCCGAGACATTGCATGCATAAAACTTCCGCCACGGGTATGAGTGGACAAATTTAGTAACTTACTACTAGGAATCCTACATATGTACCAAGGGATGTACACTGTCACACGTCTGAGCAAGAACACTTGATATTACGATGAATATGGTAATTGTTTTGATATACATTGTGTCATCTCCAGGCTCCGGTGTGATCACATCTGCCCAGGTAGGACACTGACATAGACCCTATAGCCGCATAGCAGACACCTGGTCAAGACTAGTTGAAACTGAGTCTCTGACCACGACCACAGAAATTATCAAGTATTATCGTGAGCATACATCAGCTTCATCCGGTGTATTTACCTCTAGCGGTAAGAGTAACATTAGGCGCTGAATGGTAATAGCGATTCCCTTCCTACCACGGCAAGCTATGTAAAACCTGCTTGGGAAAGCATCAGCTCCGAAGCAAAGTATCGATCCTAGGGCAATAGTATATGGGGTTGTGGCTATCAGATGTTCCGGACTTATGAGGAACTTGAAGCTGTTGCGGATAAACAAATGAGATTCCATATTAGCCATTTCACATTCTCGTCGTCGCCATTCAGCACTGCCAGTGGCACTTCTCACGGTAACACTGGAGCTGCAATAGGTGGATTGCGTAAGCTTGATGTTGTATTGTTTGCTGGCTTTCTCACATGCAGCTATTTGCTGAATGAGACTGTTCGTCCTCTGACAAATAATAGCCTTTGCCTGATTCAACGGCTGCTGGGCCTAATGGTGCCAGTGTTGTTGAAACTCATGCGTCGAAAGATGTTACAACCTCGAATGGCCCATCAACAACGACTGGCATATACCGCAGGAACTATAAAGCTCCCCATTAACTCGGATATACCCGACGAGTGTAAGGTTCTCTGGCATCCTGGCTGAGGTTATTGACTCGTTGACCGCCCCAATGCGCAGCGGCT